TGACTGACTGAGTAAGTGGGAGACTGGATGAGTGAATGACATGTGAGTGAGTGAATAAATAACTTATAAACTTATCATGAATTGATAAATTAATCTATGGTTTATACAGGTGAGTGTATATTAGAAGGCTTGGCCCAGCTTGTCTGTGTAGTGGCTTAGACTCTGCAGTGGTCATCGGTGTCGTAATGAGGATCTTCAGCAGGGCCACCGTCTCTGTGAAGGTTTCCTGCATGTTGTTGTCCATTAACACCTGGAACAGTGCCACTGCCCCACTGCATGCGTGGAAGTCGTGGTTGGAGTAGATGAGGGACAGTTCAGTCTTGAGCTTGTTCTTGTTCAGAACAGGGTAAGCCTCAATGGCAGCATTGAGCACAGCATCAGGGAACTGTTGTTGGTGTTGGGCAAACATCTCTTGCAGCAGCAGTGTGGCAGCAATCAGATGCTTTGTGAAGGCGTATCGTTCCTTGGCATGGGCAAGGATGGTATCACACACCTATAAAATGATACACAACACATGTTAAGTCAAAAGTACAATAAAAAAAATAGCAAACATGTTAATTGATGTTATAGGTTAATGTTGTAATTGCAGCCTCAGTTACAAGAGCATTATTGTAATTAATCACAAGAACAACAGTCTTACCAATAGACTAAAATGACACATAATATGTCACTGACCTCTGTAGCTATCCTTTGATAGTCTGGTGCCTGGCGCCTCTTGCTGGTCCCTTCTTTCTGAGCTTTGCAATGCTCAGCACAGAAAGAGGAAAGGAGTCCCTGATCTTCTGTACAGACTGTGTAAAGTTTTGAATGCTCTTGTGGATGAAGACAGTATCAATGGAGCAAGCTGAACAGGATGTGGACATGTGGCATGATCATGTGAAATAAATCCAAGAAAAATATAAAAGTGGAATCCTCCAGCAGTCGCAGAAATGCTCCTGCCTCTCGCTGTGTGGGGGGATCAAACTCTCCACCCTCTCTGATGGATCTGTGGAAGATCCACCGTATTGCAGAGGATCTTGGGAGTCTGTGTGCAACCACACTGTCCAGCACGTTGGTTATCTTGTGTGACCGGGAGAAGAAAGCAGCAAACCCACTCAGGTCAGAGAAGAAACCAGAGACAAACGGGATGCGAGATGTCACCTGAAACAGATTAGATTAAGATTTAATGCCACATATTTTAGCAAGAGTAGTACAGCAGTGAGTGACCCTGGTTCGATGCAGAATAATGAACTGATTACAAAAAAAATCCATCTCTTTTTTATTACAAACATGTAAACACAAACATTGCTCCACATTAGTGTGGCCCTGTTACTCCTTTCCAGACAGCTACTGAGACAAACTAACATGTTGACATTGTCCAAGAGGAGAGCTGGTGCCAGAGACGCTTCAGGGATTTTGAGTCATTGTGCGCAGATAGGTTAACTGTGTTAAAATTTTAAAGCAGATTGTTCATGATGAGTCATTTGGCAGTCAAAGCACTAATATAGTCATATGATGGTCGTCCCTCATTATAACAGTTGTAATAGTCTAATAGTCTTTTGATCTGATTCTCACTAGGTAATGATCAGACCATTACCATGCACTGAACTATGGTCAGTAATAAAACTGGACAGTGTGCAAAAGACAAGTGTTGGGGAGGGGGGAGTCAGAGTGTAAAACTCACCTGTTGCATTATAAGGTTCAGCTGGTGTGCGAAGCAGTGAACATAGTGCGCTTTCTTGTACACCTCTTGCACTTTCTTCTGCACCCCTCCGGTGGCTCCCCTCATCACACTGGCTCCATCATAGGCCTGGGCAACGAGTTTGAACTTCTGAGTGTCGGGTACAATGTCACTCAGCCTCTCCAGAAGTGCGGATGAAATTAAATCAGCACTTGCATGCTGCAGATGGATGAATTCAAAAAATCTCTCTTACACATTGTTGGATTAATCTATATAACGCAGCACCAGCACCAGCTGGCACTGAGTGGAGATATCTGTTGTCTCGTCAGCTTGAATTGAGAGAAAATCTGCAGCCCTGACTTCATCCACAATATGCTCTCTTAATACAGAAAGCATACAGTACAGCAGCTCGTTCTGTACCGTCTTTGACGTCCCCTTGAACACCGTGGCAGTTTTCAAGTGCTCCTCCAGGACAGAGTCAAGTGTCGCCACAAGGTCCACTAGGCCCCTTGAACTCGTCGTGCCCGTGTAAAGCCAGCTCAAAAGCACCACAAAACTTCACTCAATCGATAATTTTGGACAGAATATGTTGGTTCTTGTCTACCTCCTCATTATGTTTCCTGACTCCTATTCTGTAGCTGTCATCCAATTGAGTGGCAATGTTAACTCTGCTGAACATAGCTAGCTTCATAGCATTTTCCATGTGCACTTTGCCATGGTCGTGCTTCTTTAATCTTCTCTGACAGGTGCTTCAGGTCTGTCACCCCGGTAGCAACCCATGCAGGATCCGTGCCCGCCGACTGAAAAAGCATGCATGGGAAACAAAAAAGGGCCTTACTCTTCGGACATCCTGTTAGCCATGCTTTGCGCGCATACCACGCCCTTGAAAATGACCGCCTATAATTTTCCCCCCACTAGGTGGTCACTTTCTGGGCAGCGACATCTGGTCGATCCAGACCGAGCTCTTTCAACTCCAATTTTTCCTGCAGGGTTCTCCTCTCAAACGGGACCTGCTTTATCGACAGCACAGAATTCTCCAGTAAATCTTTCTGGTTCGCGGTAGCCATTCTCACATCCTCTCTCATCAGCAGCCAAGTGCAAAGAGCGAGGAGCAGACCGGCTCCGAGTAGAGCTAGATCAGCTAGCTACGTCAGACGCATATTGTAGCTATGCGTCAGTTTGTGACCAATCTGGTTATGAACGTGCTTATGTCATTTAAATTTGGGACGCTGGGGCGCTGGTCCCTGGCACCCATTAGGGATTTTTATTATGTGGCTAGGATAAGCTAACTTTTTAATGCAGAACTGTGATCTGAGCATGTGTGAGAGAGCAGAAAGCTTGGGCTCTGGCCCATAGCGCCCCTAACCCTAATGCACAACTGTGAACTGAGCATGCATGAGACAACAGACTCTCTGATTCCACCCCAGTGCTGGGTGGAGAGATCGCTAACAGACTGAAATACACATTTAATGGAATGATTAATATAATAGCACGATTTCCTTATTTTGATAATAATTTTCAGGAAAACAGTAGACATCTCTTTTTGCTCACGCAGCTTAGGCGGGGCTCCGCCTGCAGCGCCCTTCTATACCGGCCGCCACTGGTACCTGCGCATATAGAAATCAAATGAAGTGAGCAGGCTGACAGGGAGGCAAGGAAGGCCACAAACTACAGTCAAGTTGACACTGCAGTGAGATGAAGTGGAATGGAGGTGAAAGCTATTGTGAAGATGAGATTGAAAGAAAGGTGGCAAAAACACTGAGAGGAAGAGAGAACCGGGAGATGGTACAATAAAATACAAAGAAAGGTTGGAAATATGAGAAGAGCAAGATTAAATTTAGAAAAGTGAAATGATTATATCAAGATAAAGTTTTAGACATTGTTTGCTAAATAGTACGTATTTGAAATGGCAAAGCATGAAAGCAGTAAATGTGATAACTGTGAACAACACGAAACTGTAGAACATATTATGCATTGTCAGAGGTTTGAAACTGAAAAAAGGCAGTTATTTTGTGGTCTCAAGAGAGACCCCTCCATGCACGCATTTGTGGCCTTGGTAGCCCAGAATTCTTTGCCTGCCGCTGCACAGCTGCGCATTTCAGTTGAGAGGCTGGACTTGCTTGGAGACGCAGAAAATAAAAGAAATCCAAAAATAGCAGACAGTCAGCTCAGGCTGAAAATGAGAAAGCTGCCAAAACTATCAGAGTATCAGGACCACATCAAGTTTTTTAAGACTTAGAGATAAAAGTTGTAAACTTAAGTGAATAAAGTCATAAAGTAGATAAAGTCATAAAGCTGGTTTGGTAGAGGAGGAAATGTCTGGAGCTAGTTAACTGCAGGGTTATCAGTGGATGTATTATTCAGAGAGCTTTTGTGGTTTTCTGAAAAAAGAATCAAACTGATGATCAACATTTGTGATCCAAAGGGAGTCGAGCTCTGACAAGCACCACGTCTCTGACACCGGCGGTTAACCTACACCTGCAGAGATACCAATGTCTTATTATGGCATATGGATTCATATTATAAACTAAAGCTCAATGCCATTCACGGCTATTTATGACTGAATTGACGGATTTATCCGCAGCATATCCATTTCTGCCTCCACAAAAGCAGCAATTTTCTTCAAGTCCACCAGTTTTTCTCACGCATTTCTCATATATTCTTTTCAAAGTTCTTATACTTATGACAATGTAATGCTGATGTGCCAAAGGATGAAGTATCTCCTTGTTTGTAAGACCTATACTGACGCACAGTTCCTTCAAATGCTCCATGGCCCTAATTTTAACAACTCTCCTTTGAAATAACAGGTAACCTTATGACTTTATTCTCGTAAATTAAAGACTTTGATTTCGTAAATTCACGATGCGGAAAGGATCTGTGCTTGTATGTATCTATTGTAATGTGTTGTTAAAAACATCTGCCGCGCTCCGCAGCCTTTCTTCAAGTCAGTCGTGACGCAAGCGTGAGGGCGGGGACATTTGGTGACTCAACCAGGAAGTCCTCCGAAGGGTAGTACATCCCAATTCACAAAAACCGGACCGTTACACTCAGGGTCCTCAAGTCCACTTAACGACAGTGCGCTCAGCTGAGCCCTATGCAGTTCCTGAAATAAGACACAGCCACAGACACACGCACAAGTGATGAAATTAGATATTCTGGTCCACACTCCTCACCAGTAGGTGGCGGAAACGCACCATTTTGTTGTGTGCCAACCGCCAATTAAGCGCAAGAAGAAGAAGAAGAAGAAGAAGAAGAAGAAGCAGAAGAAGAAGAAGAAGAAGAAAAAGAAGAAAAAATTGCCAGTCAGTCACCAATCGACATAAAAGAAGGAGAAGAAGAAATGGTGTATGTGTCCAATGGTGAGTTGTTCGTTTGTTGTAGCCTGCCGTTTTTTCATCGTAATTGTGGCCATTTCAAATGGATCTAATTTTTTTGTTGAAACATAACAGTAATATTTATATATGTTGCTCAATGTGAGCGGGGTATTATCGTTCAGGTGATCCAGCTGCTGTTGTGTTTACGTAGCGGTATGAGTTGTCCTCTACCTTTGTCACACATTCACATTCGTATCTATTTAAGATTTGTCGCAGCAAAGATGACTGTGTAAGTGCAGGACAGTTCAGACGAAAGTAATTGAATGTGAAAAAAAGTTTTAAAAACGCACGCGGTGCTGGATTTGATCTCACACGAACAAAAAATAAACCTTAAAAGAACCTCTTGCGGAACTATTTGAGCCAATGGTTTAACATCAATTAACTGCTTCCGTGATCGATCAGTCGTCTACGTCTGCTTTCAGATATCCCCCGGTAGTATATGAGCTAATTTAAAACAAAGGTTTCCTTAACACCAGGAAATACTTAAAGATATTACCCGGACGCTGACGTGGATGATTGATACCTCAAGTACACACGTGGACAAAATTGTTGGTACCCCTCAGTTAAAGAAGGAAAAACCCACAATTCTCACTGAAATCACTTGAAACCTACAAAAGTAACAATAAATAAAAATTTATTGAAAATTAAATAATCAAAATCAGCCATTACTTTTGAATTGTTGATTAACATAATTATTTTAAAAAAACAAACTAATGAAATAGGGCTGGACAAAAATGATGGTACCCATAACTTAATATTTTGTTGCACAACCTTTTGAGGCAATCACTGCAATTAAACGATTTCTGTATTTGTCAATGAGCGTTCTGCAGCTGTCAACAGGTATTTTGGCCCACTCCTCATGAGCAAACTGCTCCAGTTGTCTCAGGTTTGATGGGTGTCTTCCCCAAATGGCATGTTTCAGCTCCTTCCACAGATGTTCAATGGGATTCAGATCTGGGCTCATGGAAAGCCACTTTAGAATAGTCCAACGCTTTTCTCTCAGCCATTCTTGGGTGTTTTTGGCTGTGTGTTTTGGATCGTTGTCCTGTTGGAAGACCCATGACCTGCGACTGAGACCAAGCTTTCTGACACTAGGCAGCACATTTCTCTCCAGAATGCCTTGATAGTCGTCAGATTTCATTTTACCTTGCACACATTCAAGACACCCTGTGCCAGATGCAGCAAAGCAGCCCCAAAACATTGCTGAGCCTCCTCTATGTTTCACCGTAGGGACAGTGTTCTTTTCTTCGTATGCTTGGTTTTTGAGTCTATGAACATAGAGTTGATGTGCCTTACCAAAAAGCTCCAGTTTGGTCTCATCTGTCCAAAGGACATTCTCCCAGAAGCTTTGTGGCTTGTCAACATGCATTTTTGCAAATTCCAGTCTCGCTTTTTTATGATTTTTTTTCAGCAGTGGTGTCCTCCTTGGTCGTCTCCCATGAAGTCCACTTTGGCTCAAACAACGACGAATGGTGCGATCTGACACTGATGTACCTTGGCCTTGGAGTTCACCTTTAATTTCTTTGGAGGTTGTCCTGGGCTCTTTGGATACAATTCGAACGATCTGTCTCTTCAATCTGTCATCAATTTTCCTCTTGCGGCCACGTCCAGGGAGGTTGGCTACTGTCCCGTGGGTCTTGAACTTCTGAATAATATGAGCCACTGTTGTCACAGGAACTTCAAGCTGTTTAGAGATGGTCTTATAGCCTGCACCTTTAAGATGTTTGTCTATAATTTTTTTTCAGATGTCCTGGGACAATTCTCTCCTTCGCTTTCTGTTGTCCATGTTCAGTGTGGTACACACCTTTTCACCAAACAGCAGAGTGACTACTTGTCTCCCTTTAAATAGGCAGACTGACTGATTATGAGTTTGGAAACACCTGTGATGTCAATTAAAGGACACACCTGAGTTAATCATGTCACTCTGGTCAAATAGTTTTCAATCTTTTATAGAGGTACCATCATTTTTGTCCAGCCCTATTTCATTAATTTTTTTTTTTTTAATAATTATGTTAATCAACATTTCAAACGTAATGGCTGATTTTGATTATTTAATTTTCAATAATTTTTTATTTATTGTTACTTTTGTAGGTTTCAAGTGATTTCAGTGAGAATTGTGGGTTTTTCCTTCTTTAACTGAGGGGTACCAACAATTTTGTCCACGTGTGTAGCTAATGAATGTGAGTTTTGCTGGTTTATGGTGACGCGCAGTAGGTAGATTATCGTGTCGATTATCTTTTGCGCGATCGAATCCAACTCCACACCTATTTATTTATTATTATTATTATTTTAACAAATTCAGTACTCTGCAGATAGTAAACTTTACTTAGATATTAAGAACTGAATCTGACAATCAGTGTTAAGTCAGATGGTCAATGATTATTCATTAATAATGGCGTGCAGGAGCTAATATAAATGTATTGGTTATTATCACCATAGGGATTTAATATCATTTTCTATTTTGCAAGAACTGATGATGTTTAATCACCTTAAAGTCGTTCAGGTGATCAGGCATGTAAAGAATGATAGTGAGCTAGTGACAAGTAGCCTCAGGTTGATCACACTGGATTAAAAACTGCCTATTAACATAAACATATATAAAATTGTTGTCTTTTGGCTTAACAAGGTTTTCATGAGAGTTGGGAAATGTGGAAAGATATGATCTTTAAAAGGATGCATTAATTCTGGGAACGGGGGGCCAGATGATTTAACAAGATCTGAAATTTACTGCACTGCACAGCTTTGGTAACTTGTGTGTATTCTTATTTGCAATAAAATCGTATATTTGGCTACATGATCCATTTTTGGTCCTTAAAGACTAAATGGTAAATAATAAGTTGCCACTAGGTTATGAATATTTTGCTGTTAATGTTAAGAAAAACAGACCACCTCCTGCAAGACAAAATTATTACAATCACGGATAATTAATTTGTGAATTCTATGTATGATGCATACGACCAGCACAAATCTCAGAGATAAAAGTGAACAAAAGTTTGAATGGATATCAGACGGAAGTGAAAAGCTTGATACAATAACAATGATTAGTCAGGATGTCAGGATCTCTAGCAGTCACTTTGGATAACAAGTTCCTAGGGAGGTCAACAGTGATACTTCATGCAGTGTTGACAAAATTAAATGATCATTTTGAGTATAATTCTGAAAACTTTATCTTGTCACTTCCACCTGCATTTAAACTGCGTTTTAACTGTCTGACTAAAATGAAAATTATTAAAGAAATGTGGAGGAAACATAAATTGGAGCTTACTTTTTGTGCTTTACATTTAGAACTAGGGATGCACGATATTTATCAGACCGATAAAATATCGGCCGATTTGGGGGGAAATTACGTCATTTTTTATCGGTCCGATAGGTGCATTTTTCCGATAGAAAGATCCGATATATTGATGAAATTACGAGTAACGTTTGCAGGCGGAGTAGCCGCCCGTCCGAGACACGCTGGTCACGTCGTCTATCAAGCCTTACTCGCAAGCCTGACCCCGTCACTGCCTGACAGATAATAAAATGTCTTCACCAGCACGGTCGTTTCTCTCAGTGGCAGAAGATGACAACAGCATTGCTATATGCAAAACCTGTTCAGCGAGGATTTCAAGAGGAGGAAAGAAGACGTCAAGTTTTAACACAACGAATCTGATAGCTCATCTGAAAAGTCGCCATCGCGGCGAAGCGGTATTAAAAGAATATGAGACAGCCGCCGAAGCTGCTAGCGGTACTAAAGCTAAGACAACAACACTACGGAGGATCGATGTCCCCATTCAGCAGGCGTTTAAAAACTGCAAAAGCTTCTCAAGAGACAGCGAAAAGGCTAAAGCCATTAACGACAAAGTGACGGAGTTCATAGCGGGCGACGACCAGCCTTTTTCCGTCGTTGAGAACCCGGGTTTTCGTAAGTTCATAGCACACTTGGAGCCACGTTACACTCTCCCAAGCCGCCGCTTCTTCTCGGATGTGTCTCTTCCTGCACTCTATGATATTGTCGCCACATACATTCACAACCTGATCGACAAGAACGGACTACACGTGAGTTTTACCACAGACATATGGACGTCAGATGTTAGTCCGGTCAGCATGCTAAGCCTAACGGCTCATAATAGCTCCTTTACAGTTTACAGTTCTGTTGAACAGCTCAGGGGATCAAATGAAGTTCTGCTTTTTGCTCTGTTATTGTTATTTATAGCAAATGACCACATTTGAAGAGCCAGAAACTTTTGTTTGTTGTTCTAGATAGGCCAGAGCAACAAAAATATCAGTTTTCAATCGCTGCATCCTGCACAAACTGCAGATTATATGAAGATTATAATAAATGTAAAAATATGAATTTATCGGTTATCGGTATCGGTATCGGCCATGAGAAGAAGAAAATTATCGGTTATCGGTATCGGTTGAAATTTTTCATATCGTGCATCACTATTTAGAACAAAACTACGAATTAGCTATGTTGGTTTTTGGTTTAAAATGCTGAAAGAAAGGAACCATTTGACTTAATTTTTGGTTCATGATTAAACAGAGATCTACTCGATATTCAATTCAGAATGGTTTAAGAAGAAAAGGAAGAACTAGAAAACAAAAAAATGAGCAAAAACTGCTTTGATTTTGGTTTATTTGACTCAGACAGTATAATGAGTTCACATGTTTTTGTTTCAAACATAAAAAAGGTATTAAATAGTCATTTGGCCTTTCAATCACTTTTGGAAAAAAAAATCCCTGTCAAGCGGTGCTGAGGTAGAGTGTCTTACTTTTAAGTTTGATAAGTTGTTTTCTCATGGATAACAAATACTAATCTAGCACTCTATCAAAAATAGGTTTATAGGCCATGAGCCAGGGGGGTTGGTCGGTATCAACTGAGGGGAATAATGCTCATAGTGATTTTTGACATTGTATACATGTATAGAGTTAGAATATACGTGATAGCATTGCAGCAGTGGTAGCTAAATGGGTTCTATCATGCATTTTATTTTATAACACTAGGCGAAAATTACATGGGTCAATATATGAAAACATACAACTTAACCCCCCAAAAAACTTATAGAAAGGGTTTCTTTTCACCATACATCATTTCTATAAGGTGTCTAGACTAACATAATATAAGTCCTATGAAATCCTAGTTGGAAAAGTATGTTAACTTCGCCAGACAACAATACGCAAATGAGCTCAAAACTCGTTAAAATTTGCCCAAAATACTCCTTTTCCCCTGAACTATTATCACAGTGAAACTATTATCACAGTAAAAGCACATTGAAAGAGGGTGATGGCAATGCTGCTTTTGGACTGGCCACTAACCTGAAAACTGCCCGGCTTGGTTGTACCTACCAGGGGTATAACCCCGGCTGGTGTAGTCTTCAGGGTCACTGAGGCACACAAGCCTCCCCACCACGACAAGGTAGCAACAATAGGGGAGGGTGTGTTTTTTTTGTGTGTTTTTACTTTTTTGTATGTTTATTTTTGCCTGGATCCTCGCCACCTTTTCTACATGTCAGTTCCTGGCTTGTTCTTTGCTTTGTTCTGGGACAGATTTAAACCAAGGAAGGTGGTTTTGGTGTATATCCCTACGTTTGCCGTTCAGGAATAGTGTAGGCCTGAATCTCTCCAATTCTCAATTATACAGATCATACTTTTTACTTCTATACGTTCACAACCTAATAATCAAAATCATTTTCATCAACTTCTTCCATGTCTTCTTCATCTGAACTTTCCACACTGTCTGAGGTGGATGCTTGGTTCTCACAGTCTGCCAGTGTACACATGTCAGTACACTTGAGGCCATTTGCAATACAGACACATTTTGGGAGTGAACATTTCTTTGGACAGTTACAAGCCAGTAGATCTGCTTAGGACCCTCGATCATAAAGCAAAGTGATTCAGCTCCTTGACATGAAAACACTCTGATTCAGCTCCTTGACATGAAAACACTCTGCTGTTGTCTGAATTGTGTTGTACAGGAATACTCCACCACCACTGACTGGCCTATTTATACTGTATGCCTTAATTAACTCAATGCACAGCATGTGTGTATTGTGCACACCCAGCTCCATCCATTTAGACTGACTCAGGCCAGGTGTGAGTGTGACAACTTAAATCACAGCAAGAATAAAGTAGAAATATATAGCCTATGCATTACTTACCATGTTTTATGTATTCATGTTTAGGTTGTGTACAAATTAAACCTCTGTGTTACATCTTTCATGAAAATGGAAGACATATATTGTCACTATGTTGTCACTGCTTATAAGAGAAAAAAACATCTAGAGATGCTGATTCCAACAACTCTACAGAACAATATATAGCCTGGGCTTTATTCTGACATTTTTTCACAGAGATAGGGTCAATTAATAAGAGAGAACCATCAGTTTGAAGTAGAATGATTAATTCGGATTTTGAAAACTGTGTTTGGCATGTGGTCATAAATTGAGTGATAACACACAGAAAGCTACCACAGATGCAATGCTATCACATTTTTTCTAGTACTAGAGGTGTACCTACCCAAAAATCACTATGAGAATTATTCCCCCCAGTTAACACCGATGACCCCATATTTGGAGTCCTAGCTCAAGTCCTATTAGTGACTCAAAAAAATTGAATTTTTATACATTTAAGCATCAGCTCACAAACTGGTTTAATTCTCACTTTCAACAATGTGCTGTACCTTTCACTTCCCTCTTTATCTCCCAGGTCAGGTTCTGGACAGCAGGATCCAGTCACCATGGCGAATTTCCTTCCTTGTCGATCTTTTCTGGGGAGCTGTTGAGTTTGTCAGCCTTTTGTAAGTCACATAGCCATTGGGTAGTAATTCAGTTCTTGAGTGGCGGCGTGTCTTTGTGCAATACACAGATGGTAGTGAGTGTTAAGCTGCCTAAAAATTGTCAGCACTTCATACTTAGGTACCAGTGCTGGCAGTGCTTTGGGCTTCTAAAAGATTTGCCCCCATCAATTGTGTATTGCACATGAATGCTTTAGAATACTCTGATGCCCTTGCAGCCCTGACGGGCTGCATATTTTTACATTTCTGGCTCAATATTACAATATTAAGCATTTAAATGGAATGGTGCTATACTTTAAAGTAAATACACATTTCTATGTGTTGTTCTTTTACAGAGAAGATTTTTAAATAATTCAAAAACTCATGCCACCAAAGTGGGCAGGTGTCTTCTAGAGTTTCAGGACACTTGAAGACAGATTTGGTCAGCCAGCAGCGTAATGCTCCAAAATAGGGCTGGGGCGATTAGTCGACATAATCGACTACAAAAATTTGTCAACTCAAAAAACAAGTGTCGATGCGTCGCATGATGACGGAGACAATGGCTACTTCAGGTAATGGTGGAAGTATGGACAGCAAACGAGCTCCACCTAATGGGGTCGGTTTAAAAACTTACTTTAGTATTATCTAGAAGCAGCTCCTCTCAATCAGTGCATATGTTCTTTGTGGCTTCCTCGTTCACATTCCAAGATCGAGCATACAGTGACCTGTCAATCAAATAACTGACCGCTGGTGCTGCAAACGCCACATCATACGCCCAGCATCCCATATCTAATTCATTCACTTTATGCAGTTGGCTCAGAGTTGAATCATCAATTTTGTGCTTTTATTTGTCCTATAACTCCCTAATTTATCAGCTGTGATCGCCGACGATAGCTCGCTAATGCTAAAACTTGGTGCACACGAGCTCCGCTGCACATATGTACACTGTCATTTCTCCTGGGAATCTCCTGTAGTTTGATGGTCCACGTTAATTCATGGGTCGGATCACTATATTTGTCCAAAGTTTCCAGGTTTCCAGACCACCGAAGATTGTCCTGTGATTCTACTGAACCTCACAGACACTGGATTGATATTTTTGCTTTACAATTTGGGATGATTCAAGTCGGTTTAAGCTGTATATTATATTTAAGCAGTGTTTGTTGCAAAACGAACACTTCAATGAAAGGGAAACAAACGTGAGAGTAGTGCCAGACTTCTTTTCTGCAGATTGATTTGACATGACTTGTGTAATCACATTGTCCCTTGCATTGCTTTTGCTCTTGAGAGTGAATTATTGTTTGACTGAGCAGTAAAAATAAAAACCTGGGAGCATAAGTCTGTATCTACTGTAGTGGCTCTTGAGTAAGAAATTAAAGCTGCCTTGCATGGCTGCCAAGTTAAACTTACCAATGTGACAGTTGCTTATGTTGCTGGTGGTATTATTTGTAAATACTGGAATGAAAGACAATCTTGGATTAAAAGACTTATATTCACTCTGATCTCTCTGTTTGTCCTGTCATAGTTTTAAGACAATAGTTCACCCTGACTTGACCAAGGATGGAAACTGTGGTTCATCACGCTTCAAAGATGGCAGAGGGTATGTTTCTGGAGCACATACATTTCTACACATACATGTACCATCACTCTTCTTTTATTGTTTTGAAAGTAGGCTTTTTGAAACTGAAGAAGGTTTTAACAGGGACTTAGACACTACATCTGCAACTGAAAAAAGTGTTAATTCTGCCATGCCATGCTCATGACACTGCAGGTTTTTGCAATGTACTCACTTACCAAGGAATAAAGTGACTTATACAAAATTATGTCAGAGAATAAATTACTAAATAGGGAGCTCTTTTCTTACTAGATAAAATACTGGACATAAACCAGTTGGATGAGCAGCAAAAGTTAATATGGCAGCATATGCAGGTTTAAACAAATCAAACTTTGCGAAGTTATGCTGTTCCACGACACATTCTTTTTTGTTGGTGTTTTGATTGATTTGTATATTGCATATAAACATATAAACAGAACAAAAACTGGAATTAAAAAGAATAGAAGAAAAAGAATGAAAAATGAAATAAAATATATAAAATTAGAAATCACAAATCCCACCCCAAACAAATAACAGATACTTTACAGGTTGTAGAGAAATATCTTCTGATGCTAGGTAGGGAACATCATCAGTGATGTAACCTGAGGTCATTAGGTGTTTCAGGTCTCTCGAACATCAGAAGCTGTGTCCGAAATGGCATACTACTCCTACTAACCCCGCCTCTGAATTGAGTAGGCAGTGCGTTCACACTGTACAGTATGCGAATTTTGTGTATGCGAGAAATCCCCGGATGTATACTCAATCGGCTTCGATTTCTGAATGTGGAACGGAGCTTGCTTCACGTACTGCTTCTGCCCCAGATTGCATTGCGCACCTCAGCTGGTAATATGGCCCTTTTTCCCGAGGCTGAAAAGAAATAGATGGCATGTGATTTCAATATTAATTATATATATATATATATATATATAGATAGATAGATAGATAAACAATATTTAGTCAGTATACATTACACAATTTTTATCATTTTATCATATTTTGATCTTTTTACCAGATTTATTTGTATTTTAAATTAGGATTATAGGTAATGTTTTTAACTATTCGTATGAATTTACTTTATTTAAGTGTCTATTAAAGATGTATTTATTACATTAAGTTTGAGCATCTTCTCATCTCTGAATGCATCATCAAAGTGGTCACTCATATTAAGCACAGACCTCTGATTAATAAAAATTATTATTGGTAGAGAGCACATGGTTCAGAATATACAAACGGGGGAGTTTCCAGTTAACAATGTACACTGTGTGCACAATTATTAGGCAAGTTGTATTTTTAAGGATAAATTTTATTTTTGAACAACTACAGTGCTCTCGGTCAATCCAAAATGTTAATAAACCTCAAACCTTAATATTTAAGGGAGTAAAAGTGAGATTTTGACTTCCTTAGGAGAATATCTATGTGTGCACAATTATTGGGGGCAGCTATAGTGTGCAGAATTATTATGCAACTAAATTAAAAATGAACATTTTTCCATCTCACTTGTTTATTTTCACTTGTTAAAGTGAGAATGATAAACAAACAACTCAATTTACAAATAAAAATTGTTGAAATTAAAAAAAAAAAAAAATTCAGTGACCAATATAGCCACCCTTCTTTTCATTAACAGTCATAAGCTTTCCATTCATGGAGTCTTTCAGTTTCTTGATCTGTTGACGATCAACTTTTTGTGTTGCAGTAACCAAAGCCTTCCAGACACTGTTCCAGACACTGTTCAGAGAGGTGTACTGTCTTCCTTCACTGTAAATTTCCCGTTTAAGAGGGGCTCACAAGTTCTCAACAGGGTTTAGGTCAGGTGAAGAAGGAGGCCATGTCATTATTCTTTCGTTTTTAAGGCCTTTACTGGCGAGCCACATAGTGGAGTACTTTGTTGCATGCAATGGAGCATTGTCCTGCATAAAAATCATGGTTTTCTTGAAAGATGCAGACTTTTGCCTGTACTACTGCTTGAAGAAAGTGTCTTCTCAAAACTGGCATTGGATTTGGGAGTTGATTTTAAGTCCATCTTTAACCCAAAAGGTCCAGCTAGCTCATCTTTAATAATACCTGCCCATACCAGTACCCCGCCTCCACCTTGCTGGTGTCTGATTCGAAGTGGAGCTCTGTGCCCATTACTGATCCAGCCACGAAACCATCCATCTGGTACGTCAAGAGTCACTCTCATCCCATCAGTCCATAAAACCTTTGAAAAATCTCTCTTCAGATATTTCTTGGCATGCACCTTGCCTTCCAGCCTTGGCTCTGGCAGTCACTCACCAGGCTGACAGTATGACCATAAACATAAAAAGAAGTATTATCAAGAACATCATTTGTATGTGTATAGGTGTACACACATGCACAAATATTTTAAAAATTACCTATGAGTGGATCAATGGCATTGGACAGTGTTTTTTTCTAAGTCAATGCAAAAAATATTTTGTGAAGCACTTTGTAACTTTATTGAAAAGTGCTGTGTAAGTAAAGTTGTTATTAATGTTAATATTAATATTAAAAGGGTGTCAGGACCTCCATACTCCAAAAATGTCTCTGAATTTTTAACAAGATCAGTTTCTCCTGAGGAGAAATGCTGATTCAGCATTTCTACTTGTTATTCTCTTTTTTTCTTTATTAGTATTATCATGTGCCTGCCAAATCAGATTGTAAAGAAACATCTTTAACCCTGCAACACACCCCCTGCAAAATGTTCACAATCTTTTCACCTCTTTATGTTGTATACACATTTTTTGATGGCTTCTAGAGTTTTGTCATAAATCAGCTTTGAGCACCTGAAAGTTTTCAGCACTTTTCGAGGTCATGGCTAGAGTGGTGGGATCACCTATGACTGACAAAACCTACTTGAAATATATTGCTCCCACACCCACCAATTTCACTGCACAGACATAAAAACTACATCAAAGTGTTGGTAAATTCGTCCTGCTTCCCACAAAAGAGCTGTCAAATCATTAAATTGTGCCCTTTGGCCAACAGGTGACTAATAATGCAAGGTGTGCAGAGATTCTGCCCATTGACCGTAATTTAATCTTTTGGACAGAAAATCCAGATGGTCACTAAGGGTAGGCACTTTTTAACTCCCCAAGTGTTCACGAGAGTTTCGGGATTCCAACAATGTTCTTATTTTTATGGTAGGATTTAAGTAAATTGCGCTAAATCTCAGGAGGTCAGCAGGCGGGGGTTATGATTATCTATAACAGACAGGTCATGAGGAAGGATAATGCTATTCTGTATTGTCTGAACCACCCACTGCATTACGAAATTGAGGCTTTTGCCCTCAGGCCACTGTTTTAGGGCCTATGAGGAGAACTAAGGGATTTCAGATCTCAGCTATCCCCAGTGCAATTAATTTACTTAATGGCAATTAGGCCTTAGGTTGCCCATGTTCTTCTTTGCACTGTTTATTGCATTTTTGCACATCTGTATTTTGCACTTTTCACAGGTTATTAAGGCAGTTATTTGCCAGTTTTGGTATTGGCTCTGGGCTAAACATATTTTTTGTGATCTTTTGTACAGGTATAGTGTTTCTTTCATGTGTGAGTTTTTATCATGTTTTGACTTTTAGACTATTCTTACTGTATTGTCACTGTATACCCTGTCTTTGTTTGCTCCTGTTGCAACACTAATTTCCCCTTATCCCCTTCCTCAAACCAATACTATGAAGTTGCAATGGGAAATCTGGATTTAATGCCAGAGGGAACCATGTAGAAACGAAAAAGGGAATATTTAATTGTCTTATATCCCTTGTAGCGATTTGAAATGAGCCTCACAAGGCCGCACCAAAATAATACTGTAGCGATTGGAATTTATAATAAATGTCTGAAGATTAATAATCTCAAATTATGACATTTATGCACTCGTTGAAAGGGGCACCACCCACCCTTAATGGTGGGAAAATAAAGAAAACAAAAGTTTAATTCAGAAATCAAACATCAAGTCAGTTTTAATTAATCAGTCTCATATCTTAAGTCGAAATTCTAATTTCAGGGACTCCACTTCTGGAAGAACACTAACAGACAGGAACTTAGAAAAATAATGATCTGTTTATTACAGGATAAATGATGGTACAACACACATGCAATAAATGATGATAAGATAATGAGGATAAAATAATAATAGGTGAATAAATAAAGATTCTGAGTCAGGCTAGGAGCACTAAAGTTAATGATAGTGAGTGAATATGCGCTAACATATTAACCTACACTAACTTTGGTGTCGAGATAAACTCGGATGTGGATTTGGAGGAATCTAAGATCACCAGAACAAGAGGATATCTGAGTTATGAACGCAGGAGACAGCACCAGCCCTCTTTAGAGCTCTGGAGGTTTGCATACTTAAGTGAGACTGGTCCTTGGAGAAGATGGAGCAGGTTCCGAAGGTCCGGGCTACTGGCTACTGGCGGTTCGAGCGGTTCAGCTCAGAAGACGACTGAAGTCAGCCGAAGGATGAGCCAGGAGTTGCAGCACTCGGGCCCGAAGCAAAGCCAGCGCCTGTGGATCCTGTGGATGCTCGTTTGGGTACTTCTTTGGTCTCACTCAAAAACTCTGGCACAGAGGATGACCTGGGCCTGCTGGGTTGCGTTCAGAGGTGACTTTGAAAATCACGCAGATAACTCAGAAAAACGAGACTTGAGCAGAGAAAACTTTCAAAAATGGCTTCGCGAAATTAAAGAAAAATCAATCAAAGGCTTAATCTTGAATTGCTATGTGCACAAAAAGTTGAAGTTTCAAAACTTGAACTAAGACGATGTTAAAGAAAAATCAACGTGAATCAACACGTGGCGTAAAACTTAGAAGACTAAGAAAAAGTTCTAAGAGAAAACAAAGAAACGCACCACAGAAGGGTGTGGGCAGAAGAGAGGGTACAAGAGTCTAGAGAGAATAAGAGTAAGAGCAAGAGAGTCAGCAGAAGAGAGTGAACAAGAGCGTGAGCAACCCCACTTCACTGGTTTTATCTTCTCACACTGGGAGTGTCTCCGGCCTGTGTGTGTGTGAGGAGAAAGAGGAGGAGGGGTCGTGTGGTCTCCAAGCAGAGATGAACTCGGATCTCTGATTATTTGATCTAACTTATTCTTTTGGCTGGTAAAAGAGTCAGATCTGATACTCACTCACTATGATTAATATCATTGAATGCTAGGTTTCATGATAAATAATTTGATACTAAACACATATGAATGAAGTGTAGGATCACATCAAACATTCTCATTATGTTTTAAGTATCACATTGGACATGCTAAATTACTCTGAAATGAAACAGATAGTAACACATGGAAACTGTGAACAACGAAAGAGTAAACACATGTGAATGAACTTCATCATGATTAATAATGGATTCTAAATACTCACATTAAGGTTATTCAATGACATTATAACCACCTAATGGTTAAAAATACTAAATAAACAACTACAATATAAACCAAACATTTCTAAACTATTTCTGTTACCTAGAGTTAAGTTATGATTCATAGTCGATAAATTTAACTCTTAAAAGTTCATGAAACAGTCTGAAAAGCTGTTGGTCTAAAGAAACTAAAGAGCGATAACTCGGCTTCTGGAGCACATAGAAAAACGGGAAACATCTCACTTTAACACAAATTTCATGATTAGACAGATTAGTACATTGCTGAATGCATAAGATGTCAGGATCAGTCATTTGTATTCTTTCACCAAAGGAATGCAGTCTTTATCAGTGCATGGTCGAGCAGGGTTTTACGACCGAGGTCTGGAGGTCAGTGTCCCCCCTTATCCTGGGGTCCGTATGTTCACACACTTTAAGAAGGTAAATCTCAAATGGGAGATCTGGGTGTAGGGGTAATGCAACAGATTCACCAAAATTTATTTTATTACCTGACAGAACACTAAAGAGGGATTTTGCCCTAAAACTACAGGGATTGATTCATCAGGGTTTGTCAAATATCATTAATCATTATCTGCATATAATACAATGGTGTGCTTTTCCTTACCCACTACAATCCCTGAGTTGTCAGGGTCAGACCAAATAACTTTAGCCAATGGCTCAATTAAAAGTGCGAACATGAGAGGGGACAGGGGACAACTCTGTCTACAACCCTTACATACAGAAAACCTTCAGATATCAAGCCATTAGTATTATCATTAGTTTTAAGGTCTGAATATAGTTATGAACATGTTAATAATATTAGACCCCCAAAAAGTTTCTCAAACACTGAAAATGTGAAAGGCCATTCCACACAATCACAGGCCTTCTCAGTGTCCAGAGAAATGATCTGTGCTCAGTCTTTGTGAGGCTTAAGGAGTTACGATGTTTAATGCAAGACTTGCATTATATGTGCTGAATCTAGTTGTCACAGCTGTTCTAGTTAGCCAATATCTTGGAACATCTCAAGATGATAATGCCTGCTCCCACCTCAGGGCTGTTTGGCTTTTGAGGTCCAAAATCTCACTTTAAAAAAAGAAAAGGCTTGAAAAAATATATATGTAATTCCAGAAAATAAGTTGTGATTATGGCATTTTTCTGTCATAGAAACATGCTAAAAATCACCATTTTTAAGGAGATTGTCAAACTGATATAGATTTGATTTTTTGTGAAATATGTGGATGGTTAATCAAAAAGTAGAGGCAGCAAGCTCCAGAATCTTGTTTTATTATTTCCACTGTGTTTCAGGATGCTCAATACTAAATTTCTTACTTCTGTAACATAACACACTAATGCAACAACTTACCTTTTTTCATTTCTGATTTTTCACTATGGCCTCGCCCCTTCTAATTGTGGTTGAGCAGCTAAGCAGCATAACTTCAATAGACATAATATACACAAATATATACATTTATTATGTCTATGGTTACCCCACAGGGCTGCGTGTCCCCTGCATGTCGCTTTGCCGGAAGCACGTGAATTAAAACACTGAAATCTGACAGATTGCGAGGGCATCTCCTATGCACAGCCCTCTAAAGGTCACCCCACAAATGTTCGATGGGATTCAGGTCTGGGCTCTGGCTGGGCCATTCCAAAGTCTCAATCTTATTCCGGTGAAGCCATTCTTTTATTGATTTGGATGTGTGCTTTTGGTCATTGTCGTGCTGAAGGATGAAGTTCCTCCTCATTTTCAGCTTTCTAGCAGAAGGCCTAAGGTTTCGTGCCGACACTTAACTGTTATTTGGAACTGTTCATAATTCCCCCCACCCTGACCTAGGCACCAGTTCCAGCTGAAGAAAAACAGCCCCAAAGCATGATGCTGCCACAACCGTGCTTCACTGTGGGTATGGTGTTCTTTTGGCGATAAGCAGTGTTGATTTTGCACCAAATATACCTTTTGCAATGATGCCCAAAAAGTTCAACTTTGGTTTCATCAGACCGTAACACATTTCCCTCATGCGTTTTGGATATTTCATAAGTCTTTTTGCAAAATTAAGCTGGGCTTTGATTAGGCCTGCATGATATATCATTTGAACATCGTCATCGCGATGTACCTGTGTGCGATAGTCACATCGCAGAGCCTGCGATGCCGGAGGTGAATGAACTCAGTTAATTTCAAGAGTAACTGACTGCGATACACTGCATGTGACTCTGCATGTGCTGTTCAGTGATCCACCATCACCTTCGTTCTTTACTCAGTTGCCAATCAGACTCAGTTCTCAGTTGCCAATCAGACTACCCTGCCAGCTGTCAATCAAAATCAGAGAGGAGGAAACCCACCCCTGCACATGTCCTGCACATGGAGTGAGACGCATGTCCGCTGAGAATTACTTTCGGAACATTCTTCATCACCGTTTAGCCCAACAAATAAGAATTGTATGGGTTTTAAATTGTACATTTCCGTGGACCACTCTACTATATGCAGTGCGTGTTTTGTGAGGCGTTTCTCAGCACAACTCCGTTAACAACAACAACGATTGCAAACTGATCAACAAACAGAGAAAACCACAGAACATGAAGACTTGTTGCCAAAAAGAAAAGGAAAGTCAGTTATCTAGAATTATTTCGGTTACAAGATGGATGATGTCGACCAAAACATGTTTTGTGTTCATCTGTTGCCACAATAACGTCCCAGAACAATAAAAGCTAAAAATATCTCTGAGACAGACAGAAGCCATTCTACAAACATTCACAAAAAGAGGTAAGATCAGAGAAGGTTGACTGTCCTCAAGATTTCAGCAGTGCAGCATAACATTAACACTAGAAGGACCACAGAGCAGCCATTTGGCTTTACTCCCCTCAAGGTCCACGGGGCAGCCGATCGGCTGGAAGGATTTTAGCTAATATCCTAAATCACCTGTGAGCACTCATTTTGTTATGCAAACGAGGTGATCGTTGGTGCACCACAGGAGGGGACTGGACTAAGTGGTGTATGCAGTGGGAAGGGACAACAGAAAGGAAGGGATCAACACACATGGGTTGATTACTTTGTTGCTGAAATTTATTGATTAAAAATAAACAAAATTTAAACAACTGTATAGAATAAGAACAAGAATCAGAATCACAAGGGGTTTTATTGCTATTGTCAATGAACAGGTTTCACAGACTAGGAATTTTTTACGGCGTGATGGTGCAACATTAAACAGAGTATAATATGTAAAATACAAGAATAAAAAATAAGAGCATGCAGGACATATATAAAGAATAAAAGTATGAAAGGCTATGTACAATGCTAGGATTTTTTACGGCGTGATGGTGCAACATTAAACGGAGAATAATATGTAAAATACAAGAATAGAAAATAACAAGAGCATGCAGGACATATATAAAGTATAAAAAGGTTGGTGATGGACTTCAGGTGAATATGCATCATCAGGATACAGTGTTAGACTCTCACTCACAATCCTGGCACTGCCATGGTATCTCCCTTCTGCATTTCCCACATGTGTATCTGTAGCAGTCAACACATCGCACAGTGGCATGATTGTTCTTACACTGATTTTTAACCTGGCACATGGCTCTTTTCCCAGGGCTAGGTGTGGAAGGTTGTTGCCGAAGCAATTCTTCCTTTCATGCCTTCTTCGCAGTCACATGAGAGTTAGCCAACTCTCTTGCAAGCTCCACCAGGAAATCCACCCGTCTCTCCTTCCTCCCGGTGCATGCTTGATACAGCACATGTGCATCCAATGCTGCCATATCAATCATGTTATAGAACACAGCGACTGGCCAGCGCCATGTTCCTGTGCGGACAGTGTACTCCCGCACCATCTGGTCCATCACATCCACGCTGCACTTTGTAGCATTGTAAAGTTCATTGCAGTCCCTCTGTCTAGATGACTGTGGAATTTCCTGGCGAATCTTGTTGACTGTGCCTAGGATGGTGGTTTTCCGCCTAAGCAGTTGTTGCGCAAGTGACAGTGATGTAAAGAAATTGTCCGTGGTAACATTTCTGCCCTTGTCCAGGAATGGTTCCATCAGCCTCATGACTACATTCTCGGACAGTCTCTCCCCACTGGGACGACTGGGGTCCTTGCCAAGATATGGGAGGACATTGCAGATGTACTTGGATTTCAAGTCACAAGCCACCCAAAACTTGATCCCAAACTTGTCAGGTTTCGTTGCAATGTACTGCAGGAAACAGCAGCGAGTCTTTGAGGGGAAAAGCTGTTGGTCAATGGTGATGTGTCGACCAGGGTTGTAGGATGTGATGCAGTTGGTGACAAATGACGACCACACAGCAGAAATTGCAGCAAACTTGTCAGTCTTTGTGCGCTCACTGCGGGTGTCCCTGTCATCAAAGCGTAGGTGTCGCATGATGTCTTTGAAGCGATTTCGGGGCATGGTTGCCATGATCTGGGGGTTTCCCAGGTTTGCTCACCAGCAAACCAGAAAATGTGATAAATTGTCAATCAAATAGTGATCCTGTGAATGGGACTGGTTGCATTCACCTGAGTCGTTATGGTCATTCTCACATTCATACTCTCAACAGCTTCACCAGAGTATAAAAAATGTAGTGTCATATGCAAACAGTATGCAATTTAACAATTTAGATACATTTACAATGTCATTAATATAAAGTACAAACAGTTTTTGTCCGTGGACCGACCGCTGGGGCATCTGCTGACGTGCAGGAACATCAGGAGAAGTAGAACCAAACAAAACAAACAGAGGCCCAAACTGTCTGTGCAGTGGCTATGGCTGAAGCAGTTTCTGTCTACAGTTGTTCTCAGGTTGGAAACTCCCCTCCCCCTCCCCACTCACTCTCCCCACAACACAAGTTTCCTTGAAATAACTTAGCATATCCCCTCCTGTGGTGCACCAGCGATAGCCTCGTTTGCATAACAAACTGAGTGTTCAGAGGTGATTTAGTACTAGCTAAAAGCCCTCCAAGCCATTTGGCTGCCCTCTGGTCTTTATAGGTAGAACAGCAAAAAGCCGGTCCTTCTAGTGTTAAGTGCTATTCAGGTCATCTGGTGAAAATTCCTGTATTTTTTAATATCGCAATATATATCGCAGGGTTGAAAAAAATCGCAATATTAATTTTTTCCAATATCGTGCAGCCTTAGCTTTGATGTTTTTCTTTGTAACATAAGGCTTCCGTCTTGCCACCCTACCCCATAGCCCAGACATATGAAGACAGTGGGAGATTGTTGTCACATGTACTACACAGCCAGTACTTTCCAGAAATTCCCGCAGCTCCTTCAGGGTTGCTGTCAGCCTCTTGGTAGCCTCCCTGAGCAGTTTTCTTCTTGTCTTATCAATTTTGGACGGCTGTCCTGTTCTTGTTAATGTCACCATTGTGCCATATTTTCTCCACTTGATGATGACAGTTTTTACTGTGTTTCATGGTATATTTAATTCCTTGGAAATTCTTTTGTAGCCCTCACCTGACTGATATCTTTGAATAATGAGATTCCTCTGATGCTTTGGAAGCTCTCTGTGGACCATGGCTTGTAGCTACAAAGCTGTCAGGAAAAGCCTACTAGAACAGCTGAACTTTATTTCGGGTTGATCAGAGGCACTTTAATTGATGACAGGTGTGTGCTGACTCCAATTTAACCTGAGTTTAAATGTTACTGGTTAAATCTGAACACAGCCACATCCCCAGTTATTAAAGGGTGTGCACACTTATGCAACCACATGATCTCAGTTGTTCATTTTTACTTCACCTCCCTGAAAGATTTGTTTGGTTTTCAATTGTGTTGTCCAGATTATAGGTCACATTAAAGGTGGAAGAAGTTGTGAAATTATTTATGTTGATGTAATTTTTTTACATGACAAAAACCTGGCAGTTGAACAGGGGTGTGTAGACTTTTTATATCTACTGTAAGTGCCTACGTTTGTCAAGTGCTCTAGTGAGGGGTTTTAAACGTAACCCCTAGTGCTCTGTGTACTGAGCCTGGCTTTATGTGTCTTATATGGCCGTTAGAAGCAGCTTTCCAGTCAGCTGTGTGTAGTGCACTAACTGCACTAATTGGTTGATGTGTTTAAGGTAGATGCATCACTACAGCAGGAGAAAGACGACTTGAAGCTCAGCAAGTAGTTGTAGTAGTGTGTGCGTGTAGGTCTTATCGAAAGAGACTCAAGCACACACATGGTCAAAGTGTGTGCATGTAGGTCTCAGACAGAGACTCCCACACACAAACATGGTAAGTGTGTGTGTGTGTGTGTGTGTGTGTGTGTGTGTGTGTGTGTGTGTGTGTGTGTATAAACAATACAAAAATAACATTACGGTCAATGGGCAGGATCTCTGTCCTGTCACCTGCTGACCAAGGGGTACAATTAAATGATTTGAAACCTTTTTTGTGAGAAGCAGAACCAGTGTACCTCGATTTTGATGTATTTTTATGGCTGTGGATTGAAATTTGTTGGCATGGGAGCAATATATTCGAGCTAGGTTTTGTCAATCAAAGATGATCCTCCCACTCTAGCTCTTCCAATATGCACTCATAAAGCCTGAAATTTGCTGAAAACCATGAGGTGCTCAAAGCTAAATTGTGGAAAAACTGTGGAAGATAACACAACAAAGTAAATACAACATATTCAAATGAGAAGATTATGTACATTTTAAAGCAAAAATTAGGTCTGGAGGTGAAAGTATGGGGAAGTTATTCGGCTTGGAAGGTGGAAGAGTGAAATCAAAAATTTGAAGATTTCCCCATTGGTTTCCATGTTAAAATTTTGGCACAAAAAGTTAAAAACTACAAAAAGTATAAAGGTAATAAAATAAGTCCTGCAGGAGATGAATAGTATAATGTTTGAATGGTTGAAATAGCACAAAGTATGAAGGGGTTAAAACCAGACAAAAAATGGTGGAAGAGTAATAATAATAACTAGAAAATTCCAGCGAAATTTTGTTTGTGCCTGCCCGCTCGCCGATTCACTGCTGCTTGCCACTGATTTACTCACAATCAGTCCATGTTTTGGGTGGAGATACATGAGGGCATTAATGCACCAAGGGCTACTTCCTGTTTGGGGATGGTGGGGTCATCCAAGATGGCTGCAGAGTGGGACATGTCTTCAGAGTGGGGTCAGGAGGGACAATGTCAAACATGGTGCTGATATCTTAAAGCATTGACGATTTAGTGCCTTTGCCATGAATCTGGCTTGAAACTCAAGGCAATCCGGCTGTGTCTGTGTTGTGGTATCTGGAAGACAGCTGTCAATCAAGACCAGGTGGGCGCGCCCTGTGCTCTAAGTGGGAATCGTCTCCATGGTGACGGTGCACCTGCAGCTCAACTGTGACACAGACTTTGCCTCACTAAGCCTCTGCCTGCTTACAACAGGACTCGCCCAAACAAACTCACTTTGTAGGAAAACTGTAAGAGATATTGAAATTCGTTTTTTGCAGGTTGAAGTGTTCGGGTCTCATCTAAAGGTCAGAGTTCAAATCACATTTCTACTTCAAAGTATGAAATCACAAGCTCCAAATATGGAAACCACCCCATGTTTTCAGCAGCTCTATTCACTTTGAATTGGAATCTTGATATCTCACTAGTGCCCATAAAAGGCTTGTTGCTGACAAACTACATGTTGTATCAGAAAAAACTCTGGACTGTGAGCGACTGCTCAAATACAGCAATGACATACCAGAAAGACAAGTTGCTACGCTTTATGGTTTAGACGGGAGCGCAGGTTGTTCGGAGAAAATGAGAAACAGTCAGATGTGGAGCATTTGTGTTCTTTTTGAATGGTGGTGGATGGAGGTGAAACAGGTACCTCCTTGTGAACAAAACCTCGTAACTTGAAAAGTGAGTGTCTCATGGATTCAAGGCTCACATTTTCTGCTGGTAGATTTCCTACATTTTGATGTATAATTTGTGTATGTCAAGTGAAAATTGTGGCCTAGGCAGCGATTTGGAAATTAAAAGTTGGGAATACACGTTCACTTCTCTCAAAAATGAAGAGTCATCACTTTAAAAATCGGAAAATCCTCATCTGCACCCCTCGTTTTTAACAGTTACTGTGGCCAAACCTGACCGGATATCGATGAGCCGTCTACACTTTTGAAATCACAGGTCCAGTGTTAACGTTTTGATGTTTTAATCACTCTTCTACGTCAAAGTATGGCGACAGGGCGAGGCGTCAAATCATGTGAAAAATCAAATTTTTTTTTTCTTGCTCTCTCCCATCCACAAGGAAATTTTCACCACTTTTTGGCATCTAGTGTTGCCATGGAAACACTAATGATAGAGAAAAGTATTACCCACCATCGCACGATGGAGATGCACATTTTGATATATTACTGTTCAGGCCACATTAATTGCCGAATGTGTGTCTATAATAAAATAAAAAAAATAAACCTGCCGTCAAGGATACTAACACATGGTTTGGCACACAATACACACTAATGGGGAATTTTGGGGGGCATTTTTTTCAATGTTTTTTTTTCATCACCACCTGTCTTTTTCAGGGGCGTATGCTCTGCATTTTGGGGCCGTCACTGAGCCTGCCTGGACAATAACAATATGTGCATGCCTTGCTCGACAAGGCAGGCACATAATAAAAAAAATGGCTGACAGGAATAACAATAAGTGGAAATGCTTAATTAGCATTTCCACTTAAGAAGTAGGTAGTTAACAAAAATTAGAGATTAGTTAGTTTAATTGTTTTCAGAAACACAAAAGCTGATGCAGGAGAATTGAAGGATAACATCTGCTCCTAAAGGAGACATTAAAGACAAGCTTTGATAGGTGTATCTATGGTACATCTCGTGACAGGCCATCTCTCTCCAACTAAATCAAACTAGTGTCGTCCCTGCAGGGTCTCCGCAGACAGGCCAGGGTAGAAACGTAGCTGAAAGTCATTATAGAAATTATATTAAAATAAATTTCTTTAAAGCAGCTCAAAGAACAGCTTCTGTTTGAGGATACTGCAAAAATCACACCACAATGCTTCTCTGGGATTTGTTTGAGGCTGAAAAAGGAGCCAGGGCTCAGTGGACAGGCTTACTTTCCAGTGGCAGAGAGTCGGTGGGTAGTCTGACCCTAGTTGGTATCATTTTCTAATGTAAATCTGTAATAGGTATGTCACTTTCTTACTTCTCTGGCAGATTAATAATCCTCCAATTTTACGGTGGATCATTAACTTTTGGCCTTACTTGCGCCACCGTTTTCTCCATGGTGGTCAGTTTGACACAGCAGTTTCTCTAATCATCTTGCATGGTCGAGATTCTGGTCAGGGCTTCATCCACATGCATCTCCAAGTTGGTCACTCTGTGATAGTGTTTGCTGTAGACATGTTTGCATCATCCAGCATTCCATTTCCACAGCACAGTATGCTGCTCACTTTATCTGGTCTTCGCTGATCAGCCTCTCCACAGAAAGAAACTCTCTTAATGCTTGAAAGCTGAAAAACCAGGTCTCATTGCCAAGCTTGGCCAAATGATCTATATCCCCAATTTTCATTAATACTTCAGTCATTTTAATTTCCTCCTAACTTCCACATCTATCAAATATAGTTTTAGATCTGTCAAAATAGTAAAGTTAATAAAATAAAAATAAAAATAAGACCAAAGCACAAAACAGGAAACAAAACAACAAAACCTAATGCTGAAAAATGACCACCTCAAGTTTAAAATACTTGCTCCCGTGAGAAAATCCAATCATAAAGTTTCTTTATGGTCCATGTACTTGGCGTTATCAATGAAGTAAACCGCGTGAAAATCACCAGAGAAATGAGCATGTACATCTAATGCCTTTAACAGGGACGTTGCCTGCACCAACATGGCTGCAATGTAGGCACAGCGCGCTGGTGTATCTAGTCTTCTACATGGAAAACTAGATACACAGTCTTCTATATAGAAGACATCTACCTCAGTGGTCTGTGCTTACAAGAGCCTCTCGCTCTAAGTCAGAACTTCCAGGTCATAACAAACAAGTGAATAAAAGACCTGAGCCTGTTTTGCCTTGCAAAGATCCTCAATTCCTGGTGCAATGTTTGATAAACACAGCCACCGTCCGAGAGAGAGGCTAGAACCTCCAGTAACATACAGAGGATCCTTACTCCCTCGCCGAAATTTCAAGAAGATTTGGAGCACTAAATATTTGTTTACTGAAGTTGGCGGTAAACCCGTCTGTTTAGTTTGTGGTGAGCTGGTCGGTGTGTTCAAGGAGTACAATTTGAGTCGGCATTATAAGACAAAACACGCAGAGAAATACAGACACTTGGCGGAGGCTGAGAGAGCGTGAATTTCGGAAGACTTGCTAGCAAAGCTAGCAAAACAACAAGGCTATTTTACCAAGCTACACACAGCCCGGGATGCAGCGACCAAGACCAGCTTTGTAATATCCAACAAAATCGCTAAAAACTGTAAGCCATTCTCGGATGGTGAGTTTGTGAAGGAGTGCTTGGTGGACTCTGCCACGCTAATATTCCCTGAGAATAAAGAAGCATTTGAAAAAGTCCCGCTGTCCAGGCGAACCGTCACCAGAAGGGTAGAAGGCATCGCAGAGGATCTCAAACTTCAGCTAAAGAGTGGAGTTGAAAGTTTTGACTTTTCTCTTTGGCTCTGGATGAGAGCTGTGATGTCCGTGACACTGCCCAGTTACTGGTATTTCTCTGAGGAATAAGGCAGGACTTCTAGATTACGGAGGAGCTGGCAGCATTGAGGTCAATAAAAGGGACGACAACGGGGAGCGATCTGTTCAAGGAGGTAGATGCATGCATGGTCAAGCTTGGACTAAAATGGGACAAACTGGAAGGTGTCACTACTGATGGTTGTCCGAATTTGACAGGGAAAAATGTCTGACTTTTGAAACAGATCCAAGATAAAGTGACTGAACTCGGGTCAGAGCATAAGTTGGTGTTGATACATTGTATTATACATCAGCATGCGTTGTGAAGGTCTGTGCTAAAACTTAACCATGTTATTAATGTTGTAACCAAAACGGTTAACTTTATCAGGGCACGAGCATTAAATCACAGGCACTTGTTTGCACTTTTAGAGGAGCATGAGAATGAACATGGTGACATCAGGTACCACACAGCTGTCAGATGGCTCAGTCTGGGCAAAGTGCTAAAAAGATTTTGGGACCTGAAAACAGAGATTCAATAGTTTTGTAAAAACATTGAGGATGAAATGCACCTGGTATCCTCTCCCTTTACCTGCAGAGTAGATAATGCACCCAGTGACGTTCAGCTAGAGCTCATTGACCTGCAGTCTGACACAGTACTGGCAGAGCACTTTAAGTCAGCATCACTGCTGGAGTTTTACTCATCTCTCAAGGAAGAGAACTTTCCAAACATGAGGAGACATGCTCAGAAGATGTTGGTTCTGTTTGGATCTACCTACATATGTGAACAAACATTCTCAGTAATGAAGTTTACCAAATCCAGGTTCAGATCCTCTCTTACTGATGATCATCTGTCAGCTGTACTTCGCATCTCCACCTCAGACATTCAGCCTGACTTTGATGCACTTGTTAAAGCCCAGCAAAGGCTAGATTTCTCTCACTGAACAAGAAAAGAATACTGAAATGTGTTCATTTTTACTTTTTGCCTGCACAGTTTTACAATCTGTGAAAAGAAAAAATGTGACATATCTTGTTAATGATATTTGGCATTGTGCTGTTTTAATAGAAAGAAGTGTTTTAAGGTGAATGTAATTAAAAAAAGAGTTACAAATGTTTCATGTTTACCATTGTTTTGAAAATTGCACTGAAGAAAATAATTTTTTTTGTGAAAAAAAATCCCCTCACTTTCTTATTTTTAATAATAATACAGACACCTACCAGCTAGTGTAAACAATGCCATTTACTGCTTTCAATTTATAATTAAAATTTATACGTAGAATAGAGTTTAAACTTTTGGCCCGGCCCTCCACAATATTTTCTGCTTCTCATTTGGCCCCTTGGGAAAAATAATTGCCCACCCCTGGTATTAAGTGTAATGGTTAGGATGAGTTTCTTTAGCCAGTCATGTCAGCCTTTAGAGTGGTGGAGCTGTGTCACTCAAATACCTAAGATACTTAAGTGTTAGGTTGCTGGAGACAGGGGGGGCGTCCGACAACCATCCTCATCATCTACCTTGTACCCATGTTTTCCATCACACAGGTCCCCAAAATATGTTCTGTCATGGTATTTCCTTCTATGGACCCTCCATATGTTCACCTAAAGCTCCTTAAAATATGTTGTTCTTTGTTCTTACTGTACAAGGATTTTTCTTAGGGTCAACTAAATGTCAGCAGTATGTTTAGAAATGTGGACGACTATATATACTTGAAGGGTCTCAGACCAATCTTTGTTACGCTTCTGTTACACTTTGCTACACTTTGTTACATTTGTGATATGATGAAGCTGTAACCCAGATCTGTAACCAGTAAAGCTTGTCAAAATTATCATTTGTGTGGACCTTCCATTTTTATAAGGTGTGAACATGGGCTAGGCATCCTTACTGTAATAAACTTCATCATCAGAGTCTCTCATTAACACACCTGTCTGACCACAGCAGCTCGTTACACCACGCCACTGTTTAATGGAGATCTGACATTAGATAACAGAGGGAAAAATTTCTTACCTTCACTCTGGTGTCTAAAACAGTCAGCGTTACTCATCCAGCTCCAACAGTTTAATAATCCACCAATATTATTCTCGTTTACACCCTGTTTGAATCCCGTTTACAACCTCGCAGTTAGCATCTCATCCATTTGCTTGAAAAAAAAAGTTTTTAATGCTGTCTCTGGTCAGCCGGCTCAGACGTTTACTTCCTTGTCTTCTTCCACTGGGACACGGACTGCGTCTCGATTCTGACGCAGTGAGTTAGTTACAATCTGTTTGTACCTGTGGTCTGGGCTCTGTACCAGGTCCAGAGCTGCTCCTCCTGTCGGTTTCTATCGGGACACCTGAAGCTAAAGCGAGTTAAAACTTTTTTTACACAATGCAATGCTTCTCTAGTTATACCAACTTCAGCAACGACCGCATGATAGCAATACACTGCTGTCTGCGTCTCCACACGCAAACCTCAACCAAAAAGTGGCCTGTAGCCACAAATAATGCTCAGAACAGCACCTAACTTCATCATCAGTATATATAGGGTCCCAGCCATAGTACTAGCCACCATGCATCTTTTTAGCATTGCCCGGTTTAATTAGCCAAGTGGGTGAGCCCTGACAAGTCAATAACTGAGTGCAGCGGTTCATTTCCTTGAAGTAACAATCATCATAATTATCATTTTGCATGAAGTAATGATCATAAATGTTCTTCCTTGAGCTGTCAAACTCCGCTGCACTCGGTAATTAACTTGTCAGGGCTCCCCCACAAAGAAGCAGCTGCTGGAGGAGATTGGGTGAGTTTTGTTTGGTCACTTTGGTTTGCTTTGAAACCAGGCAAAGCTAAAAAGATGTTTGATTGGCAAGTACTATGGCTGGGACCCTTTATGTACTGTTGATGAAGTTAGGTGCTGTTCTGAGCATTTTTTGTGGCTATTAAGTGGCTTTTTGGTTGAGGTCTGCTCGTGGAGAGGTCAACCGCTGTGTATTGCTATCATATGATCGTTACTAAAGTTGGTATAACTAGAGAAGCAAGCAGTCGGCAACATTCAGCTCTCGTGGGGTGGGGGTGTCTAACTTGGTGTTATGGTGTAGAAAGCCCAATGCGCGGCAGCCCCTACATACCCCAGCCAGATATGGGCACAAGTCTCTCTGTGCAAGTCCCCAATATACATTATATTTAACATGAACATAAGTGAGATAAAAAGTAACACAAATCTGTGACGACATATGAGATACATTTTCCACACTTAAATCAATATAAGCTTAGAAAAAGAAGTAATCGTTCACTTCACAGCTGAATGTGTGCTGCACTCAATTACTAAGAAAGCTACACACAGTGCTTTAAGTCCCAGCAAATAGCCAAGATAGTAGACCGTAACAAAAGATCTTCTCTGATCTGTCCACCTCTGCATTAAACAGAGGGGATGTACTCTCTCTGCTGCAGGCTTTGGCTTTGTCATGTATGCACATGAAAGGGCAGGGAGCCCTCAGAACAGCCTTAGCACCAAATATACAGTAACTGATGCATGCAAGGAATTCTTTTGATGAAAATGAAAGGATTGCAATACAGATTTATTTTACCCATTAGCTGCTTCTAGCATTTAAGTAACTGTAATAGGAAAGCATGAAAAAAAAAATACATTATCATATTTTTACCTCTCCCTCTCATTTTTCCTTAGTCCTCCAGGACCCCCAGGAGGTAGAAGACATATTGGAAGAATAAACCATGGTGGAGGTCCTGGTGCCCCACCAATGGGAGGGGGTGGGTGAGGAAGGTTAGTAACATTTTTTTTCTTCTTATGAAACATTCTTGACAGATAAGGCAACACGTATTACAAGCTGAGATTTGGAGAGTTGTAAAGACTTCCCATGTTTTTTATTGTAGTTTAACAGATTTGGTATTGAATACTTGAAATTCTAAAATTATAAGATACTCTTCCGTTGTATAATCTTTAATTCTCTTTAGGTAAATGCCTACAATGGATGTAGGCATGGGGCTGGCACAGTATCCTTCTGCTAACAATTAAAACAACTTGCTGAAGCCCCTCTTCATCTGCTGCTGCTGCTACCAACAGTTTCATGACGCTTTTCTGGGAATTCCTTCACACAGGGTCCAGAATGGTTGATATAGCAGCAATCTCATCACTTCCCCTCCTCTTCTGCTTCCACTCTTATGCTATGAACACAGATGTCTAGTGGTTGAGAAAAGCATGTGTGTAATGTTTGTTTAAGTCTTCTGCCATACACCAGTAAGGTAGCTTGTTTTATGATGTTTGATTAAAATAGTTTTTAAAAGTGTTCCTACTAGTTTGTCTTGTTCCAGACTTTGAAAAAGTTTTGCTTTCAGTAAGTTGGTTAGTCAGAACAAGTATGAGCTTGGCTATGCCCTTACAATGTTAAAAGACTAAACCAGTAGTGAAAAATTGGTCATTAAATACAACTTTTTTAATTTGTGTTTGGACCTAAACAAGAAGGATGTAAATAACAAAGCAGCCTTGACATACCTGGGTTTTCGTTGAGTAAGCTGTAAGGTTATCATGAATAAAAACACATGTTCCTTCTCTGTATTTGAGCAGTAAATGTGAAAAACTCTGCGGTTTTGAATAAAAAATAATGTACAACTGCTTAAGTTGAATGAGAAAAAACATTGTATTGCAAATTACTAGATAAGTATAATTATTAAATTTTTTCATTTTTTTTCTTTCCATGATGACAGGTGAGGTACACATATTTTAATACACAAGACTGAAAAGCAGGAGGCTTTTTTGATCTGAAAATCATGTAAAGATATAAAGAGGAATCAGTGAGTAGGTAGAGAGTCTGAAAAAATGTATTATCCGACCTCTTACCAACCACAGTATTGACACTGCTTGGGTGGTATAAACTTTGTGGAGCCTACACGCCAATAAGACATTTATTATTGGATCTGTGTTAAAGTACTGGCCATATAGTTCAATCTCAGACAAGGCAAATGGATAATGTTTTTCCTGCACAGTACTGAAACATAATCTAGAACTAACATCAAAACTAAAAACCAAACCAAAACTTAACATTTTCAGAAAAGGAAACCAAACCACATTGAAAACTAATCCAAACTAAGCTGACATTGAAAATAAAGAGACAAAAATAATTTTATAAACAAGTCTAGCATTTCAAAATTATCAAAACCTTGGTAAACTGACCTCTGGAGTTCCAGCTGGTTATGAATTGATGTGTAAATTTTGGCCTTCTGCTTCAGGCCCTGCACACTCTCACATAAGGGGTAATTAAACATTTTTTTGTGCATAATTAAATTTTGTCTATTTGTAATTCATTTAGTAGTTTAGTGACTTACCCATATTACTGAAATCTGAAACATTTACAGGTGCAGCAGAAATATTAGGGAAAAAAAACATTTTTTCTGATCTGCAATTTTAAAAACCGAATACTATTTTTTTTTAAAGTCCAAAAAAGTATTCATAACTAAAATATGTTCATTTATGCTCTCAGTACTTGGGGGACCTTTTACATGAATAACTCCATCAGTGCGACCTGGCATGGAGACAAGCAGTCTGTGGCATTGCTGGGCTGTTATGGAAGCCCAGGTTGCTTTGATAGCGGACTTAAGTTTATCTGTATTGCTGCTCCGGTGTATCATCTTTCTCCTGACAATACCATTGAGATTCTCTATCAGGTTCATGTCAGGTAAGCCAATCAAGCACAGTTAAACCACAGTCAGCAAATCAATTTCTGGTAGTATTGGCACTGTGGGCACTATTGGTCCTGCTGGTACCTGCTCTGTTTATGTGTTTTGATACAGACTCTGAGTCCGTTTCAAAACCTTTCCACTTTGTAATAAATGAATAATATATATTAGTTTTACTTTTTGAATTTAAGTAAGGGAAAATAAAAAAAATAAAAAAAGGAACCTTTATAGAACGTCGAAGATTTTTGAGCTGCACCTGTACATTCATTACCTCAGTACACTATTTTCAGGAATTGCAAATAGGTTAGACACTTCGAACTGCAATGAGCTTTCTTTACTGTGTGGATGACCAGCTGAAACAAAAAACAGGTTTTATGATTGTTGTCAACATATAGTGGGCAGTGATGTATTTCATGAACTGATTTCACCATAACATACCTTTGTAGTATGAGCATCACAATTCGAATTTGACCTCACAAAGACACTGTTCGTGTCTATGCCACAGCGTTGCTTTGCAAAATGTAAAACTTGTACTATTTTTAGTGGCCAAGTTCTACAAGATTCATATACATTCTTTTTTGTTTCAGGTTTATTAATAACTTCCAATTTTTTTTTGCATGTGCAAACAAACGCCCTCTGTAGCCATGTACACCATTTTTTTATTTCCTGAGACACAATGTTAGGTTCAGTGTAAATAAACAGTTAATGGTGTCACCAAACAAAGGCAGCTCTCTCTCTGAGCATTCGGACACTAAAGCGCTGCCATTCCCTCTGGTGGATCCACATCTCCTGGGTGGTGTCCAAACATGCCAACACTGCTCCTCCCTTCCATGATATCAGCCATGGGTCCATGTCCTGGTGCGTATGGATATCAAAATACTGTTCAATACAAGTATGTAGTCTATAGAGTATGTAGAGTACATTTTGATTAGTTCTCATTGTTATTTCAGGAATTTAACCCACTCAAAGGCATGCAGGTCTGAATCTTTGTCTATTTTTGCACACTATCACGTTACCTTCGGCCGTAAAATAACTTCCACATTGTCGACCAGTCTTCGAAATGATGGTGGCATCTTGTTAATGATGCGGTGAAGCAGAAACTCCTGTGCACCATGAAACATGAGTCCTCCTCCCACTACGAGGATGGAGCTATACATTTTGCGTTTGGTCTCATCTGATGCTGTTAATAAAGAAAGACAAAGTAAGCTAAGAGGAAACAATGTTAGGAACACCAAACTACACTGCTCAAAAAAAGGAACATGTATAATCATTGTAGACGTTGATGACTGAAATATTCCAGTGGAAAATAAAAATGAGTTGTTGAGAACAAAGTAATGTTTAAACATTTAATGGTAAGCAAAATCTTTAACCCACTGAGGACTGAATTTAGAATAATACCTAAAATTAAAGTAGAAAAATGAGAACCCAGCGCTAACTGCACCGGTTTGTAAACCTTATGGGCCTGACAATCTCTTCCCACAACCTGACAGGGTGCTTCAATTAAACAAATGATCCTAAAAACCCTCAATTATTTTTTTAGTCTCTCCATATACACTGAGCCTTTTTGATTCTTACCACAGCAATCAATACTGTGCAGGATTGCCTTATCCAAGCCCAGTGCTTTGCTTTCAAACTGGCTTAAAATAGCAGTCTTTCTTGAGAGATTTGCAGACAGTGGCTCTTCCGCCTCTCCTGCCACCATAAGGCATTCCCCCTGCGCAGTTGCAAGTTCCAGCTCTCCTTTTGTTACACCTCCGCTGCTGTTGCTCCCACAGCCCCTAGGCAGGTTGGAGAGTTCCCCAATCCCTGCTTGACCACTCGCATCTGCATCTAAACCTCCACCTGGTCTAGAAACAGCCTTTCGGTCTACAGCAGATTTTGAGGACTAGAGAAGAAAATGGGTTACCAGTCAATATTTACCAGAATCATTAGACGACTATCTAATTTAATCAAACACAACCCTTTTTTTAAAATAAGTGTATATTACCTGGTCCTGTTTAATCTGTGTAGCAAGCAGGTAATGATCATCATAGGGGTCCTCCAAATCACCTTGACACCGGTACTGAAGTAACGTCATTTTCTGACCAACAACACCAAATGTAGTAGGATAAAAAAGACCCATAGGAGCCTGAAATATGCATATATATATATACATAGTCACCAGAAGACATACTGTATGTGGAAAAGACACAATGACAGAAACAATAGAAATCTCTCAACTACACAGGCTGTGGACAGAATATAAAAAATAGTGTTAATTTTTAAAAGACAAATACCTCTAATTTCTCATCTCCTAGTCGAACCTGATAGAGAAGAGCTGGGGCTTCTGGAAAACGTGTCTGAAATTCATGATCTTGTAGTCCTGATATATCCTGTTAAAAGTAAGAACCATTACATTGATCAATCAGAAATCAACTGTTCCAACGAGTAATAGTTTGAGTTAAAGCTTCTCAATACCATCTAAAAACACAAAGGCCCCATCCCCAAACCAATCCATACTTGGTCTAAATGGCAGAGAGTCTCTTTTAGGTGTTGCAGAAGCTGACAGTCCAGTCTGTTACTCAGCTGACAGTCTCTGTATGGAAAACCTGCTCTTTGCAGGAGCCAGTAGAAAGTGCGAGTAACATCTGAGCCACCATATGCTAAACACAGCCTGCAAAAATATCAGAGGAGAATAATGAACTTCGCTGGTCAATGAACCGAAATGTATAAATCTGAAACTGTGTTCATAGGAAGCCAAAATGATATTAACACAACAACTTACAGAAAATGACAGTATCCAAAATCAGTCAGTAAGACAGACAATGATAGTAGTAATAATTTTAATAAATAAAGTAAAAGGAGAAATCCAACAATAGCCTACTAAATAATGATACTTATAGTGACTTGTTCTGATGACGATTAATTATAATTGTAAAATAAAAAAATACAATAAATTATAAATGTAAATGTGATTATGTGGTAAAAAAAAACATACAGAAAAAAGAGGAAAAGTTATGTTTACAATCAGGGCCCCCTTAACCTAATGGTAGGCCCTGGGGCTGAGGGGTTTTTTAGGCCCTACTCCATCATCCCAATCTAGATCACAAAATGCAAAAGTTTCTTTCACAACATACAACTGTGAGTTTTGCTTCTTTAGCCAGAAAACACCAGCATACTTTTATTAATTAACCTACAAAAAAACAAAAGGCACTTTGTATAACAGCAATACATAACAACTTATGCTGATAATTTAAAACCAAGATAGATTAAAGTTTGAAAAACAACACCATCAGAACAAAATGAGCTTCTTCTGGCTTTGGTGGGCCCTGTGAATGCATAAACACACAAGCACACACACATACACACAAAGACGCACAAACACATACACTGCACACACACAAGTGTTTCCTGAAGGTTTGATCTGTTATATCTCTGCTTGGATGCGTGGTGGACTGAGATCAGGACGTTTTATATTTTTTGAGGTGTGGATGAGAGGAGACAGATGTGTTAATGAGGGAGACTCTGGTGATGAAGTTTATACAGTTAATACCAATGTTTACTTCATATCACTGCTCTGTGTGTGTTGTGTGTGTGTGTGTGTGTGTGTGTGTGTGTGTGTGTGTGTGTGTGTGTGTGTGTGTGTGTGTGTGTGTGTGTGTGTGTGTGTGCATCTTGTGCGTAACCCTGTGAAAGATCCTCGGTGTGTGAGCCTCCCTCCCTGTAGAGACTGATCGTCACCGGTTGGTCAAAGCAGGACACTTGTCCTGCTTGCTTGGTCATTTGAGTGGCTGGGGCAAAATAGTAGGCTACTTTTATTGACACTTGCCATGCTGTGCAGGCAGCTTCTTGATGAGGTAGGCTGTAAATTGGTCTATAGTCCAACTGCTTGGGACTCTGCTACATCTCCTTTGTACTAATAGCCGGCGAGTCAGCGCCCCCCCCCCCCACCTCCTGTCTTGTGCTCACGCTACCCCGGGAGGGTGTCCGCGCCCCCCTGGTTGAGAACCACTGATTTAGAAGGAAGGAATACATTTCTTTAAAGCAGTGTTTTCAACCTTTTCTGAGCCACAGCACATTTTTTGCATTGATAAAATCCTGGGGCACACCACTGACCAAAATTACAGTCTATAGCCTAACAAAGTATAAATAATAGAATGCAGGGGTGCACTTAAGCAAAATTCTTGGCCAAAACCGAAAATGAGGACACCAAGGCTTAAAGCTAAAAGAAATTATTTTGCCAATTATTAGTACCATTGCATTTGTGCCTATGACTGTGTACTAATTTCACTAGAATCAAGGCATTGCAATTGTATAAATCAATATTAATTAATCTTATATATTAAATTAATATTAATTTATGCAATTGCAATGTGAGTTTTGAGTTTTTGAGTCAGCATGTTGCTGCATATTCTGAGTGGTATAAACCTTTAGATGGTGCCCATGAGTCAGGGTCAAAAACAATTCAGAAGCTGTTGTGAGCAGTACAGACACGGCTAGAAGAAGAAGTAGAGTCAGTGGCCCTCATTTATCAATCTTGCGTAGAACTGAGCGCAGATCTGAGTGCAGGATTCATTGTACGACAGGACATACGTGAGATTTATGAAAGGGTACGTATCTGACCAATCCCAGCGTACGTATGATCAGGTCTTGATAAATGCGGTGGCTGAAATCGATCGTCATTAACATGTTACACCCTTGAATATTCATGGTTCAGAAGCCTCACCCACTGAGGTCAAACATGAAAGAGGAGAAATATTTGAAAGATGCAAAACTTTTCCGAGCTGCAAGTGGATATCCTCACGTCTGTGGTGGAAACTAACAAGGATTTTCTCTTTGGAAGCATCAAAACTGGTATAAAAGCAGTCCAAAAACTCCTGTCTGGAGCAAGATTATGGTGGCGGTGAACGACATTGCTGCGGAATAACGGACACTGGCTGAAGTTTGAATAAATCATTAGTCAATAAGTTGAGTCTGACAGAGGCTGAACAAAAATAACTAGTAACGTCACCAAACGGTGTTTTGCTGCCCCTGAGGCACATTTTTATGGATTTCTATTGGATTTTTATCACTGAATAAATAGCAAGAGCACTTTCTAAACGTATATTTTTCATCAAAATCCATCGATAAGGTCCTGTCTCCTCTGTACAGCACCTTTGTGGAGTTTCTCCTCGTTATTTTTCTCCGGGCATCAGGTCCTCACCTTGCACCGGCACAGCCAACGGCACTCCATTCGCTAGTGCAACATTGTGCTGAACTGTACTGGCCCAAATGATGTCCCACACCCTTTCAGGAGTGTACAACAACGTCCCCGCTGCTGGGCCAAGAGAGACACCTGCCGTTTAGGAGTGAAACGCAGCGCTCCACAGTGGTGCGTGTGCGCTCAATGTTAAAACAGCGCTCCTGCTATGTGGCAGTGTTTTCAGAGTTATCAAATAGACCTATTCACTAAGGACATAACAAATTTATTTGATTTTATTTACGTCTTAATCTTTGATGAAATCTGGCTGATTGTGCTTAATGACAGGTTTGAGGTTTGTTTATCAATTATTTTGAGACAGACATTTGCTCCACTGCAGATCCACACAGATTCAAACTTGCGTACACGATTTCAGACCTGTCGTGAGATTTGGTCGTAGCGTACGCTCATGTGCAGATTGATAAATGCTGATCCTCACGTCAAAATTTTCGTACGCAAGGTGTACGTACGTTTTCTGCCGTACGCCAGCTTGATAAATGAGGGTAAATTTTGTCTAGGCATGTAACAAACATTTTTAACTTTTTGAGAATTCAACCAAAGAGAGGGAACATGGGTAGTAAAGAGTGGGGTAAGACATGCATTAAAGGTTGAGACTATAAGTTGAGGGACAACAGCCTCTGTAAATGGGGTCCACAATTAAACTACATTCAGGTGCCTAACAGATCTTTTTTTTTTTCCCCAAGGTTCTGAAGATTTCCTGTCGAAAGTGTTATGACTTTGTGGTGTACAAATGATTGGTGAATTAGATATATCATTAAAACACTGTCACTTAGAAAGTTGTTCTACAGTCTTACCTGGAGTTGCGATGGGACACTCCATCCTCTACACAGCAAACACTTGTCTTTTGGTCCCCTACATCAACCACACAAGCACTGCTCAAACCACTGCCAAATGTGGCACACACTGACTCCTGGTGCACTATGACAGCTGTGTGCACACAAACAACAAATGTAACAAACACATATGCACACACACACACATACATACAAACACCTCAGTGGGGAGAGATAATGGGAAGGGAGACATATTTGATTGTTCCTTAGCTTGACCCGGATAATCTTTGGCAGAATGTATTTACACATATCTTCAGTAAAGTTTGGAGAAGTGTACTACCTGAGAAGCCCATAACAAGCAGCAGCATGTTGACAACTTCTTTAATGTGTTGCCTGTTGCAGATGTCAGGGACCAGTAGAATGCATCTGTAATACTGCAAAACAGTCACAAATGAAATGATAAGGCAAGAGGAGATGCTATATGAAAAAAGAGATCTCTTTGATTAGCTTTAAAATGCATTGTAAAAGCCCTAGAAATGTATGAGTGATGCTGATTAGGACAAGGGTGCCTAATTTTGCCAATCAGTACTGGTAATTACCATTATTCTTTCTGTTACTGTTCTTTACAACAGGATGCAAATTGGAAATGAAAAGAAACAAAAGTTTAAACCATTTTTTGTGATTTTTTTATGACTCAGCAAATGCTGTTTCTGCTGTTTGACTGATGTTCTTTGGAAAAATAAAACAAAAATAAAGATGCAAAGAAACTAGTGCAACCTGTCAGTATCTGTCAACTTGATTTATTTCTGAGTTTCCTGTTTTATTTTGTTGACCCATGTCTCTCGTCTCTTTCAGTTCCTGTTGTGCCGCCTCCCTCACCGTTGATCACCGGTTCCCTCCCTAATGTGTTGCAGCCTTGCCTTGTTTGCCTCACTCCCCTTTCCTTCCTAAATCCAGGGCTGTGTCTCATTTCAGAGACCGCATCGTGATAAGTGCGCTTAAGGGCGCTTAGCTGAGTGCACTGCCGTTTTGTGCCGTATTGTGCCGTTTTGCGCCGTTCTGTGCCCTTCCTGTGTCCCATTTCAGATACAGCAGCCATCGAACGGCGCATCTGACGCGTACGTGAGGTCACCATGCGGCACGAACGTTGTCCCGTTTGGCACAAAATAATAAGCGCGCTTCAAATTCGGTCTCAAAACCACACTACCCCCGCCTCTTTTTCAAGCGTGCATTTATGCACGCTTTCGTGCCGTCAGTATCCCAGAATTCTTTGCATGCCGCTGCACAGCTGTGCATTTCAGGTGAGAGGCTGGACTCGCTTGGAGACACAGCGCGTCTTCGAAGAAAATACAAGCAATCCAAAAACAGCAGACAGTCAGCTCAGGCTGTATGAGAGCATGATCTCTGAACTCACTAAAATCTGTAAACCAAACATTATAGATTTAGAGACGAACTGATCCGCTGTGTTACAACTATCAAAAACATTAGAAATGAGAAAGCTGACAAAACTACAGCAGAGGATCAGGACAACATTGAGTTTTTTTTTTCTTTTAAGATTTAGAGATTAAAGTTGTAAATTTAGGAGAATAAACTCATAAAGTATATAAAGTCATAAAGCTGCTTTTGCGGAGGGGGAAATGACTGAAGCTGGTCATCTGCAGGGTTATCTGTGGATGTATCAGCGGGTCATTCAGAGAGATTTTGTGGTTTCTGAAGAAACAATCAAACTGATGATGATCAACATTTGTGATCCAGAGGGAGTCGAGCTCCGACGAGCACCACGTCTCTGACACCGGCGGTAACCTACACCTGCAGAGACACCAACACCTTATTATGGCATATGGATTCATATCATAAATTAAAGCTCAATGTCATTCACAGATATTTACGGCTGCATTAACGGATATATCCTCAGCATATTCATTTCTGCCTCCACAAAAGCAGCGATTTCCTTCAAGTACACCAATTTTTTTCCCCCGTGGAAAAGACGTATTTCTCATATATTCTTTTTAAAGTCTTTATACTTATGACAATGTTATGCTGATGTGCCAGAGGATGAAGAATCTCCTTGTTTGTGAAACCTATACTGAAGCACAGTTCCTTCAAATGCTTCATGGCCCTAATTTTAACAAGTCTCTCTGAAATAACAGGTTATGTTTTCATTCTCATAAATTAATGACTTTACTCTCGTAAATTCACGACTTAAATCTCGAAGTCCTTAAAGTCTTAAATCTCAATATGGCCCTCATACTCCTTCTTACAAAACAATCATTGGATGAATTGTGCTTGTATGTATCTACTATTTTGTGTCTGTGCAAGGTCGCACAATTAAAACAATAAATGCTGGGCTCCGCGGGTTTCCTTTAAGTCAGTCGTAATGCTAGCCTGAGGGCGGGGACATTTGGCAACTCCACCAGGAAGTCCTCCGAAGGTCTCCAAATGTCCCCGCCCTCAGGCTTACGTCACAACTGATTATAAAAAAAAGCTGTGGAGCGCAGCATGTATTGTTTTAATTGTGCGACCTTGCACAGACACAAAATAGTAGATACATACAAGCACAGATCATTCCCACAACATTCATCCAATGATTGTTTTGTATGAAGGAGTATGAGGGCCCTATTGAGAAGGAGGATAGGAGATACTTCATCCTCTGGCACATCAGCATCACATTGTCATAAGTATAAAGACTTTAAAAAAAGAATATATGAGAAATACGTCTTTTCCACGGGGAAAAAACTGGTGTTCTTGAAGGAAATCGCTGCTTTTGTGGAGGCAGAAATGAATATGCTGATGATATATCTGTCAATGCAGCCGTAAATATCTGTGAATGACATTGAGCTTTAATTTATGATATGAATCCATATGCAGTAATAAGGTGTTGGTGTCTCTGCAGGTGTAGGCTACCGCCGGTGTCAGAGACGTGGTGCTCGTCGGAGCTCGACTCCCTCTGGATCACAAATGTTGATCATCATCAGTTTGATTGTTTCTTCAGAAACCACAAAATCTCTTTGAATGACCCGCTGATACATCCACAGATAACCCTGCAGATGACCAACTTCAGTCATTTCCCCCTCCACAAAAGCAGCTTTATGACTTTATTTACTTTATGACTTTATTCTCCTAAATTTACAACTTTAATCTCTAAATCTTAAAAGAAAAAAACCTCAATGTTGTCCTGATCCTCTGCTGTAGTTTTGTCAGCTTTCTTATTTCTAATGTTTTTGATAGTTGAAGCAGAGCGGATCAGTTGTCTCTAAATCTATAATGTTTGGTTTACAGATTTTAGTGAGTTCAGAGATCATGCTCTCATACAGCCTGAGCTGACTGTCTGCTGTTTTTGGATTGCTTGTAATTTCTCTGAAGACGCGCTGTGTCTCCAAGCGAGTCCAGCCTCTCACCTGAAATGCGCAGCTGTGCAGCGGCACGCAAAGCATTCTGGGATACCGACGGCACGAAAGCGTGCATAAATGCACGCTTGAAAACATGCTAAGCGCGCTTAGCATTTTTTAGCATCTCGTGCCAAATGGGACACCGTTCGCACCGTCGTGACGTCATGCACGCTTCAAATGCACCGTTCGACGGTGCAGAAGGGCACTTAGGTCGATGCGGTCTCTGAAATGAGACACAGCCCAGGTGTTCCCTCACTTCCCTGTCAGACTATGGCTTTTTCCTAGTAGATATATCTAGCCTTTTCTCTAGTTAGTTTTAATAACCCAGTACTCTGATCTTGTTTTCTGACCTTGCCTGCCAGATCTTGTACCTCCGCTCTCGCTGACTGACCCTCTGTACCAAACTTGCTTATGGAGTGAAGACTTTTGTGAACTCTCTGCAGTTGAATCCTCACTTTGTGCCTGACACAACCTTTGCTCTGCAGCAGCTCCTCTCATACAAAGGAGCTTGGCAGAGTCTTTCGCCAAAGATACACTATTTGATTAAAAAAAATCACCAGACTGGTCTGGCATTTTGATTGCATTTGTATACAAATCCGAGTTTAAACATAAAAGGAAAATGAACAAATGCGAAAATATGTTTATTATTAAGCCACTAATTGAATTTACAGGGGGACAAAACATACCGTGATGTATACTGTTACTGTGATTTCGATGAGTGTGTGATTTCGCATCACACACTCCCCACATCCTTACTATCTTGTCTAAACACTGACAATCTTGACTCAAAAATAACTTGAGATAAAAGATTTTTATTGATCCCAAAGGTAAATTCAAGCGTCTGTTATCCCATGTCATCTACTATTTGCAGAAGAGTTAAAAGTCTGATGGCTGTGGGTACAAAGGATCTTCTAAATGTTTCTGTCCTGCAGTGAAGTGGGAGGAGCTGTTTACTACCATTGACCCTTTGATCCATCAAGGTGTTATGAAGACCTTTTAAAATTATGTCAAGCGGCTTTTTGCTGCTTAACATAATTTAAAAAAATGAGGGCATACTGTGAGTCTTGGGATCAGAATCAGAATACACGATACAGAAAGATTGTGTGAGTGGATGAGTTGTATTTTATAGAATTTGATTATGTTTTTCAATGTTATTTGAGACTAAGTAGACATATTTTATATTATTTTATATCAAAATACATCAGTTTCCACTCTAAAGGAAATCATCACAGTCAATTCTGTTTTTTAGCCTCTTACATACACTACAGGCCAAAAGTTTGGAAGCAAGACTTATTTTGGAAGCAGACTCTCAAAAGACAAAAAGTTGAAGTGAATAATTCAACTGTGATTTGTTCTTTTGCTTTTGCACTGAAGCTGTGACTCTTGCAAATGTTTTCAACCCTAAAACTAAGCTCTTATCTTTTGCTGACATATATTTAGCAATGGTTTGTTAACATCAATGTATATCTAAAGGTAAATGGAGTAAGTGCTGGATTTAAAAAAAAGCATTGTGAACAAAAACTTGAAGTTACTCCCAACTGTTCGGCCTGTAATGGCCTTGCTTCCAAACTTTTGGCCTGTAGTGTATAAATGTATACAGTCAAGCCTAAAATTATTCATACCCCTGGCAAATTTTGACTTAAAGTTACTTTTATTCAGCCTTCAAGTTTTTTATTAATTGGAAATGACACAGGCATCTCCCAGAAGATAATAGGATGATGTACAAGAGGCATCGTTGTGGAAAGAAATATTTCAAAGCTTTTATTTACATTTGAACGAAAAGTGGCATGTCCAAAATTATTCATACCCTTTGCAAACTGTCACAGTCTATGGGAGAATCCAAAGTTTATTCCAGATAGTCCAAGCTGTTCTAAAGCATCCCAATTACCCTGATTCATTGGGAACAGCTGTTTAAAACAACTTAACATGTGAAAAACAGCTCTCTGCAGTTGGGTTTTGGACAGTCATGACTAAGACAAAGGAGCTCACCGAGGACCTGCGGCTGCGCATTGTGGCTGCTCACAAGTCAGGAAAGGGCTATAAGGCCATATCTTAATGTTTTCAAGTTCCAGTGGCTACAGTGTAAAGTGTTATTAAAAAATACAAGACATTCTGCACTGTGGAAAATCTCAGAGGACGTGGTCGGAAGCCGAAAGTGACACCTGTGCTGTCCAGGAGGATAGTGAGAGAGGTGAAGACAACCAAGGAGGACACCACTTCTCCAGATAAGGCACACAAAAGCCCGCTTGGCCTTTGCAAAAGCTCATCTGGACAAAGAAGAAGACTTCTGGTCTTCTGTTCTGTGGTCAGATGAAACAAAAATGGACTTGTTTGGCCACAATGATGTAGCCTTCATTTGTCATAAAAAAGGAGAAGCCTTCAACCCTAAGAACACAATCCCCACTGTCAAACATGGTGGTGGGAACCTAATGCTTTGAGGATGTTTTTCAGCCAAGTAGTAAAGAAATGGTTAACAGACAAAAACATTAATGTTTTGCAGTGGCCCAGCCAGAGTCCTGCCTTGAATCCAATAGAGAATATGTGGGGGGAGCTTAAGATCAGGGAGATGGCAAAGAGGCCCTCCAACCTGAAAGAGTTGGAGCTCATCACTAAAGATGAATGGGCGAAAATACCAGTGGAGACATGCTGGTCAGCAATTAGGAAAAACTTGATTGCTGTAAAAGCCAAAAGAGGCTTTTCTATTAATTATTGAGAAGGGTATGAATAATTCTAGACATGCCACTTTTTGTTCAAATATAAATAAAAGCTTTTAAATATTTCTTTCCACATTGATGCCTCTTGTACATCATATTATTTTCTTTAAGGGGATGCCTGTGTCATTTCCAGTTAATAAAAAACTTGCTGGTTAAATAAAAGTAACGTTAGGTCAAAGTTTGCCAGGGGAATATATATACATATACACATATACACTCACCGGCCACTTTATTAGGTACACCTGTCCAACTGCTCGTTAACACTTAATTTCTAATCAGCCAATCACATGGCGGCAACTTAGTGCATTTAGGCATGTAGACATGGTCAAGACAATCTCCTGCAGTTCAAACCGAGCATCTGTATGGGGAAGAAAGGTGATTTGAGTGACTTTGAACGTGGCATGGTTGTTGGTGCCAGAAGGGCTGGTCTGAGTATTTCAGAAACTGCTGATCTACTGGGATTTTCACGCACAACAATCTCTAGGGTTTACAGAGAATGGTCCGAAAAAGAAAAAATATCCAGTGAGCGGCAGTTCTGTGGGCGGAAATGCCTTGTTGATGCCAGAGGTCAGAGGAGAATGGCCAGACTGGTTCGAGCTGATAGAAAGGCAACAGTGACTCAAATAACCACCCGTTACAACCAAGGTAGGCAGAAGAGCATCTCTGAACGCACAGTACCTCGAACTTTGAGGCAGATGGGCTACAGCAGCAGAAGACCACACCGGGTGCCACTCCTTTCAGCTAAGAACAGGAAACTGAGGCTACAATTTGCACAAGCTCATCGAAATTGGACAATAGAAGATTGGAAAAACGTTGCCTGGTCTGATGAGTCTCGATTTCTGCTGCGACATTCGGATGGTAGGGTCAGAATTTGGCGTCAACAACATGAAAGCATGGATCCATCCTGCCTTGTATCAACGGTTCAGGCTGGTGGTGGTGGTGTCATGGTGTGGGGAATATTTTCTTGGCACTCTTTGGGCCCCTTGGTACCAATTGAGCATCGTTGCAACGCCACAGCCTACCTGAGTATTGTTGCTGACCATGTCCATCCCTTTATGACCACAATGTACCCAACTTCTGATGGCTACTTTCAGCAGGATAATGCGCCATGTCATAAAGCTGGAATCATCTCAGACTGGTTTCTTGAACATGACAATGAGTTCACTGTACTCAAATGGCCTCCACAGTCACCAGATCTCAATCCAATAGAGCATCTTCGGGATGTGGTGGAACGGGAGATTCGCATCATGGATGTGCAGCCGACAAATCTGCGGCAACTGTGTGATGCCATCATGTCAATATGGACCAAGCTCTCTAAGGAATGCTTCCAGCACCTTGTTGAATCTATGCCACGAAGAATTGAGGCAGTTCTGAAGGCAAAAGGGGGTCCAACCCGTTACTAGCATGGTGCACCTAATAAAGTGGCCGGTGAGTGTATATATACATACATATATACACACACATATATATATATACATACATATATACACACACATATATATATATACACACATATATACACACACATATATATATATATACATACATATACTGTATACACACACACATATATATATATATACATACATATATACACACATATATATATATACATACATATATACACATATATACATACATATATATATATCTATACATACATATACATATATATACATATACATATATATATATACATATATACATATATATATACATACATACATATATATATACATACATACATATATATATATACATACATATATATATACACATATATATACATATACATATATACATATATATATTTACATATATATATACATACATATATATACACATACATATACATATATATACATATATATATGTTTTTTTGTATTAGTAGCTCATATTGTAAAAAGACACTAAATCTTTGTAACATATTGTTACAGCAGCACTTCAACCATACCCTGGGAAGAATGTGAAATCTAAAACTGAGGCTGCTGCTGCAGCAATCAATCAGTGTGCATTTATATGTGCCAGTTTAAGTCAAATGTTCTGAAGACACATCTACCTTCAAGTCTTTAAGGGGAATATCCAGTTGCTTTTGAATTGTGTGACTCCAGATTGTCTCTAGATCAGCCAACACAGCAGTCAGTGAGCCTCCAGGACCACAATGTATGTTGAGCTGACCTCTCATAATTGGCCAGTGGATGTCATAACAGTCATTTGGATTCACAAAGATGGCCTGTATGATGGTTGGGCAGGAGGGAGAAAGAGAGAAGGGGGGTGGGGTTAATTAAAAAACTAAGAACCATCCTATAGGTTATAATAAATAAGATTTATAAACTCAAATCAATGGACATGGACTGACCTCCTCTCCCACCAGAAAAGAGGGATGGTGTGCTGTGTTAGTCCACCTCACCCTGGTGGTGCTGTCTAGAACTGCTGGGCGGATCTGGCAGTTATAAGCTCTTGCCTGGAAAAAAAAAATGCATGCATGACACATACATGCAAATTCTTTGTAAATTCTTGCACAATAAAGAAGACAAACAATTTGAAGCTGTCTCTTACTTTATTTTTCTTGAAAGTTTACTATCAGGGTTGTCATCCAGGATTCAAAAGTTAAGTGCGTACAGAATTTCAGAAATAAGTACATTATGAAAGCAGTCATAAAAATGTTGCATAGAGAAATGCATTAAAGACCCAATCCGATGAAAATCTTGTTTTTCTTGTTGTCTACATGTTCATATGGTACTTTTCTGATGCTGGAGGACATATCATTAGAAAAATGAGTGCAAAATTGCATTTCTGAGTATTTCTGCTTTCAAATCGCTGTGAACCTCTAGCAGACCCAAACAGCAGGTTCAGACACAGTGGGATTTACTATGTCACTACTCCAAGCTCCGCCCCAGGTGCCCCACCCTGCAGACCACACTCCGAGAAGTAGAATGAAAAGGCGGAATTAAAAGGTGAAACTCAGTAGTGGAGTGTATTGACACTTTACAGGGAGCACATAACAAATATGGCTGACTGTGAGATCCAACCAGCTCCATATGGCTTAAAAGCGAGCGTACGGAAGAACTTTGGCTTCTACAAAGTTAACGGTGAAACTGAAATGGACAAAAGCCATGCCATATGTAAGCTGTGTCACACTAAGATAAAATATTTTGGTAACACCGCAAACATGAGAAGCCACATCACACGTTTCCGCCCGAAGGAGGAGGGAAGATGCCCAGAAGCTGTTGATGTGGCGACTACTCCTTCTACCAACCAGAGAACAATTGGGCAAGTAATTACAAAGCTTTCACCCTACTTGGAGAGGTGAACCAATCACTAAATCCATTGCAACATTTATTGCCAAGGATTTACATCCGTATTGAGCAGTGGAGAAACAGGGCTTTCGAGCACTGCTGCAGGTGATTTTTTAAGCCTGTTTGGGTCCTGTTTTTTGGGTCCCTGTAGCCATGGCCCATTGACAGCTATTTTATTAGGGATTTTTATTATCATGTTTTGCCATAATATTCTGTGCTCAGGATTTAGTTTGAAGTCAAGGTCTAACTTATTTTTAACTAAGGGCAGCTGTTATTTGCAAAGTTTGAAAGTACAATTGTTGTGCTGCTGGTACAGAAGTATATGTTTTATTTGTAAATAAGGGCAGTCTTGGTTTGTTATTGTTCACTAACATTCGAAATCACTTTTGTTGTGCTACTGGTGCAGAAGTATGCATTTTATTTGTAACTAAGGGCAGCCTTAGCCTTAGCAGGAATTTTTTTTTCTTTAAGTCCTAAAGCACTTTGGTTGAGCTGCCAACAAGAATTATATGTTGTATATTTTCTAAGAATGGTTTATTTTGGTATAGCAAGATGTTTTTGTTTTGTCTGAATGCTATATTGCACATAAAAAGACTTCGCTAGCATTTTTTTTTAACTATGTACATAAGGACATATTTTCATATTTCTTATTCAAGATATGTTACAAGCCAAGGATGCCGACACCTTTTTTCCTTACAATGCATTTGCAACTTTCCAGTTTTTTAATTTCCATCAGTTTAATAAAAGAGTTCTTAAAACCACCAAGTGGTGAATGGTCACACAGTGAGACGAAAAGAAAAGAAACAGCTTACAGAACACGCTCAATCCACATTTGATTATTTCTTAACTAAACCAGTGTATTACTTGGATATTTTTCAAAAAACTGTATGGCATCATTACTGAGAGGTAAAGGACCGCACAAACAGGACCAAGCCAAAGACAAGGGCAACAATATGAGACAGTTAACTCTGAAGCAAGCCTCGAGTGGACCCTCGGCTACAAATGATAGCATGTATGACTCCAAGTCAAAAATACAAGCAGAGCTCGAGAAACTGAGCAGAGAAAACCAAGAGGGACACATGCAAACCCAACTTTATTAAACAAGACTGTCGTTTAAGGGACTGAAGGTCCTTACACACCAGGCGAGAATTCGCCAAGCGAATTATTCGCCTTTTTTTAAAACAGCATAAAGTCAATGCAAGCTTCCACACCGGCGGCGATTTTTCCGCGGGGCGAAAAGACGCTTTTATTTTATAAAAATAGCTATGCTCCAGGAAACACACTTTTCAGAAAAGAAGCATGTGAAGCTGAGGAGAGAATTGGTCGACCAGCAATTTAACTCTTCATACCAAAATGGGAGAAAGAGGGGAGTCACAATTCTTTTTAATAAATCAATTTCCTTTTGTCATGAGAAAAGCTTCAGTGATAAAGAGGGGCAATATGTGATGGTAATTGTAAGTACAGGGGGCATTAAAATAACTGCTCAATTTTTATGTTCCAAACAAGGATAGCCCAAACTTCTTCAAAAATATTGCATTATTGATAGCAGATAGAGAAAAGGGACTGACCCTAGTAGGGGGCGATTTTAATTGTGTTTTGAGAGCAACTGTTGATAGGCTACCTGCTGACTAAGGTTCCAAATCACCAAAATCTCGGGCTTTGTCAACATTGATGGGCTTGGTAGACGTTTGGCGTAACCTACATCCCCGGGAAAGAGACTTTGCTTTTTCTCACATGTACATTGTACCCACTCAAGGTTACCATGTTCCTAATGTCTGGGGCAGACACTTTAGAGCTACTCAATGTAATATAGAAACAATCACCATCTCAGATCATGCCCTTGTCTGTTAAAGATGGGCCCAAACAATAATTTTTAATACTGGAGAGCCAATGTATCTACTCTAAACAAAGAAATGATCAAACAAGAATTACAAAGGGGCCTAACTGAGAACCAAAATTTAACAGTAATGATGAAGTGTCTCCAACAGTATTGTGAGAGGGGGACAAATGTTGCCTGAGGGGCAACATTATTGCAATCTGTTCTAGATTAAAAAAAGAGAGACTTGCAGAACAATCAGAATTGGAAAACAAATCTAGAAATTAGAGGAAGAATATCACATAACACAAAATGACAACATATTGACCATATTAAAGGAGAACAGGCAGAAATTAAATAACTTATTAACTTATAAAGCAGAGGGACAGCTTCGATTTACTCCAAAAGTATTATGAATTTGGCAATATGGCTAGCCGGCTGTTCATGTTTCAGCTGCAGAAATCACAATTAAGCAGAGTGGTGCATAAAATCAAATGCCCAAATACTGCTGAGGATATTGCAAAGGCATTTGCCACATATTACCAGGAACTATATGGGGATGAAAGATGGATATGACTGAAAACCTCCTTTAATCAATCAATCTTAATAAACAGACTGAGGAGGAGGCTGACCAAATAACGAGCCCAATTACATTTAAATAAATTTTTAAAAAGCATTTTGAAACTCAGAAACAACAAATCCCCAGGAGTGGATGGCCTCCCTGGAGAATATTACAAAGAGTTTGAAATGCAGCTCACGCCGCTCTAGCATAGGGTCTATAATTATGCACTCTCAGAAGGTGATCCTCCTCAGTCGTGGTCTGAAGCTATTATTAGTGTCATCCACAAAGATGGCAAAGATCCAACTCTATGTACATCTTATTGCCCCATCAGCCTCCTATGTGTCGATCCAATAAACATCATTGCAAGTACAATTCAAAATCACATCAGAAAACTTGTGAAACCTGACCAAACGGGTTTTATTGCTCAGAGACAGGGAACAGATAATGTTAGAAGGGCCTTATATCTCGGAACGATAGCACAAAAAGGAACACCCCATCTATGTTGCTCAGTTTGGATGCTGAGAAAGTGTTCAATCAGGTGGACTGGGCCTTTCTTCAACAGACTCTTAACCATATGGGCTTTAATAATACCTTTATTAAATGGGTCCAGAATTTTTATGAAAAACCCAAGTCACAAGTGAGAGTTAATGGCCATTGCTCTGATTTTTTCTCGCTGAGTACCAGACAGGGTGAGGTTCCCTCACCCACGTTATTTGCACTTAGTACAGAGCTGCTTGCCGAACTTAGTAGATCTAATCTTCTCATACAAAGAATTAGAGATGAAACCTATGTTCATCATAAACTGTCTCTTTTTGCTGATGACATTTTATTATTTTTAGAGATCACTTCTGTTCCTGCTCTGCTCCATAGCCTTAATCCGTTTAGTATAGTATCAGGTTATAAAGTTAAAGGGATATTCCGGCATAAAATTAATTTAGAGTCAAACACACAGTAACACTGAGTTAGACAACCCCTCGAGAGATGAATGTTGCCAACCGCTTGCTTCTCTAGTTATACCAACTTTAGTAACAACCACAGTATGGCGATTCACAACGGTCTACGGAGCCATAAACAAACCACATTGCTACTTTACAGTCACAAATTATGCTCAGAACAGCATCTAACTTCATCAAAAGTACATAAAGGGTCCCAGCCATTATCATTTCCTTGAAGTAATAATCATCATATTTATCATTTTGCACTGCAGACGCGGCCTGATCTTCTACCTTAGCATCTCCGTCATTTCTTCATTCCCATGAAGAAAGATCATAAATGTTCTTGCTAAAGCTGCGCCCCCGCCTCAGTCAATGATGGACTGGTCGGGGTCTCACTACAAACAAGCGACGGCTGGAGGAGAGTAGGTGAGTTGTGTTTAGTCTCTTTGCTAAAGAAATCAGACAAGGCTAAAAAGATGTTTGGTGCTAGTGCTATGGCTGGGACCCTTTATGTACTGTTGATGAAGTTAGGTGCTGTTCTAAGCATTACTTGTGGCTATAGAGAGTCGTTTTGTTTGAGGTTTGTGTGTGAATCCTGAGACCGCTGTGTATTGCTATCATGCAGTAGTGGAGCGGGAATATGAGATAATAGTGCAAATGGGTGATACAAACATGAAATTTGGTACAGAGATCCTTTATACCACTACTAATCATAATATAACCTCTGGCCACCTGGGTGGCGCCATTTGGCTACCACCAGGTCAACGTTTTAGACTCTATCACTCTGCTGCAGCTATAAATCTTACATTTACCCTACCTTTAAAATAATATAATATGTTTTAGGTATTTATACCAATTAAAAACAACATATTAGGTTCCAATATGGCAGCAAATATCCAATATGGCGGCCTAGTCACACTCTAAATTGCTGATTTTTGAAAGGATGATCAAAATGGTGATACAACCATATAATTTAGTACATATTACCTTAATATGACCATATTTTAGAATCAACCTTTGGCTAAGCAGATTTCAACCATTTTAAAAGATGGCCGCCCAGAAATAGAAATGGGAAGAATTCGGTATTTTGTTGGTCATTATAGCTGCTGTTTGGAAGTTTGTCATATATTTATTCATAATAGATCAGGGTTATTTATATGTCATAGACATGAGCTATTATGAAAGGCCATATTTGTTTTAAAAATGGCCACACCGTATAACATGACAAATCAATAATATATTGTGTAGTGTCATTACACTACCAGGGCACACTGGTTGACACTATAGCTGTGAGACTCAGCATGGGGTTCAATGCTAGCCAGTAAATTTGTCTAAATAAATTGTCTAGTTTCCTAAACGCTATTTAGCTTGCCCCAAGTTAAAGTTAAACAGCTGCACCTGAATTGACAGGATGTGCCAGTGTGGGAGAGCCAAGCCAAGGAAGATGGGGCTCAGAAACACTGACTCCTTTCTCTCTTTCAAAACACTACTCAAAACCCACCTGTTTCGCTCCGCATACTCCCTGTAACTGTTTTATCCATTCCCTGTGTCGATTTTTATCTGTTTAAATTGCTTATTGTTTTATTTATTGTTATATTACGAATGTCTTGCTTTTAATATTGTACAGTGACCCTGGGTGCTTTGAAGGGCGCTTTCAAATAAAATTTATTATTATTATTATTAGTCTTCTGGAAGGTGTATAGATCACACAGAAATTAAATGGCATTGGATGAATGATCGGGCTGGGGGTAGGATAGTGATCTTGTTATTATCTTAGCCCAGTTGTATCCTATACTTTAAAGTGTAGAGTGGAACAGTAAGTTGTCTTTAATAGGTGGTATATAAGGATAATCCCTCGCCCTAGACAACAGCAATGGACACACAGACAGAAATACCCTCCACGCCTTCGTCACAGGCAGATAGTAGGCCTGCATCTAAAACAAAAAACAAAAAAAGGGAGAAAAAACACAAAAAACAAAAAAAGAGAAAAAAGCACAAAAAAGCACAAAAAAAAAAAAAAAAAAAAAAAAAAAAAAAACCACACAAACAAACAAAAAAACTACCCACCTAGGGCCCAGTCAGTACCCACATGGACAGCCCAAGTGGGAACCAAGTGTACTCCACAAACTTCCCATATAGGAAGCCCACCTTGAAACATATGTGGGTCCTACCTTGGCGTGCTGGTCTGGGTAATGGTACTTATGTCACTAAAATGCAAATACTTTAAATGTGTCATCATAAATTGATTCTATCTATGGAAATAAATACAACTATGTGCTGCATGCTCTTATGGCTTAACCGTGAACTGCAGTATATTTCTGCTATTTATCGGCAGCCATATTGGAAATTTGCCACCATATTGGAACCTAATATCTTATGTTTAATTGGAATACATACCTAAAACATTATAATAAATTAAAATGAGGGTATGTGTAAGTTTTATAGCTGCAGCAGAGTGATACAGTCCAAAACGTTGACCCGGTGACAGCCATTTCTAAAAGCTTGCGGACATCATGAAAAATGGCTCCGCCCAGGTGGCCAGAGGTTATATTATGATTAGTAGTGGTATAAGGGATATCTGTACCAAATTTCATGCTTGTATCACCATTTGCACTATCCCCTCAAAAATCAGCATATTCCTGCTAGCCTACAGTTATTACTGAAGTTGGTATAACTAGAGAAGCAAGCGTTTGGCAACAATTATCTTTCGAGGGGGTGTCTAACTTGGTGTTACAGTGTGTTTGACCCTAAATTAATTTTACGCAGGAATATCCCTATGTTACAAACAAATTCGAAGCTCTAATGGTTGCGGGGAACTGGCCATCACAGATGGATAACCTTGTCTCTTTCAGATACTTCAAACAGGGTTTAAATATCTGGGAGTAACTCTTACCCCTAAGACTACACTGTTGTTTTCTTTAAATCATGAGAGATTATTTAAGGAAATTAAAAAAAAGACTTAAATAAAGGGGATATATTTCCACTTTCACTCCTGGGAAGAATTGAATGTATTAGAATGAACATTCTCCCTCAACTACTTTTTTTGTTTCAAAGCCTCCCTGTTTTTATACCATTGTCTACATTTAAAGCATTCAACAATTTTATATCACAATTTATTTGGCAGATCAAAAGGCCAAGAATACACTTTAAAATTTTGATATCTGATAAGGGAATCGGGGGCATAAGATTACCCAACATCAAACTGTATTCTTGGGCTGCCAAAATAAAAGCAATGGTGGTCTGGGTCATTCGTGATCCAGAGATACAGTGGGTCACTACGGAGGAATATTCATTACCAGGAATTTCCATCTTGAGTCTTTTATTCCTTAGGCTGCAGTCACAGAAAAAAATAGATTACAAACTTGTGGGTCAAATATACATTATAAGTCTGGAACCAGGTGCAAAAACAATCAAAAGGAATGGTGGCCCTCTCTCGAGCCATGTCCATTAGGGGGAGTATTGAGCTCTTTCAATCTCTAACAGACAGGGGATCTGACAGATGAGCCCAGAGTAAACTCATCACTATGAATCAGCTGTTTGAAAGGAATGTAATTAAAACCTTTTCCCAACTAAGAAGCAAATTTAACCAACCCTCAAGTGACCACTATAGGTACTTAAAAATAAAAAGTTATTTCACAGAACATATGGATTGGGATCAGATCAGATGGGAACCAACAAACATAGAAAAGCATTTTATTCATTTGAATGAAAATGATGGTGTAATGAAAAAACAGGTGTCTTTGATGTATAAGAAACTGTTGATGGGTTTGTCAGACAACACACTTCACATAAAACAACAATGTGAAATGGAACTAAATGTGACATTGGATACTTGGGGGAAACACAGAGGAGATCCTCAAGAGGTGTCACCAACGGCTGTACCTCCTCAGAAGACTTAACTCCCTTGGAGTCAGCACACCCATCATGACCACTTTCTACTACGCCTTCCTTGAAAGCGTCATGACTTTTTCCATAACCTGCTGATTTCACTCCCTCAGCCTACAGAACTGGACCAGACTGCAGCACATTGCATCAATGTGCTCCAAAATCATTGGTGTGCCTGTCAGAACTCTGGCCCACGTTTTTAACCAACAGGCCCTCAGACAGGCAGCTAAAATCATTAACGACCCCTCTCACATACTTCAAAAATAGACTCGCCACGTATCTTTAACAGCTACTCTGGATACGATGCTGTGACGGAGCTGATACACGTCTTGTATGCTTTGCTGCATTGATCAGAATGGCAACTTATTTGCTGCGTGATACGCAACACTGCTGCCACGCTCCAGATATTCATCCTGTATGTTTTAGACTTAAGGCAGAAGAACTATCACGTCTGAGGTGCACATACAACATACACAAGAATGCGGATTGCATTTCCATGAGGTAATAATCATAAATGTCCTTCCTTGAGTATCGAAACTCCGCTGCACTCAATGATCAACTCGTCAGGGCTCCCCCACAAACAAGCAGCTGCTGGAGAAGAGTGGGTGTGTTGTGTTTAGTCCCTTTGCCAAAGAAAGCAGGCAAAGCTAAATAGGTGTTTGATGGCTAGTACTACGGCTGGGACCCTATACAGTGCATCCAGAAAGTATTCATACCACTTCACTTTTTCCACATTTTGTTATGTTACAGCCTTATTTCGAAATGGATTAAATTCCTGTTTTCCCTCAAAAATTCTACAAAAAATACCCCATAATGACAAATCGAAAACCTCTTTTTAGAACATTTTGCAAATTTATTAAAAATAAGACACTCAAATGTTGCATATACATAAGTATTCACAACCTTTGCTATAAAACTCAAAATTGAGCTCAGGTGCATCCTGTTTCCACTGATCAGCCTTGAAATGTTCCTCCAACTTGATTGCAGTCCACCTGTGGCAAATTCAGCTGATTGGACATGATTTGGAAAGCCACACCTGTCTATATAAGATCCCACAGCTGACAGAGCACATCAGAGCACAAACCAAGCCATGAAGTCGAAAGAATTGTCTGTAGACCTCTGAAACAGGGTTGTATCGGCGCACAGATCTGGGGAAGGTTACAGAAAAATATCTGCTGCATTGAAGATCCCAAAAAGCACAGTGGTCTCCATCATAAAGAAATGGAAGACATTTGGAACCACCAGGACTCTTCCTAGAGCTGGCCACCCAGCCAAAATGAGCAAGCGGGGGAGAAGGGCCTTGGTCAGGGAGGTGACCAAGAACCTGATGGTCACTCTGACAGAGCTCCAGCGTTCCTCTGAGGAGATGGGAGAACCCTACAAAAGGACCACCATCTCTGCAGCACTCCACCAGTCAGGCATTTATGGTAGAGTGGCCAGACAGAAGCCACTCCTCAGTAAAAAGCAAATGACAGCCCGCTTGGACTTTGCTAGAAGGCACCTGAAGGACTCACAGACCAGGAGAAACTAAATTCTCTCGTCTGATGAAATGAAGATTGAACTCTTTGGCCTGAATGCCAGGCGTCATGTCTGGAGGAAACCAGGCACGGCTCACCACCTCGCCAATACCATCTCTACGGTGAAGCATGGTGGTGGCAGCATCCTGCTGTGGGGATGTTTTTCAGCAGCAGGAACTGGGAGACTTGTCAGGATCGAGGGAAAAATGAATGCAGCTAAGTACATCGAAATCCTTGATGAAAACCTGCTCTAGAGCGCTGGAGACCTTAGACTGGAGCGACGCTTCATCTTCCAGCATGACAATGACCCTGAGCACAAGGCCAAGAAGACAAATGAGTGGCTTCAGGACAAGTCTCTGAATGTCCTTGAGTGGCCCGGCCAGAGCCCAGACTTGAACCTGATTGAACATCTTTGGAAAGACCTGAAAGTAGCTGTGCACTGACGCTGCCCATCCAACCTCACTGAGCTTGAGAGGATGTGTGTGTGTTGCATCATACACAAGAAGACTGGAGGCTGTAATCGCTGCCAAAGGTGCTTCGACCAAGTATTGAGTAAAGGGTGTGAATACTTATGTATTTGCAACATTTGAGTGTTCTCAAAATGTTCTAAAAAAAGTTTTTCACTTTGTCATTATGGGGTATTTTGTGAAGAATTTTTGAGGGAAAAAAGGAATTTAATCCATTTTGGAATAAGGCTGTAACATAACAAAATGTGGAAAAAGTGGTATGAATACTTTTTGGATGTAGTGCTAGTACAAAAGCAGCACTAAAAACTAATAAATGAATAAATAAACAAGTGGCTGACAGTGTGTTCATCGCTGTGTTCACTCAAAGTCATGCAATACTCACAGAAAACGCTGATAGTGTGAGCCAAAGCACTCAATATAAAGAGGTTGTTCACACTGCTGGATGCTTCTCCTCTGAAGCTGCTCTCTGCCGCCGTCATTGTTTACTTTCCTCACGAAGATGTGAGCAAGATCTGAGCATGAATCCGAGCGCTTCATTAGCCTATCAGAGGCAGATGGGTATGATGATTTGAACTCCAGAAATGATTAAAAAACTACAGAATGCTACAAAATGACGTATCCGTGCTCCCGGCTTTCCGAGGAGAAATGCTCAGCCGTGCTCCTGGCTTGGAAGGTTGAAATGCGTACACGCTGTCCTGGTTTAAATGGGTTAAGTGATTGATGCTGATGACGGCAAGGCCAGTGCGCTGTTCCTGAGACATGGTTGACCTTAGGTACTACTTTATCAACTTCAGTTTTGAGAAGCTCCTCTCTGCTTGAGCCACTGTGACTGGCAGAGTAAAAGCAATCGTGAGAGCAGAGCTGACCCCCACGACCCCCTCCCCGCTTTGTCTCATACAGTCTGTCAGCCTCTGTGCAGCACCTTCGCAGCAAGCAGGGGCCCCTACAGCAGAAGGGGGCACCAATATGACAAGAGTTAATACAAAACTGCTCTGCGTCGCAGATTTATTATTATTATTATTTTTTATTATTATTTTTTTGGAAGTGCTTGTGCCGCCCCCCATGAGTCATGATACAAATGCCGCCCCGGGCGGCTGCCCAGTTCACCCGTGCCTAGGACCGCTACTGCATGTCAAGGCCTGATGCATGATCTCAGTCAGGCTCGTCTGTTCATAAATCCTGTACAAGACAATACAGTCTTTAAGACAGGCAAACAAACCATTAAAGCATTGATTATTTATTAGATTATCTTAGATGAGATTGAATTTAACTAATCCTTTTGAAGGTTCCCTCAGGGAAATCAAAATCAGCCCTGTTGTTTTATTTTCTGAGATTCACTCTCAAGTAATTTACCCAAACTCTCAAAGCTACACTATCTTGTGCTCCCACCATGTCCAGCAGGTGGCCCTTTAACACCACATGAATAAAAAAAAAAACAGACTGTTCTAATTACTTTAATATTTTCATTTCAGTGAATGCTAATCTGGTAGAGAATCCAACAGTTTCCTGGGTGGCATTCAAAGCTTTAGCAGAAACATCTAAGGCTGCAACAACGTGACAAAAAAATCTGTTGCCAACTAATTCTGTGATCGATCCGTCAGGTCTTTATATATGTCCATGGACACCGGCGTGTAAACATCAACAGGATGCACAGAAAAGAAACAGCCATGGCCGAGGCAGTGGCGGAGAAAAACATGGACACAACCCAACCCAAATCTCGACCTAAAACATGAGCGGTGTGGGAAAACTTCACCAAGACTGAAAAGGAAGGCGTTCAGTGCAACATTTGCAAAGCCCGTTTTGCATGGCACGGGAGTACATCGATGATGCATGAGCATCTGAAGAGAAAACATGTGTTTCTTAGCCTGGATGAAGGCAGTGGCACTTCAGCAGACACAGGGTAAGTCATGCCGATATATTTAAAAACTACTATAGTCAGTAAAAAGGTGAGGAATAAACAAGTTATCGTGGTAGTGGATGGGTGACTGGGCGCCGCCATCTTAGTTTAACCATCTGGCGTCCAATATGTCACCGGGGGATCATTTATAAGAATGTAATACATAAAAAAAATATTGTTGGTTGGAAATTGTGGGAATAATACACAGTATGATAGCCGGCCTAAAACCAGAGATGGGTAAAGACAGTAACTATTGTTGCGTCCGAGTCATTGACATAGAATGTTGGCTCTTTCCAGACATTAAAAATCGACCGCAGAGCAGCTAAAAAATGTTTTTGGAATAAGCAAAACAAAAAAAAGTGTCTGTGTTCATCCAATTAATCGATTAGTTATTTAAATAATCGACAGATTAATCGGTTATCAAAATAATCGTAAGTTGCAGCCCGAGAAACATCAACTGCTTTGCTTCTTACCTTAATCAAACAAGAATGGGCCAAGTTAACACACCTAAATACGAGAACAGAACATGTTTACTGATGTCAGAATGAGGTAAATTCATCCAGTCAGAGTGAGCCGGAACAATTTATTTAAAAAGAGAGCCCAGGTCCATATACAGTGGACCAGGAGAAATTACTATATACATGGTCCCAGACCAGGCTGCCCCAAGTTTGCAGAAACTCTCAAATTCAGAAAAAATTCTCAAACATTATGGATATAACCACAGAGCAATGGTTTCTTACTTGCCAAGACATAATGCATTATCTTCTTAATACTACTCTAAACTATAGAGATCTGAAAAAAAGTGCATACAGCTGAATATGAAACCCTTTTCAAAAGACCCTTTTCTGGGCTAGGACCCCCCAAGTATTTTATGTCACTTTTTGGAAGAAGTTGGACAGTATTTCTTGGATATGGGCTGTATGTTCTTATGCATATACTGTATGTACCTAGTGTGCAGGGTTGTGAAATTTTCTTGGGATAAGGTTCATGCCACTCCCTCTGTTGTGATCAGATCGCAAAAAAGGGCTCTGCTCCCGATTACAATATACAGACCTGTTCAGTTGATGCAGGCGTCCTCCGCACCCCATTCGACATCTTTTTGGACCATATGGCCTGGTCAATCATTTTAAGCCCATTCTGCCTCTGCTCATTAGTCTCTGGTTTCTTTTGGACACAAAAAGGAAGAAATAATATGAGAATGATGGAAACTACAATGTGGTTATTTCTGATCATAAGAAGGAACATACATTTAGGCCCTCCCTTGACAGCAAATTATCTTCAAATCTGGGTTGTCCACTTTGCTTGTGTCTGCGGGCTATTACATGTGGAACTGTCACTGGAAGAGTATCTGTTGCTCGGCCAATGTGGAGTGTCTTTGATCCAGGGTGGATCACAATCACGAAACTGCTCTGTATTTGCTGTGAAAGAGAAAGATATATTAATTCCTTGCAATATACATGTTTATTTAAAAGCACAGTTTTTAACAGTGTTATAATTTACCAGTGTTTCCAGACACTGAATTGATATGTTGTAGGCTACCATAATGTCTTATATCTTGTGAGTGACAGGGAAAAGATGTTTGTTTTTCTTCAGTGCTGCAGTTTGACTTTGTTTCCATCTATCAAGTCAGAACAAGCAGAGCTGTCCAGTACATTAATGTGGTGCATTTTTTAATGACTTCTCCCTGATCAGCTTGTGGTAGACTGTAATTCTGCCTCCAACTCTCAGTGAAGGCGGACGCTTTTCCTATCGCTCCCTCCCTATCCTTATCTGCCCTGCTTGCTGCTCTATGTCCTATGCTGTCTCTGTCTGAACTGCCACAGCCTCTCTCTGCATCTCGCTCCAAACCTAAAATCATGGATTTGATCAGCTGGTCTCTCAACACAATCGACCAAATTTTCTCGACAAGAAAACTGGGTAAAGGAGAACCCGCCAGCCCTGATGAAATGTTTGCTGCCGGATAGACAATGGACTCCAATGAGAAGTGGAGAGTCGTGTCCCTGTTGATTCTTTCCGTTGAGGATGTTGAAGACGTCTACATAATTGGAATTATGATAACAGGCTTTCAGCTGTTTGGAGTTGGCAGTTTCCTGATCTATTGCAAAGTTCAGAAGATGTTGGCAGCACTTTTGGCCACCGGGAAGCTGCCCGTCATGACTGAGGGAATTTGCAGGGCTGTCAACACTTAGACTCAAGCGATATACAAACCTCAATTGCAGTAAGGTTGCGATTGAGGAACACCTTGGCAAGTTCGATGCCACCTTGGAGAAGTTGACAGCCCAGCGCGGTTGAAGTGGACACCAAATTCGAATGTTCAGGTCAATGCCGTCACAGACCAGAGAGACTCAAGGTAGATGGAAAATTACAAAGTCTGCCTGTCCAAAATCAATTGTTATCTTCATTGGCTCTCCCACAGCAGCCTTGGAAGGCTGCTATGTCTCCTGTTCTGGATGTTATGCAGACTGATGCTCGGCCCTATCCTCCCCCATCCTCCTTCTCCGGTGAACTCTCCAAGGCCGTCTCCTGTTATCAGACAGCTGGGACATTTGTGAGGGACTGAGATGGAGACAATGCCACGGGCCTACACATACACATACATGAAGAATAATCACACACACACCCCTCTAACTCAACACCTTCCTGGAGTATCTTAGTATCTAATGCTGATTGGTTCCAGTTGATTGTGAATCAACAACAAAGTGAGTCACTTATTAACGTCTTTGTACAGGTGTTTTAGTCGGATTTCACCCTCCCGTCCATTTAGAGTAGAAAATAATGTGTTGAGACTTGGCAGCATGCAAGTCTCATTGTTTTCTGTCTTCCGCTGTACCCATCAGTTGACGAGGGGCGTCGGGTCATTGAGTACTCCTTGTGTAACACAATTCCCCATTTTCACATACCTTCCTTTCAGACCATTATGATCATCATTTATGTTGCATTTTTTTACTAGACATTTTGACCAGTGATGTTCCAATCTTCCCTACAACGTGTGAAAGGCTAGGATATGCCTGCTCCAAGTTGCACATAAACCAGACTAGTTTTCTCTGCATCCAAGTTACCCTGTGATGTCTCTGTCATCATTGTTAGTAAAGTATCTTGGAAGATCCAGACTACCTCTCCTCCTTACTGATCTTAAAGGATGGATTACACAACCTGAGATCATTGAGATTTATACAGTTTGTTGTCCCCAGAGTCCGAACTGAAATGGGAAAGAAGGCTTTCAGGTTCTCTGCCCCCTCTGCATGGAATAATCTACAGACTGAATTTAAGCTGCAAAACTTGGTGTCTTTGACCGGTTTTAAATCTGCAATTAAGAGGCTGGAGTCCAAACTCTCAGAATGTGTCTGTTTTAACTGATGTTTCTTCACATTTTTTATTCTGTATTGAGTCTGTGTGACTGTTTGTTGTAACTATGTATTGCTGCCATTCTTGGACAGGTCTCCCTTGCAAATGAGATCCTCAGATCTCAATGGGACAAACCTGGTTAAATAAAGGTTAAATAAAAAAACAACACTACTGAGAAGCCCATCATGCATCCCCATAAGTCAAAAAGCTCTTGTTCAATGTTAAGCTCTGAGGGGTAGTCATCATCTATGTCAGCATCAGGTAACATCTTGGTTTGAGCTCATTTCAAGCTGTGTATTATTTATAAGCCACTGCGGTGACAGTAATTGTACATGTGTGGCAGGGAACTGTCTAACACGAGTCTGGTCCTGCTCATGGTTTCTGCCTGAAAAAAATGAATTTCCCTGGAATTTCCCTTCAGGGATCAAAAAAGTTCTTCTTCCACTTCTATTAAAGGGACATTTTTCCTCTCTACTGTAACTTGCTAAATACTAGGGATGGGCAAAATAATCCATATGGCAATGTGTCGCAATAATTTGTTTCCTGATACTATATCGATACTTTGAAATGTACTATTGGGATATTCAAAGACAATGGATTTCCCCCCCAATGAGTTCCACCTGTGGGACCGCAACTACACACTACAACAGGACATTCTTACAGGACAAAATTCAATTGACACTGCAGTCTTTAAACTCATGGTGTGACACCCACACTCACACAAAGACCCACATGCACGCACACGCACGCGCGCGCGCGCACACACACACACACACACACACACACACACACACACACACACACACACACACACACACACACACACACACACACACACACACACACACACACACACACACACACACACACACATTGCTGAAAGCGCACCCCAGACAACCTGCAAACACAGCTCTATAACACAAAAAAACAAAGTTACACGGAAAAATCTGTCAACATTTCACCTCCTATGAGCCCCCTGCTGCACCTTGGCAGCGCCAGGCTCCGCTGGTCATATCACTCTACTCCTCCTCTTGATGTCACTGTACTGTAGCAGCAGCGAAGCAGCTCGTAGCCGCTTCCCCTCCCCAGTTCCAACAGTTCATAGTTCATTCAGTAAGATGGCGAATAGCGATAACATCATTATGAGGAAGTATTCGATTAATTTCCACTGTTATGCAGATGACACCCAGCTATACCTATCCATAAAGCCAGAGGAAGCAGGCCAGGTTGCTAGGTTAGAAGCCTGCCTCAAAGATATAAAATCCTGGATGACCAATAACTTTCTAATGCTCAACTCAGACAAAACTGAAGTTCTGGTCCTCGGTCCTAAACACCTTAGAGAGGCGTTCTCTAGTAATTTAGCTACATTTGATGGTATCAGCCTGGCATCCAACCCCACTGTGCGTAATCTAGGAGTTGTATTTGATCAGGATTTATCTTTTAGCTCCCACATTCAACAAATTTCTAGGACAGCCTTTTTCCACCTGCGCAATATCTCAAAAATTAGACGCATATTGTCTCAGAGCGATGCAGAAAAACTAGTCCATGCCTTTGTTACCTCTAGGCTGGATTACTGTAATTCTCTCCTATCAGGCTGCTCTAGTAAGTCATTAAGGACTCTTCAGCTGGTCCAAAATGCAGCAGCTCGGGTATTGACTAGAACTAGTAGAAGGGAGCACATCTCCCCTGTTTTAGCCTCTCTTCACTGACTCCCTATTAAATATAGAATTGAGTTTAAAATCCTCCTTGTGACATATAAAGCGCTTAATGGCCAGGCGCCATCATATCTCGACGAGCTAGTTATACCGTACTTTCCATCTAGACAGTTACGCTCACAGTCTGCAGGTCTGCTCGTTGTACCAAATGTCTCTAAAAGTAGTGTTGGAGGAAGAGCTTTCAGCTACCAGGCACCTCTCCTCTGGAATCATTTACCGCTCGAGGTTCGGGGGGCAGACACACTCTCAACTTTCAAGAGTAGACTTAAAACGTTCCTCTTTGATAAAGCCTATAGTCAGGGCTGATTTGAACCAGCTCTTAGTTATGCTGCTATAGGCCTAGACTGCCGGGGCTATCTGGCACACTGAGCTAGAATCTGTCTCTATCTCCTCTTTAGATCTTTATGTCCCATATAAGTCACTGACCAGTTTTCTGTCTCTCTGAGTGTCTCTGAGTCTTTTAGCTGCCACTGGACTAATGCTGCAAACGGTCTGCTGCGGAACTGCCTGACCCCAGCTGCATCCATCCTGGGCCCTGAGCTCCTCCATCTCTTTGGCTCTTTGGCTTCTCTGGACCGTTGCTGCAGAGACCCCCCCCCCCCCCCCCCCACACCCCCCGGCCCTGAGCTCCTTCTTCTCTCTGATTCCTCTGGACTGTTACTGTTACTGCAGACATGAACATCAGCCTCACTGTCATTATTGACATACAAAATAGAACTGACTACGATTAAGCCTGCTAACTGTAATCACACTCAATTAATTCAACATTGTCCATTATTTCTCATATCCTAAACCTGTAAACTGAACGTCTTTTTGTTTCACCATTACATGAGCTGTTGTCGTTGTTGCTGTTGTTCCTGCTGCCTCCTGTCTCTCTCTCACCCTCGTTCCCTACTCTCTCTCCCTCCCCCTCCCTCTCCGTACTAATTCTCTCTCGCCTTTCCCCTATCTTGCTGTCTCTCTCCCTCCCCCTGTCCTCTCCCCCTCTCCCCTCTTCTCTCTACATTCCTCCCCAACCCAGCAGCGGCATGGTGGCTGTCTAGCATGAGTCTGGTCCTGCCCAAGGTTTCTGCCTGTTAAAAGGAAGTTTTTCCTTGCCACTGCTACTCATGTTAGTTGAGATGGGCCAAAACCCATCTTAGGTTGGTTCTTGATCATCAAACAATGAGCGTGGTCTCGACCTGCTCTTGTTCTTTGGAAAGCGTCTTGAGATGACGACTGTTGTGAATTGGCGCTATATAAATAAAATTTGATTTGATTTGATTTGATTTGATCATTCGAGCAGCTCCTTCAGCCTTCAAAGCGGACATGTGGGTGCACTTTGGTTTCAGAGACAAAGAGGGAAGTAATTGGATAAATCAAACATGGTCTGCAAGCTTTGTCATGCAAGTTACAAATATTTGGGAAACACAACCAACTTGTGTGGTCACTTAGCACGATACCACACTGATATATTAGCACTGCCAGTGACACCCAAACAAGTGGACCCAAATCAGACCACGCTGGACGAAGTCGACAAACTTCAAACTGGCTCCGTGCATGCACAGAAGATTACGAGGTCAATTGTGCATTCATCTGTAAAGATCTGCGCCCATACAGCGTGGTTGAAAACGATGAATTCAGGCTGATGGTGAACACTCCGGAGCCCCACTTTGTGATCCCAACCCACAAACACATGACAGACAAAGCAGTGCCTGCAGGTACAAAGAGGTGAAGGACTGTGTAAAAACATCTCTTAGTTCTGCCGAGAGAGTGGCTTTAACGTGTGACGGGTGGACATCAAGAGCCACTACATCGTGTTACCATTACGTCCCACTAGGACTGCACCTAACGATCTTTTTATCGAATAAGCCAACAATTATTTTTTCGATTAGTCGACTAATCTATCAACTCATTTATCGATTATTCTAACAATTTATTTTTATTTACCGATCAATATAACAATGAATTTAACCAAAATAAAAATTAAAAACGTGTCCTATTAGTATTGAATTCAATGATTTTTTCAAGAATCTCTTGAAATCAAACAAAAAACAGTGAATTTTTACCAATGCTTTCTTACACTCACAAAGCAACTATCATTGCTTTTTAGCTTAACTAAAGTCAGCTGTAAGTAACACTCAGCCAAAAGCTTGCACTTTGTGCTGAGCGACATACTGTAAACCACGGTATACCATTTTCGGTTAACCAGCCAGTCGATGCACCAGCCTAATAGGTTATTGTTGCTTTGCATCCTCCCTTATCAGGTGCATGCTCACCTTACTCACAAATTGTGTAACAATAGTTGCAAAAAATATAATTTGTGACATAAAATCTATTACAATATTGCATTTGTGAAATGCATGGCTGGGAATTAAAGGGCTCGAAATTATTTCATTTATTATTATATATATTCATTCTTTAATTGTTTTCCCTTTAATTTCCTAGAAACCCTGGATATGTTTGTAGGAAAGCCAATATTCTTTGCTGTAAAATATGTTATGTAACAACGATGGTTGTATTAATAAAATAACAATAATGATAATAATATAAATAATAGGGCTCGAAAAGGCACAATATGTCGCACGAATGTTGCACATTGCACCTTTTTTACCTTCTTACTTGTTAAAGCTGCTGGTAACCCGAATTTCCTGCGGGAGTCATCCCAAGTGATGAATGAAGTTTAGTCTAAGTCTAAGTCTAAGTCTAATCATTGGCAGTCCTCTCCCAGCAACTGCAGTGCTGTATAGATACTGGTGTTGTCTTTTTAATAAACTCCTTTTATACAAGAAAGCCAGTGTCACAAAGCCTCCTTCTGCATCTACACAGCGCGGACAGACCAGATACAACAAATTGGCATCATGGACAGGATCAGATACGGCCTCCAGAGGATCACCGCAGCTTCAGCGCATCTATTCTTGCACCACATTGGCGCCAGGTGAGTGTTTGACTCACATAAAGGGCTGCTGGTTTAGTTTGTTGGAGCTGTTGTGTTCAGCTGTTTGGCTGTACTGTATAAAAGTATCTTATGTAAAAAGGCTGTGATGTGCTGTTGAAGAGACTAGTAATGGGAGTGTGCTAAATAACCATGCAAGATTAACAAAGATAGGGCCCTTATCTTAACGGTAAGACGTGTAAATTAGTGACTAATGTGAACGTCTGGCTGGAAAAGGATAGTCGAAATTGGGGCGAGAAAAGAAAAGTGAGGAGTGAAAACCTGGAGCCCAGGGCAATTGGCAAATAAAGAGTAAGAAAAGTGAAAAGAGAAATAAATGATGAAAAGAGATAAAGAGTAAAAGAGATAAAGAAGAAAAGAGAATAAAGTAAAAGAGACAAAGTGAAAAAGAGAAAAGGGCTGAGATGGCCCAGGAATAGAGAAACAAGAGAATAAGTTAACTTAAAGTTAGGGAAGTCGTGATTGGAAATACAAACCGGTGGGGAAAGTTTACAGAAGAAAAAAGAGAATAAGTTAGCTTAAAGGTAGGGAAGTCGTGATTGGGAATACAAACCGGTAGGGAAAGTTTACAGAAGAGAAAAGAGATTAAGTTAACAGACAGGTAGGGAAGATGCGATTGGGCATAGGACAGTTAAAAGAAGAAAAGGCCTATATACTAGGACTGGGCGATTATATGATTGTGATCGATGATCGCGATAAATTTCAGTTCGATCACAGTGATCAGCTGTGAGCATATTTACTCGATCAAACATGGCAGAAACGTGCGTCACGACAGCCAATCAGAGTCGAGCTTTTCCTGCTCACTTCTGCAAGTTACCGGAGAAGTAAGGAGAAATAAACAGAATGACCGAACATGGAGCTAAACCCAGAGCTGAGGGCAGCAAGATAGATGTGAGCCATGACTTTGAGTCATCCTTAGAAGATGTCATAGTTGAGTTATTCAAGTTATTCAACGTCTCTCCAAAGTGACGTCAAGCAATTAAGCCGATAAACCGGCAACATAACAAATCTGTTCTTCCCGAATGATTATGCGGGAAGCATGAAAATGCGAGCGGAGTCTGTACAGCCTGTCACTGCTGACGGTACGAGTAGCATTAGCAGTTTAGCCACAACTAGCGGTGCAGCCACTAGACCAAAACAGCGATCAATCATATCCATACCTGCCAACACTCCCGTTTTTCCCGGGACTCTCCCGTATTTCAGACCTATCTCCCGCCCACCCCCCGTATTGTCATTTCTCCTGGGAATTTCTCGTAGCATGGTCCGCATTCATTCATGAATTGGATCAATATATTTGTCCAAAGTTTCCAGGTTTCCAGACAACCGGAGATCGTCCTGTGTTTCTGCTGAGCCTTACAGACAGTGGATTGACACTTTTACTTTACAGTTTGGGATGATTCAGGTTGGTTTCAGCTGTAAACTATATTTAAGCAGTGTTTGTTGCAAAATGAACACTTCAATGAAAGGAAAACAAATGCGAGATATGCGAGAGTGATGCGTTTAGGGCAGCCTCGGATAAAAGAGTGCTGTATTTCATGCACAGATGTTCAGAGAGCCTCATACGGGAGAGCATGTAGAACATGTAGTACTGTTGAGTTAAAATGTTTTTTAGATTTTTCTAAGTGTATCTTATTCAATTTTCTTTGTTATTTACTTTGTATGTTACAGGCATGAAAATGGGTCAGGGGTTGAAAAGGTGAGAAGGGGGGTAAATACAACGGAGAATGAGGGCCACATAAGGAAAAAAAACGTTTTTAAATCTTAGACAATAAAGTTATTATTTAGGAGAATAAAGTCAATAATATATAAGAATAAAGTCGTAAAGTTACCTGTTGTGGAGGAGAGTTGCTAAAATCAGCAATGAGGAGCATTTAGATGAATTGTACTTTAGTATAGGTTTCACAAACATCGAGATACTGGTACATGAGCGTTACACTGTCAGAACTTCAAAAAGAATATATGAGAAATGCTGCTTTTGTGGAGGGGAAAATGGCTGAAAATGGCTGTACAGAAACTAAATTCATCAATACAGCTGTTAATAGCAATAGCATAGGGTTTTAGTTTATCATATGAGTTTATCTGCCATGAGGTGTTGAGGTCTCTGCATGTGTAGGTTACTGACTTACTGTAATCATCGGGTCTATCTCGTCCTTATAGAAACCTGCTCTATTTCGGCGAGTGTCTGTCTTCTTCTGTAGTCAAACCGCAAGATATCAAAATCTACCCGGATACAGCAATGCTGCTTTTTGATTGGCTGTTCAGTAGATATACTTTATTTGATTGGCTTGCGCGTGGCACGCAGCTTCTGAACTCAACCATTACGTTTTAATGAATAAATGAATAACATCAGCGGCGAAAAGGAGTGTTAAAAAGACCAGGGTTCACATGTTTTTATTTTGTCACAACAGGCTTCAAGCATGGGCCAAAGCATAGGACAACAAGTTCTAGAACCTGCATGAAGTCATTAAAGGCACACGCTTTTGAATCCGTCCAACGGTAAGGAAAACTTGGATTATTTCGCCTTGTTGTGTACTTTCAACCGCGCTCCCGTCCCCACAGGCTCTCCAAGCACTCCAAGTACACGTGAAGAGTGTGCGCATGATTGGAATAATGGAACGCAGTTTGGCCTATGATTGGTTCTCGTCAGTGAAGGAGCCAGGAGGATTTGCTGACCGTCCAAGTGTCATTTAAAGGGCCGATTTCTGAAGTGCTCAGTTTACGTTTTAAGTCAATCACATGATAATAATAAAGAAAAAATCTCCCGACCCCGACCCCCACCCCAAAAAAAATTCTCCCCGGATCTACACGATTCATGTAGGTCACCCTTTTTGACTTAAAAACGGCGAATTTCGCCGAAAAGTGAGAGATTTTCATGCCTGATGTTAATAAAATGTTGAACTAATCTCTATTTTTTTTGTTTTTAGTAAAGATACTTTAAAACTGGCACTTTAAAAAAAATCGTGATATTAATCGAGATTGGACGATATGACAAAATAAATCGTGATTTTTTTTTTTGCCAAATCACCCAGGCCTACTATATACTATAGTAAGGAAACATTGAGCTCAGTGAGAAGAGGTGTGCTGGAATTTTGAGTGTGTGAGAGGAGCTTCTGGTGTGTGTGTGTGAGGAGTATGTGTGTGGATGTCAAGCTGTGAGTGTGAGTGCAAAGGAGTCTGTGTGTGTGTGTGTGTGTGCAGTGAGTGGTGTGTGCACAAAGTTGGGGAATGGTTTAGCATAGGTATAAGTGATAAACTTATGATAAAGTGATAAACAACGTCGTATTAAACATATATGATATAAGAAATTATCATATAGGGGAAGAGATACTGTTGCCTTTGTAGTGCTAAAAACAAGTAACTGCTATGAGCCTCTCAGGATAAAGAGGACGTTTGTACACCTAATAGTAAGAAATGAGCCCCTTATTAGATGAGGAGGACTTTGGATGACTAATAACATCCTTGACTAATATTGAAATCAAAGAAGTGTAGAGACCAGTAAGGCCATTTGTGTTCATACAACTACAGGGAAATAACAGAGTAAAGAGTGCAGTAAAATGGAGTGCTGACTGATGGGTGTGGTTTTTCTCTCTGTGTGTATGAATGTTTAAAGTTGATGGTCACTTGCTGATGATCATGTGTAGAGGGAAAATCCTAGTTTAAGATAAGAAGAATCCAGGGAACTTTTCCTCCCCCTTTCTTTCTCTTCTTGCAGGCCTGAGAACAGAAAGAAAGCTAAAAAAAATTTAGTTGAACTACTCTTAAATGGTATACTATGGTAAAGGTGAATGGTGTATAATAAATTTAGGCTGATAGATTTGTAGTTTATGATAGAGGAAATCTTTGAATAATGGTAAAAAAGGTATGTATTTAATTGTACTGAGTGAGGTGATTGTATTGTACTAAAGATGTAATTTGTTCTTTGTCCTCAACTCTGATGCATGAGAGGGGAGAGGAGGATGGAATGTGTCTGAATCTGGATCTCCCAGAGGGCAGATAAGAAGAGAGTTGGCTGGGCTGCAAACAAAAGGGGGCTTGCGGATGAGAGGCTCACCAGGCCCTAATTCCATTTTGACAGGCTAGTACAGTTTTGTCTACAAACTCTTCTCCTATGTGTCTGCTGCTACTTAGTTGTACATACACAAATTTATAATGGAAACACATTTAGTTGGGTTAGTGCTAGACAATAGGAGCAGTTGTTTGGGAGTTGTCTAATACAATATGTTGGTGTTAGGAAGAAGGAAAGCTTGGCAATAGACTGACTAGTTGAAAGAGCTGATTAAGTACTGGAGTACTGTTGAATTAATAGAGCATTTCTAAGGGGTCTAAATTCTGATGCACTTATGGATGTGGGTTGTCATTGCTGCATGGTAAAATCACACAAAGTGATCTTTTTTGGGTCTTGAGAAATTTTAAGTCTCTGGGGCTGGCAGATTTCTTTGGCTTTCCTTGTTTTAAGGTGAAAATAGCTAAACTGCACTTTGAATAACCTGTTTGGTCATCAGTTGGTGTTCTTGATTTCTATGAAGAAGTTTAAAGGCAGTATCACAAGGCCAAACATGGATGTTAAAAGTTCGAAAGCTATTACTCCAGTTGATGTAGTGACGAAGAGCAATCCACTTGTTAAGGGTGTTGAAAAGATGTCAAAGAAATGGAGTAAGAGGTGGCCTGACATTGACCAGCCTTGGTCAGTGGAAGGTACCTTTAATCCAGAAGTAGTTAACACAATGTAAGTGCTAGTGTCCACCTATAAGGCAGAGCAAAAGAGAGGAAAGAAGGGAAAGAAACATAAAGAAAAGAGACAGATGGAGCTTGGCATTTTGCAATTGTTTTAGCAAGAGGGGCAGAAGATGCTAAAAGCTGATAAGGAAAGAAAAGACAGGATTGCAGAAGAAATACACAAAAAAACGTTAAGGAAACAGAAAAATTAATGGCAAAAGTGAATGAACCTTTCTCACATACGACCCCAGTGAAGAGCCTCCCACTGTATGAGAAAGAGATAAGGTACACTGATGTTTATCCTCAGCTCCCCGTAATTAAACAGGAGGGCACATATCACATCAAAGATGAGGAGGAGCAGATAATAGAAACAGGAACAGCTAAAACAACTATTAAGATGTACCCAAGCAGTAAAAGTAAAAAGAAAACAGGTCATCCAGCAGCTAGAAGTGAACAAAGGTATAGAAAAATAGAAATGGGAGATGACAGTCAGAGTGATTCAGAGGAGGCTATTGGAGGCTACAACCCAGCAGTTCGAAAAGTATTAGCCAAAGCAGAGAAAAGAGGAGAAAAATCTTTAAGGAAAAAAGAGCCAGTAAAAGACACCTTGGAGGAGAGTGAAGATGAAGATAGGGATGACAAATCAGAGAGTGAAGAGTCTTCATATTCTCTTTGGTCAACACCAAGGACTGAAGCTGAGGAAAAGCACAGGGCTTTGAAAAGGATTGAGAAACGCATAGATAAATGCTGTGTTGACCTGAGGGATGCTTCCAGTCCAGAAAGACGAAGAGAATTGAGGGAAGAATTAGAGGAGCTGGGCTTTGAAAAGGATTGAAAAACGCATAGATAAATGCTGTGTTGACCTGAGGGATGCTTCCAGTCCAGAAAGACGAAGAGAATTGAGGGAAGAATTAGAGGAGCTGCGAATAGCAAAGAAAGACTTGAAGAAGAAAAGAGTAGAAAAGCCATATACTTCAGGGTATTCCTTACGCCCAAGAAAAGGTAATAAACCAGCTGAAAAAATGTGTCCAGTTGTTGTTCGAGGACAGAATTTGGAGTATAAGCCTTTGCAGAATACAGAGATGTCAGACATCCTTGAAAAGTTACCTACTCTTTAGGAGGGAGCTCATCCTTGGATTTCAAAGTTGGAAGAAATTATGGTGGGATGGCAGCCTGCCATGGGAGATATCAAGAGACTCCTAGCCAGCATTTTAGGGGTCCCAGCTATGGAAGAGATCTTGCAGAGAGCAGGACTTAATCGGTATGCAGGGACTGCTGTGAATGATCCGGAACTGTTTGCTGCTAGTAGAGCTTGGATGTGGAGATCATTGAGAGATACATTTCCAACAAATGTACATCCTGATAACATTATCAATTTCTCGTAGCATGGTCCACATTCATTCATGAATTGGGTCACTATGGCCCTCCTCACACGAGGACGGCCCCGTATTGTCTTGGCGTCGGCACCAAAACGTTTATCGCTGTTTACACATCGTATTGTACATAGGCTTAGTGCATTTACACGACAACGCAAAATCCACGCAAAATCCTGTAGTACATGCGCCCGGCCTAAAGGTGACACTGTGAAATTGCCACAAAGCACTGAAAACAGAGAATGCGCATGCGCATACAAGGTGGACTTTCTTCCTGTCCATGCTTATGTTCTGTACGTAAACAACAGTGGTAATTATGAACGCTGTTCATGTTGGCATAAAAGTCGTAGCAATATTTGTAGTTGCTGGAACAGGAGCAAACTCACCCCAGCTACCTCCATTGTTGTTGTTACTGTGTGTGTGACAACGTGGGTTGGGGGGCGGGGAGGAGGAGGGGTGCTGTGAGGTCATCGTCTTTACCGGACTTATCTATTTACACCAACTACGGCATGAAGACGAATACACAGATATCCACTTGCAGACCCGTTTTCAAAAAAGATGCAGAGTCATGGACAAATACGCGTCTCCGTGTGTCAATATCACCAGATCAATACTTTATTTTACCAGTGTCTTACAAATTCGTACTCGTGTAAAGACCACCTATATTTGTCTTAAGTTTCCAGGTTTCCAGACAACCAGAGATAGTCCTGTGTTTCTGCTGAGCCTCACAGACACTGGATTGATACTTTAACTTTACAGTTTGGAATGATTCAGGTCGGTTTCAGTTGTAAACTATATTTAAGCAGTGTTTGTTGCAAAATGAACATTTCCATGAAAAGAAAACAAACGCGAGATATGCGAGAGTGATGCGTTCAGGGCTCTGGCTGGGCCACTCAAGGACATTCAGAGACTTGTCCTGAAGCCACTCCTTTGTGGCTAGGTCTCGAGCACTCTAGAGCAGGTTTTCATCAAGGATTTCGATGTACTTAGCTGCATTCATTTTTCCCTCGATCCTGACAAGTCTCCAAGTTCCTGCCGCATCCCCACAGCATGATGCTGCCACCACCATGCTTCATTGTAGGGATGGTATTGGCGAGGTGGTGAGTGGTGCCTGGTTTCCTCCAGACATGACGCTTGGCGTTCAGGCCAAAGCGTTCGATCTTCGTTTCATCAGACCAGAGTTTCTCCTGGTCTGTGAGTCCTTCAGGTGCCTTCTAGCAAAGTCCAAGCGGGCTGTCATGTGCCTTTTACTGAGGAGTGGCTTCTGTCTGGCCACTCTACCATAAATGCCTGACTGGTGGAGTGCTTCACCGTCTTAAAGTGTGTGAACATACGGACCCCAAGATAAGGGGGGACACTGACCTCAGACCCCAGTCGTAAAACCCTGCTCAACCATGTACTGATAAAAACTGCATTCCTTTGGTGAAAGAATACAAATGACTGATCATGACATCTTATGCATTCAGCAATGTACTAATCTGTCTAATCATGAAATTTGTGTTAAAATGAGATGTTTCCCGTTTTTCTATGTGCTCCAGAAGCTGAGTTATCACTCTGACAGAATAAATCCTTATTCTTTAGTTTCTTTAGACCAACAGCTTTTCAGACTGATTCATGAACTTTTAAGAGTTAAATTTATTGACTATGAATCATAACTTTACTCTAAGTAACAGAAATGGTTTGGAAATGTTTGGTTTATATTTTAGTTGTTTATTTAGTATTTTTCACCATTAGGTGGTTATAATGTCATTGAATAATCTGAATGTAAGTATTTAGAATCCATTATTAATCATGATGACGTTCATTCACATGTATTTACTCTTTTGTTGTTCACAGTTTCTATGTGTTATTATCTGTTTCATTTCAGAGTAATTTAGCATGTGATACTTAAAACATAATGAGAATGTTTGATGTGATCCTACATTTCATTCATATGTGTTTAGTATCAAATCATTTATCATGAAACAAAGCATTCAATGATATTAATCATAGTGAGTGAGTATCAGATCTGACTCTTTTACCAGCCAAAAGTATAAGTTAGATCAAATAATCAGAGATCCGAGGTCTCCTCTTCTTGGAGACCCCACGACCCCTCCTCTTTCTCCTCACACACACACACACACGCCAGAGACACTCCCAGTGTGAGAAGATAAAACCAGTAAAGTGGGGTTGCTCATGCTCTTCTCCCTTTTTTCGCTCTTCTGCCCTTACTCTCTTGTTACCCTTATTCTCTTGTTCGCTTACTCTCTTACACACCCTTCTGTGTGCCTCTTTCTTTTGTTTTCTCTTAGCTCTTACTACTTAGTCTTACTTTTCTTAGTCTTCTAAGTTTTACGCCACGTGTTGATTCACGTTGATTTTCTTTAACATCGTCTTAGTTCAAGTTGTGAAACTTCAACTTTTTGTGCGCATAGCAATTCAAGATTAAGCCTTTGATTGATTTTTCTTTAATTTCGCGAACCATTTTTTAAAGTTTTCCCTGGTCATCGAGCCTTGTTTTTCTGAGTTATCTGCGTGATTTCAAAGTCACCTCGGAACAAAACCCAGCAGGCCCAGGTCATCCTCTGTGCCAGAGTTTTTGAGTGAGACCAAAGAAGCGTCCAAACGAGCATCCACAGGATCCACAGGCGCCGACTTTACTTCAGGCCCGAGTGCTACAACTCCTGGCCCATCCTTCGGCTGACTTCAGTCGTCTTCTGAGCTGAACCGCTCGAACCGCCGGTAACCCCGGACCTTTGGAACCTGCTCCATCTTCTCCAAGGACCAGTCTCACTTAAGTATGCAAACCTCCAGAGCTCCAAAGAGGGCTGGTGCTGTCTCATGCATTCATAACTCAGATATCCACTTATTCTGGTAATCTTAGAGTCCTCCAAATCCACATCCGAGTTTATCTCGACACCAAAGTTAGTGTAGGTTAATATGTTAGTGCATATTCACTCACTATCATTAACTTTAGTGCTCCTAGCCTGACTCAGAATCTTTATTTATTCACCTATTACTTATCCTCATTATCTTATCATCATTTATTGCATGTATGTTGTACCATCATTTATCCTGTAATAAACAGATCATTATTTTTCGAAGTTCTTGTCTGTTAGTGTTTTTCCAGAAGTGGAGTCCCTGAAATGAGAATTTCGGCTCAAGATATGAGATTGATTAATTAAAGATTGACTTGATGTTTGATTTCTGAATTAAACTTTTGCTTTTCTTTATTTTCCCACCATTAAGGGTGGGTGGTGCCCCTTTCAACGAGTGCATAAATGTCATAATTTGAGATTATTAATCTTCAGACACTTATTATAAATTCAAATCGCTACAAATGAAAGAAAGCAAAAATGAGGTCTGTAGGTGAAAGTATGCTGAAGTTGTAAGGCTAAGAATTTGGAAGTGGAAAAGGTAGAATTTCAATGGGAAAAAATTTGCACAAAAAGTAAAAAATATCAAAAATTATAAAGGGTAGAAAAGTGAAAAATACATCTGCACTTTTCCTGAAGGAGAGGAATAGTTTAAAAGTCAAACAGTTGAAATCGCACAAAGTTTGAAGGAGTTGAAAAGTGCCAAAAAAGGTATGGAAGAATAATAATAATAATACCTCGAAAAATTGCATTTCCTTGCAGAAAATGCGTGGAAATCCTGAGTGCTGAAAGCTGAAAAAGCAATGCTAAACTGCTAATAAAACATGGAGAAAGGTATAAATGTTAAAGCTGTTGAAGGGGTGAAAAAGAAATACAAGTTGGATAATTGTTTAATTGGTTGAAGGACAAATAGTATGAATATGCTCTATAAAAGGAAGTTTGTGGGTGGAGATAGGTGGTGAAGCAGACACATATTAACTGTGTGTACATGAAGGTCTTATAGACAGAGACACACACGCACACACATTGTCAGACTGTGTGTGTGTGTGTCTCGTTAATGATTGCATCCTTTACAGCTGTGAGATCAAAGGCATTAACTGACCTACTTTTTGAATGAGAAGCTGCCTAACTGCAGTGAATTTAGGGCCCCTTAACTTCTTCACATAGCGTGATTTCCTTAAATCACAGAATGAAAATAAGAACATTGTACGAATCCTCAGCCCCTCATGAACACAATGATGTGTTTTTCATGTCTGTACTCTAAAAAATGTGGCCACAACAGCGAGTTAAAAAGGTCTGAGCCTGAGTGATGATCAGGATTTTCTTGGAGAAAAAATACATTAGGGCCAATGCCAGGGTTCTTTGCCATTTTTGGACAGTTGGTCACCTGCTGGCCAAGGGGTATGATTTATTGATTTGAAACCTCTTTTGTGAAAAGCAGGACATATATACCTCCATTTTGATGTATTTTTTATGGCTGTGGAGAGAAATTTGGGGGCGTGGGAGTGATAAATTCGAGCGAGGTTCTGTCGATAAAAGAGGGGCTGTCCACTCTAGCGATGACATCATCACTCTAGCTCTTCCAATACACACCCATTATGAAGCCTGAAACTTTGCTGAAAACCATTAGTTGCATAAAGCTAAATTATGGACAAACTCTAGGAGATAGCACAAAAAACTGAGTACAAGATATTTAGAGGAGAAGATTGTGAATATTTTAAAGCAAAAATGAGGTCTGTAGGTGAAAGTATGGTGAAGTTGTAAGGCCTAGAATTTGGAAGTGAAAAAGAAGAAATTTCATTTCATTTTTATGGGAAAAATTTTGCACAAAAAGTAAAAAATATCAAAAAGTAGAAAAGGTAGAAAAGTGAAAAATACATCTGCACTTTTCCTGAAGGAGAGGAATAGTTTAAAAGTTGAAATCGCCCAAAGTTTGAAGGAGTTTAAAAGTGCCAAAAAAGGTACGGAATAATAATAATAATAATAATAATAACTAGAAAAATCCTGACTGCTGAAAGCTGAAAAAGCAATGCTAAACTGCTAAAAAAAATGGAGGAAGGTTTAAATGTAAAATTGGTTAAAGGGCTGGAGAAAGAGAAGTAGAAGTTGGATGAAAGTGAAAATTGCAAATAGTATGAATGTGCTTCATAAATTAAAATTGCATTCATGCTGAATAAGGCTAGAAAAACTGTCTGAAATTGCAAAAAAAATTGGATAAGGAAGAAAATTACTTTAAAACACAGAAAAGTGAGAAGTGGCATAAGTTTAAGTTGTAGTACTAGAAGTAGTATGATAATAGGTAGTTGAAGTAGTGATATTAGTAGTCATGTAAGCAGTAGAAGTAGTTTTAGAATAGAGGAAGTAGAAGTCAAAGCTCGAGCTCGTGGTAGAAGCAAGAGTAAAAGTAAAAAAAATATTAAGAGAAGCAAGAGCAGTGAGGTAGAAGTGAAGATACAAGTTTAAGTGACATAAGTAGTAATTGTAGTGGTAGAACTGGGATTTTGTTTAAAGAATTGAAACATACATAAATAATGAGAATGATTTTGAAATAAGGCTTCACGATATAACGATATGTTTCGTCTAAACGATAGAAAATTTCTATCGGGATACATGAGCTCTATCGTTTCCATCGTGGTGTCGCAAAAACACGCTTTACGGCAGTGTTTTACGTCGTGACGCTCCATATATGGCATGCCCACACGCGCTACTGCCACGGTGAAAGACAAAAGCATGGAGGGGCCGGGTGATTGTGGCGCAAGAGACAACAATTCTCGTGCATCAAACGCAGACGAGCCAACGCAGACGGAAGAGCTGCTGCCGAAACGGGGGCAACGTCAGTTGTGTGGTCGTGGTTTGGTTTTAAAAGGAGCGACACGGAGCAGACCGCTGCTGTTTTATTCTGAGTCAGCACATGTAGATCCCCTATATCGATATATTCTGATGTATATCTGATCTGATGAGCGTGTTTGGCACGGGTTTGGACACTCCACCTGACCGAATTAACACAGCTGAAACCGCATTAACTTCAACTTCAACTTTATTTCATTTATATGGCACTTTTCCTACAAGTTGTAACACAAAGTGCCTTACAAAGCATAAAAAGAAAATGAAACATTTAAGGCTGCAAAAACGAATCGATTAAGTCGATTCGTCGTGACGAAAAAATTCGTTGCCAACTAATTCTGTAATCGATTCGTCGGGTCTCTATATATGTCCATGGACACCGGCGTGTAAACATCAGCAGGACGCACAGAAAAGAAACAGCCATGGCCGAGGCAGCGGCTGAGAAAAACATGGACACAACCCAACCCAAATCCCGACCTAAAACATCAGTGGTGTGGGAAAACTTTACCAAGACTGAAAAGGAAGGCGTTCAGTGCAACATTTGCAAAGCCCGTTTTGCATGGCACGGGAGTACATCGATGATGCGTGAGCACAGGGCTCTCAAGTCTCACGCATTCAGCGTATGACACACGCATTCCCACTCGTTCACACGCTCACACACCACACATTGTATTTCTCATGCATTTAAATGAACATGGTGATGTCCACCAAGTTGCACTTCTTTAACTATGGAACAGGAGGAAATCAGGTGAGTTTCTCCGAGAGTTCAGAAGCTGCGTGCCACGCGCAAGCCAATCAAATAAAGTATATCTACTGAACAGCCAATCAAAAAGCAGCATTGCTGTATCCATGTAGATTTTGATATCTTGCGGTTTGACTACAGAAGAAGACAGACACTCCCCGAAATAGAGCAGGTTTTTATAAGGACGAGAAAGACCCGATGATTACAGTATGTCAGTAACCTACACATGCAGAGACCTCAACACCTCATGGCAGATAAACTCATATGATAAACTAAAGCCCTATGCTATTGCTATTAACAGCTGCATTGATGAATTTAGCCTGTTTATCCGATTAATCGATTAGTTATTAAAATAGTCGGCAGATTAATCGATTATCAAAATAATCGTTAGTTGCAGCCCTAGAAACATTAAAATCCCCAAGAAAACCCCAAACCTCCCACCCGCACAATTATACCCATACACACACCCGTGAACATAGACATACATTTCCACACATACAACTTCACATACACACGCACCTACACAGTTCGCAGCTGATGGTGAGGAGACATGACTGGGCACTGAGATCTGAGGTGAGGAAGACGCTACCTTTGGGGGCCACGTCGACCGGGAGGCATCCCGGCCCATTGCTGCAGGGGGCGCCGTCACAGGGACCACCAGCCCGGGCAGACAGGAGGCTCCGCACCAAGGTGTAGAGCTCTCTGGTTCCACCCGGGCCAGAGCTGTCCCAAGAACGGCGCCCCCACCAACAGACCAGAACCCGCTCCCGGTGAAGCAGCCCCCAAATTAAATATCCAGTAAACAGTCACACATGATGAAGTTAACAAGATACTTAATTTGTCTCCCCGCTTATCCTCCTCCTTCCTCACGCAGCTTGATAGGTGTTATGCCGTAGAATGCACCCCTGCATCCCATCCACTCATTAGCTTCTTAAAGTGGAAAAAATTCTCATATTTAAAAAAAACACGAGTATTGGATCATGACATGTCAAATGAAGCAGCAAACTTTCGTTCTGTTTTTAGGTATTTAAAAAATGCACATACAGAGGTGTACTTGGGTATTTAAACTGTACAGTATGCTGGGTAGGTAGAGAACATTATATTTATATGCCAACATCTATGAAAGAAAGAGCCAGGCCACGGAGCACGATGCGTCATTACGTACAGATGGTTCCAATTTTAATGCCATTATTGGAATTTATGTTGTGATCTGTGTGCACAACCCACCTTTGTCACGTGAGGTTTGAATATATGCAACTTTATGTGAGTTTCCTTATTTGTGGAAAAGGGTGTTTGTCTTACCAGTGGGTACAAACTTACACACACCATATCCATCTTATTTGAGAGAATGTGAAGGATGCCCTCTGCAGCGCTTACAGCGACCTTAATTGAGGAGCTGCCTTCTCTAGCCATCGAGTGGCAATGCTGTCTTCAGACATCTCTTGATCTCTTTGACTACTTCACGAACATTGCAATACGCCTCGACGGTGGTGGATGTAAAGGCGAGGAGAGGAGCTGATGTAATTGGTCAATACAGGTCTCTGCTGTGTTAAACCCACTCCACGCCCTCTCTCCTCCCTTACTCAAATATTTAGTTACTCAAAATCCGTTCTACATTACATGCTAATGTCATGTGAATGAGCTAGCCTATGGAACGTATGGATGTTCATTTCATTATTAAACCTTGTGTAACTAATTGTTGTTTACACAAATGTTGAATTATTCAAAAGTGTTTTCAATATTTTTCAGAGGGCTCTAAATAAAAGAAGTCTTGTTTAGTAACGTACCTTGTTGAATATATCATTTAAACTACATTTCCACGTAGCAATTTTATATAAACTATGCATCAATTGAATTTACAAAAAATGTATTACATCGTGATGTATATCGTATCGGGATATAAAATGAGCTATATCTGGATATGACCAAAATCTCATATCGTGCAGCCCTATTTTGAAATGGGAAAAAATAATAATTAGAAGTCCTAAAGTGTTAAACAAGTTTTAAGTATCAGAAAGGTTTGAATCAGTTTGAATGAGTTTGGATTTGTCTGAAGAATTTAATAATGCATGAATAATAAGAATAATTTTAAAGTGGGGACAAGTTAAATGAATAAAAATCCTGAGTACCCCCCATAATGTCCTCAATGAGCTGAATTTTTGGAGCCCTGAATGGTTTCTGTCGGTCAAAGTTTGTGGGAGGAGATAGGGGCTGAATTTTTTCTGGTGCTCTGGTGAAGGGTTTTAAATGTAACACTCAGTGCTCTGTGTACTGAGCCTGGCTTCATGTGTCTCTTATGGCTGTTAGAAGCAGCCTTCCACGCAGGTGTGTGTCTCCAGGTGCACTAATTGGTTGCCATGGCGAAGGAAGATGTGTCACTGCAGCAGGAGAGAGGAGGCTTAAAGCTGACACACACGCACACACATTGTCAGACTGTGTGTGTGTCTCGTTAATGATTGCATCTTAACAGGTGTCAGACATCAAAGGCATTAACTGACCTACTGTTTGAATGAGAAGCTGCCTAACTGCAGTGAATTTAGGGCCTCTGAACTTCTTCACATAGCACGATTTCCTTAAATCACAGAATGAAAATAAGAACATGGTACGAATCCTCCGCCCTTCATGAACACAATGATGTGTTTTCCATGTCTGTACTCTAAAAAATGTGGCCACAACAGCGAGTTAAAAAAGTTCTTTGCCTTTTTTGGATAGTTGGTCACCTGCTTGCCAAGGGGTACGATTTAATCAGGGTTTTTCCTGCGTTCAAAATTGCGTGGCGGCCGCCTCCACCTAATTTTGTGCCGCCCCCAGCCAAAGCTATTGATTTCGCTCAACACAGCGTAAAGCTCCAGCTGTGTTGATTGAGCGTATGATGTCCCTCTGCAGCAGCAACGTATTTTAAATGCAGTTGCAGCGTTGCGCCACTATAGAGGCGCTATATCAACAGCAGTGCACCGGAAAGACCTGAAGCATCTACCGAAGAAGAAATGGATCTAATCATGTTTTTTCAAGTTTTTTTCCCCCGCTAGTTGGTGCTATCGGCGTCCTGATTTTCCCTGGCGGATGGTACAAAAAGGTAAAAACTGCTTGTCTTTTTTGCATCCAAGCATGACGTGTTTATTTAAAAAAAAAAGTTTCCTCCGTTTTTTAGCGTTGCAGATATGACAGGCAAAATCAGCCAGTACTTTAAAAAGCGACCTCGCGAGGAGGAAAGTCAAGAGTCCAGGTGAAACACAGCAGAGAAAAAACATAACAGGCAGTTAAAATGCTGTAATTCATGGTGGTGACAACGTGGAAATTTGTGTCAGGTCTGAAAGTACTTCACAAGGGACTGGTGATTGCGAGGGTAAGAATGCAGGACAGGACGAGTCGGCGAGGCGAGGGTAATTAATTAATTAGTTTCCAATTAGGAGCATAACAACGCAAAGCCAACATGTGCGTGGTTTTTATTCCTCTCTCCAGATCTTCTCAAAAACACAGAGCCAGTGGCTTTGACAAGCAGTGGCTCAATCAATTTACCTGGCTCAGGCATACAGAGGAAGGCATGCACTGCTATTTATACCAAAAGCACTGTGCCCCAACACAGCAGGCAATTGCTGCCTCCTTAGTGAGACAGCCATCAACCAACTACAGGCTGGACACATTAAAAAGACATGAGGTAACAGCCATTCACAAAGAAGCAGAAGAGAAGGAGAAGTACATTAAAGATGGTAGTACCTAAAAACACTCAACTAATAAAGTTACAAAAACTAAAATAATATAGTTTAAGAAATAATCGATTGTCGTTTTTTTTTTAGGGAGAGGACACTGCAGCGTATACATATATATAATATATGATTGAAAACACTATCACTCTTCATGTCTGTATCAGAATTAGTGCTGGACGATAATTCGATAACAATATATATCGATCGATAGACGTGTGGTACGATAGAAAAAAAACGGGTCGATAAAAAGTTCGATAGAAAAACACAGTTTCTCTTTCTTTTTCATCATAGCCTATCATGTAGCTTTTACTACAGTCATTACTTCCTCCCAACCAATCACAAACGCAGACCCAGGTACGCTACGGCACCAAGTCCAGCCCCTCTCCAACCACAACAGACAGCATGTGTATTAGAAATAATGTTACAGCAAGGAGAAGCAGAGGAAATTGTCCCGAAAAAAGGTCTCAGTAGTTCTCCAGCATGGCAATGTTTTGGTTTTTAGAAGTCTGACAAAAAGCGAACAGCGGTCGTTTGCAAAATTTGCAGAGAATTAGTAAAAACCAAGTCTGGTAACACAACCAACTTGTTTTACCATCTAAACCGGTCGCACCCGCAGGAGTACGAGCTGTGTTGGCCGCGCCGCGGGTCCACGTCGTCGTCGGAGGAGGAATCCTCTGGAACCGCTGCCAGCACCAGCACAAAGCAAGTGAAGCAGACCAAACTGGACTTTGTTTCTTGCCAAAATACGACAAAGCGTCCAAGCGGCATAAGGACATCACCCATGCAGTAACAAGCTTCATAGCGAGGGACATACTGCCAATAACTACCGTTGAAAAGCCTGGCTTCAAACAGCTTCTAGCCATTCTCGACCCGCGATATGAAGTGCCCGGCTGCAAGTATTTCTCAAACACAGCGCTTCAGGCATGAAAATGGGTCAGGGGTAGAAAAGGTGAGAAGGGTGCGGAGGAAATACGTTCCGGTGTTGTGCCGTAGAATGCACCCCTGCATCCCGTCCACTCATTAGCTTCTTAAAGTGGAAGAAAATGAGCTCGTATTTTACAAAGACGCGAGTATGTGGATCATGACTACTAGCAGGGGGGGCATTCGGCAGGGGTGCATTCTACGACACAACACCGGTGTGGATAAGTCCTGCTTCTCGTGCTCAGTTTGCGTATTAAGTCAATCACATGATAAGTTAAAATAAATAAATCTCCCGACCCCGGGAGAAATATTTCAGTGTTCAGACACCAGGCTGTGGGCAGTTTCTCACACAGTTAAAACTGGTAGTATGCTATTCCCACCTAAAGCTATTCTGTTTATTTATATATTTGTTTGTTTTGTTTATTTTCATCAAAAGACTATTTAAATATTTATTTATCAGATTTTCTGATCACTTTAGTCTTTATGTTTGTCAGTATTTACTGACGTCACTCAGGCCACTTATGTTGATTTCTTTCTTTTTTTAAGTTCTTTTTTAAAAAACTTTCAGTTGTGGTAAAAAAAAAAAGGTGGTTGAATAAAGGTTTGAATTTGAATTCAGTGCTTGTGTGTTCTTTATTAAAAGTAGGTCATTAAGCAATAGCATAAAACATCCAGGGCTGCAATTAAAATATATGTTAAATAATTATAATAATTATATCGATAATTATCGATATCGATCAATATGATTTATTTTTTATCGATATGCTTTTTTTCTATATCGTCCAGGCCTAATCAGAATAAAAACCAAAATACTTAATGCATGATGAATTGTTTTGTTTAAGGTGAAGACACCTCTGTGGAACAGACTGAAGGAGAGGCACTTGGATGTCTGTTGTAAGGTGGCCGTTGATGGACCAGACCAGGAGGCCTTGGACTACAAGGAGTGCATGAGGAGGTTCTACAGAATGAAAAAGAGGAGGCTGAAATGTTCTGTCTGGTTGCGAGATGTGTGGATGAAGTGTACTTTCAATTTAAAGTTGCCTGCTGATTTGTGCATGTATATAGTTTTAATAAATGAATGCTTTAACATGATAATGGTCACACTCTTTTTTTAACTCTTAACTTAAAGTATGTTGCCTGTAAAAGAAAGTGAGTCAGTTGAATTTACAAATACATGCACGTCATGGCGCATGGTCAGGATGGTGCCACCTCTGCCTCAATTTGAGCCAGGAAAAACCCTGTTTAATGATTTGAAACCTCTTTTGTGAGAAGCAGAACACATATACCTCCATTTTGATGTAATTATTATGGCTGTGGAGAGAAATTTGTGGGCGTGGGAGCGATATATTCGAGCGTGGCTTCGCAATCCCACTCAATAAAGATACGGATAACATATAGTGGGACTGCTCCGCAATCCCTTCGCAATTGTCCTTTAAAGTACTTTTACTTCTTGTTTTCTGCAGGATTGAATGTAATGAACAAAAAAAGTGAGCTTTGTGATAAGCATGATAAAAACATTGGACACCAGGGATGTTCCCATAACTTTGGACTGGGCGATTATATGATCGTGATCGATGATGGCGATAAATTTCAGTTTAATCAGTGGTGAGTTTATTTACTCAATCAAAAATAGCGGAAATGTGCGTCACAACAGCCAATCAGAGTTGAGCTGTTCCTGCTCACTTCTGTCAGCTACAAGGCTACAAGGCTACAAGGCTTCACTGTCATCTGACCTTTTCTAGTTTAGCCATCTTAAGCAGAATTTTTAGACATTTTTTACTTCTAAACCATTAAGACCATTAAGTTACTAAACCATTACCCTTCCAGAACATTGCAGTTCTAATATGCAGGCATGCGCACTGTACCTTAAGTCTCTAAAAGTAGTCTGGGTAGTGGAGATTTCAGTTATTGGCCCCTCTCCCCTGGGATCATCAACCAGTCAAGGTGTGGAGGAAAGACACACTCTGTACCTTCCATCTTTGATAAAGCTGAAAGTTGAAGTTGGTTCAGGTCCGGACCAGCTCTTAGTTATGCTGCTATAGGTTTAGACTGCAAATGATAATGGCACCTTTCCTTTCTTCTCCATCCCTTTTCTGTCTTCATGCATCAAGCTCAAACCTTGGTATTCTCTTCGACAGCAACCTCTCCTTCACCCAGCACGTAAAGCAAATCATCAAAACAGCCCACTACCACCTCAAAAACATTGCCCGCCTCCGCCCCTCCCTCTCCTACCCTGCAGCTGAAACCCTCATACATGCATTCATTTCATCCCATCTGGATTATTGTAACAGTCTCCTCCATGGCACTACCTTCACTCTCCTCAATAAACTTCAGCTCATCCAGAACTCTGCCACCCGCCTCCTCATCCATACACGAATGTGACATCATTCATCAGCCTCGGTGAGGAGCTGTGTGTTCCTCTACACTCCAGGAAGATCTACAACAATGACAAGCACTGGTTTTCAGCCCATCTCAGCAGGCTGAGGTCCGAGAAGGAGGTGGCGAGTAGGGTTGGGTAACGAGAATCGAGTATCGATGGGGACCGGGAATAACATTTCGATTCTTCCGGTATCGTTCAAATATTAAAATTTCGATTCCAAGTTTCGATGCCGGAGTCTGCCGACCGGAAGAAATAGCCACCGAAAATCAACGAAGAAGAAGCTGCCGAACACCAACGAGGACAGAGCGTATGAGACGAAGCCACACACAGAGAGAGGAGAGAGACAGAGAGAGAGAGTGCATTGTAACCCACAGCGGCTGCATTGCTGTGGGTTGCAATGTACTTTCTGAACGGAATCTAAAGCGTGTGCCTTTTCAGGCTATTCAGATATGCCGAAAACAATAGCCCTCTGATTCGGAATATTTACTGTCCCGAAAATATAATGTTCTCTACCTTAACAGCTTACTGTACAGTTTATATACCCAAGTACACTTCTGTATGTGTGCATTTTTGGGACACATAAAAACAAAACGAAAGTTTACTGCTCCATTTGACATGTTTTCATGATGTAGTACTGTTTTTTTTAAATATGAGATCATTGTCTTCCACTTTAAGAAGCTAATGAGTGGAGGGGAGGCATTCTACGGCAGGGGTGCATTCTACAGCACAACACCTATCTTACCTAACCAGTCAGGATCAGATAAGTGAAACAATAAATTACTTCTCTCCTCTCTCCAAACAAAAATTGATATTTATATACTGGTTGAAAATAGCCCTGTGAGAAATTCATAGTAAAGTTCTTAAAAAGTTAATATGATTTAAAAATTCATGGAGAAGTTCAGAAATGTCATCCAAAAAGAAGAGCTCCGGTTAGCGCCCTCATCCAACCTTTGCTTTTTTTTTTTTTTTTTTTTGATATCCTGCCTTTTAAAAGAATCGAAATAGAGAATCGATAGGAATCAGAATCGAAATGAGGAATCCAAATCGGAATCGGAATCGTTAAAAATCAAACGATACCCAACCCTAGTGGCGAGTCGCAGTGGAGACGTGGCTCTGTTCAGGCAGGCCAAGTACAGGTTTTCCAAAGCAGTGAGGGAGGCAAACATCGCTTCTCAGAGAAACTACGGCAGCAGCTCTCTGAGGGAACTCCTCCTCAGTCTGGAAAGGCCTTAAGTCCATCACCAACTACAAGCCGAAGTCGCCACAAGCGTCTGACAACCTCCCCCTTGCGAATGAGCTCAATGAGTTCTACTGCAGATTTGAGAGAGAGGTACCCCTCGCCCCCTCCCTCCAACCCCCCCGGCCACAATCACTATGCCTGTACCTAAGTGGGTCCCCCTCCTCGCCCCCCCACCCCCTCTCTCTGTCACAGTGAGAGAGGTGAATCTGCTGCTCAGGAGCCAGAACTCCCGGAAGGCGCCCCGCCCGGATTCTGTCTCCCCCTCTGTCCTGAAGCACTGTGCTGACCAGCTCGCCCCGGTGTTCACCAACATCTTCAACACCTCACTGGAGCTGTGTCATGTCCCAGCATGTTTTAAGGCCTAAACCATCATCCCCGTCCCCAAGAAGGCCAAGGTCACAGGCCTCAATGACTATAGACCTGTCGCCCTGACCTCTGTAGTCATGAAGGTCATGGAGCGCCTTGTCCTGGCTCACCTGAAGCGCATCACTGATCCTGTGCTGGACCTGTTGCAGTTTGCGTACAGAGCCAATAGATCCACGGAGGAAGCGGTGAACATGGCTCTGCACTTCATCTTAAACCATCTGTCCTGTTCGTCGACTTCAGTTCGGCCTTCAACACCATCCTACCATCCATCCTGGAGCACCAGCTGTCCCTGCTGCAAGTGCCTGCCTCCACCTGCAGGTGGATTACAGACTTTTTGACCAACAGGTCTCAGCGGGTGAAGCTGGGGAAGAGCATTGCCAGCTCCAGGTCCACCAGCACCGGTTCCCTGCAGGTCTGTGTCCTGTCCCCACTACTGTTTTCCCTGTACACCAACACCTGTGTCTCTCTCCACCCGTCGGTCAAGCTCCTCAAGTTTGCAGACGACACCCCCTTGGTGGGCCTCATCTCCAGGGGGACGAGTCAGCGGACAGGGTGCAGTAGCAACAACCTGGACCTTAATCCCCAAAAGACAGTGTATATGGTGGTGAATTTCCCCAAGAACACAGCCCCTCCCCCTCCCATCACGCTGGGAGGCACCCTGGTAAACTCTGTGGAGTCCTTTAAGCTCCTGGGCGTCACCATCTCCCGGGACCTGAAGTGGGAAATGAACATCATGTCCCTTTTGAAAAAGGCCCAGCAGAGACTGTTTTTCCTTAGGCAGCTGAGGAAGTACAGACTATCGAGGACCATGATGCGTCAGTTTTACACGGCCATCATTGAGTCCATCTTCACCCACTCCATCATCACCTGGTTCCCCGCTGCAGCTGCAAAAGACCTCATCAAGCTGCAGAGGGTGATTCGTTCCGCGGGAGAGGGTGATTGGCCGCCTGCTGCCCTCCCTCACGTCCCTGCACAACTCCAGGGCTCTGAGGAGGGCAAGAAAAATCATGGCCGACCCCTCCCATCCTGCCCACAGTCTCCTCTCCCTGCTCCCCTCTGGGAGAAGGATGCGGCTGCTGAAGGCCACCACAGCACGCCATAGACTCAGTTTTTTCCCCTATGCTGCCAGGCTGCTCAATGAGTCTGGCTTCCCTCCTTCCCCCCACTCACTAGGGACTTTGACACTTGAAAGACTCAGAAACTCTGAAACTGTGATGACTCAACAACATTTGCACTATTGATCTAACTGCACTTTATATTTATCTATTTTCTGCACTGTGTTGTTTGTGTTTTACACTCATGTTATTGCCAAAGCAAATCCCTATGTGTTTTACACAATGGTTAATAAAGGAATCTGAATCTGAATCCCATCAACACATCACCCCCGTCCTCCAGAACCTTCACTGGCTCCCCATCCTCCATTGCATTCAGTACAAATTCCTCCTTCTCACCCAAGAAGCACTTCACACTTTTTACTCTAATGTTAACCAACAATTGCTAAAATGTCAGCAAAAGATAATAAGGGCTTAGTTTTAGGGTTGAAAACATTTGAAAGAGTCACAACTTCAGTGCAAAAGCAAAAAAACAAATCACAGTTGGATTATTCACTTCAACTTTTTGGCTTTTGAGAGTCTGCATTAGGGATGTGCCGATATACGATTTAATCTCAATATGCGATATTAAATGGCCGCGATGATGGAAAACAACATGACCGCAACAAGTTTGGTCTACTCTACTGCTTATTATTGACAACGTTAGTGACGTTTCTGCTAACTTTAGCTCCAAAAAGCTAATGCTCCCAACGTTGCGTTAGCTGCCTCTTGCTCATATTATTTGTGCATGTCATGCTGTTAACAGAGAAGTGGTTTCGCAGTTTAAAGCAATGCGCTAATATCGTGATAATATCGTGATAATAACGTGAATCGTGATTTTTTGGGCCACCAATATCATGATTAGGGCTGCAGCTATCGATTATTTTAGTAATCGAGTACTCTATCGATTAATCTGTCGATTAATCGAGTAATCGGATAAGAAATGTTTTGCTCTCACTGTAATACTTTGCATTGAATCACGTTTGCCTCATTAAAAACCATCAGTAACACACAAAACTGAAATAGGCCAGGTCTTTCAAATGAATATTTTTACTGCATAAATCAGGAACCAAAAGTTTTACATTTTACCATGTAGTTCACATGAAACTACTGAAGGCAAGGTCTGCAGATGGTCTTTTAATTGCTATGGTAATGATCTTTGCAGTTTTCACTAAACCAGTCACAACTATTTCCAGGCTTTGGATCTAATTTTACTTGTTTAATTAATAGGCTGAAATAATATAATTCTTGGATACTAACATAATTTGACAAGCAAATGTACATTTATTCAATATATAAAAGTGTTACATTTTTATTTACATGTTGTTGTGTGTTGGTCATTTTGCAGCCCTCTGCTGCTCATCACACGCCTAGCAGGTGGTGTATAGCATTATCACCATGGATACACGGATGTTTGTGTGATTTTTTTCATCCACTGCCGCCCGGTTTGTGTCGTGTAGATGTTGATTATGAAAACACTTCGCAATAATTTGGAAACGTGAAGGGGGAGCTGCTGCTGCCCGGTGTTTACGGTAAATAGACGCAAACACCGACCAAGTGGACGCTTCGGTCTCCGAAAACGCCGAGACAAATTTACAAACAGCCACTATTTCAAACAACTGGGCTCATAATCGTGATGTAAACACTTACTTTCTCGCTAGAAAAAATATTATTATTGAATGAATTTATATAATTTGTCCGGTATGCAGTCGTTCTATGTAGCTTGTGGTAGGACTATTTAAATTTTCCCGGCGCTGCGTCCGGCCGGCACGAAATGCATTCTGGGGTATTTAGTATGTATGTGTGTAAACGCTCGGGCAGCCGCGGCATACTCAAATCATCTTTGAGTAGTCAGTAGGCAGTAGCTACTGCTTGAGTAGGTAAGTAGATAGCAGGCAGTATGCCATTTCGGACACAGCTTCTGTCTGTCCTCGTTTCCCTCCATGATTGAACCAAACGCGCGGCAGCGGAAGGAGCGGAAAGAGCACGCTTCTGCGCAACAGAAATAACCGTCCGTGTCAAACACCGTGCGCTGCACATGGTTCCGGATTTAAACGATTCCTCGAGGCATTTAATTTGCCTCGAGGAATTTTATTAATCGAGTTACTCGAGTTACTCGAGTAATCGTTTCAGCCCTAATCATGATATCAAATTTTTCATATCGGCACATGCCGAGTCTGCATACAAAAATCCTAATAAATCTCAACTGCGTTCAAACTGCCGCAAAAATGGCTAGAAAGAAGCAACTGAGTAAAGAAACAAAAGTACAGATTTGTACATTGAGGAAAGGATACATAGAAAGAGAAATTGCAAAACGCCTAAAGGTGTTTAACAAAGGAGTCCACTACACTCTGAAGAGACCAGAGGAACCTGGAAGTTATGATGATAGAAAAAGACCTGGACGAAACAGAGTTACTACAAAAGCAGAGGATAAACACAGCATTGTCACCAGTGAGAGAGATCGGCGAAAGACAGCACCACAAATAAGGGAGGAAATCAACATGACAAGGTCGAAACCCGTATCTCTGACAACCATGAAATGACGTTTGAGAAAGGCTGGTCTGAAGGGTTGTGTATCTGCGAAAAAAAACACTTGTTCGTCGACAGAACAAGAAAAAGACATATGAGTGGGCAAAAGCTCACAAAAATTGGACAATGATGACTAGAAACAAGTTTGCACATTTTGGTTCATAATGCAGAGTCTATGTCCGCAGACAAACTGGTGAATGTCTGAAAGCACCATGTGTTACACCCCCAATTCAGCATGGAGGTGGTAGTTCCATGGTATGGGGATGTTTTGCAGGTGATGGAATAGGAGATTTGTTTGAAGTAAAGAGTATCATGAAGAAGGTACAGTACCACTCCATCCTCCAGTATCATGCTGTTCCATCTGGACTCAGACTTGTGGCTCATAAGTAGGGTTGGGTATCGTTTGATTTTTAACGATTCCGATTTGGATTCCTCATTTCGATTCCGATTCCTATCTATTCTCTATTTGGATTCTTTTAAAAGGCAGGATATCAAAAAAAAAAAAAAAGGAAAGGTTGGATGAGGGCGCTAACCGGAGCTCCTCTTTTTGGATGACATTTCTGAACTTCTCCATGAATTTTTAAACCATATTAACTTTTTAAGAACTGTACTATGAATTTCTCACAGGGCTATTTTCAACCAGTATATAAATATCAATTTTTGTTGTCAGGTCGTTTGTCTATGAAAAAGTACAAGGGCTAACGTTAGTTGGATATTTAAGTTTACTCACCGTACACAGCACAATTTGTTTACCACTTCAAAGTTAACAGAGGAGAGAAGTAATTTATTGTTTCACTTATCTGATCCTGACTGGTTAGCGGAAGATAGGTGTTGTGCTGTAGAATGCACCCCTGCCGTAGAATGCCTCCCCTCCACTCATTAGCTTCTTAAAGTGGAAGACAATGATCTCATATTTAAAAAAAACAGTATTAGATCATGAAAACATGTCAAATGGAGCAGTAAACTTTCGTTTTGTTTTTATGTGTCTCAAAAATGCACAAATACAGAAGTGTACTTGGGTATATAAACTGTACAGTAAGCTGTTAAGGTAGAGAACATTATATTTTCGGGACAGTAAATATTCTGAATCAGAGGGCTATTGTTTTCGGCATATCTGAATAGCCTGAATGAAATCGTTAAAGGCACACGCTTTAGATTCCGTTCAACGGTAAGGAAAACTTGGATTGTTTCGCCTTGTTGTGTACCTTCAACCAGACTCCCGGGCCACCACCACCCTGCTCAAGTTAGCCAAACTTTTGACCAACGAAAAGTAGCTCTCCTCTCTCTGTGTGTGGCTTCGTCTCATACACTCTGTCCTCGTTGGTGTTCGGCAGCTTCTTCTTCGTTGATTTTCGGCGGCTATTTCTTCCGGTCGGCGGACTCCGGCATCGAAACTTGGAATCGAAATTTTAATATTTGAACGATACCGGAAGAATCGAAATGTTATTCCCGGTCCCCATTGATACTCGATTCTCGATACCCAACCCTACTCATAAGTTTGTTTGCAGCAAGACAATGACCCTAAGCACTCTGCCAAGCCCTGTTCCTCAAAAGATGGTTTGGCCCCCTCAGTCTCCAGACCTTTCTCCAATTGAGCTTGTGCGGAATGAATTGGATTGATCGGTCAGAAAAACGCGTCCCATGAATCAGCGGTCTCTTTTTAATAAACTTAAGAAAGCTTGGAATGCAATCCCTGGAACATACCTTGAAAAACTTGTGGAACGAATGCCTGGTATATGCCAAGCTGTTGTTAAAGCCAGAGGAGGTTACTTTAAAGAGAGCAAAGTCTAAGCAACAGTAACTCAAATACCTAATAATTATAATCAAAATGTCTTCTGATAAGTTACTCTTTACACAATAGTCATGTTTATTGTGTTGCAAATTATATATAGACTGGTCAGGAGGGCCAGTTCTGTCCTGGACAGTTCTTTGGACTCCCTGGAGGAGGTGGGTGAAAGGAGGATGTTAACAAAGCTTGTATCCATCATGGACAATCCCTCTCACCCACTGCACCAGACTGTGGGGGCTTTAAGCAGCTCCTTCAGCAGCAGACTGAGACTTCCACCTTGCAGGACGGAGCACTACCGCAGGTCATTCCTCCCCTCTGCAATAAAACTTTACAACAAACTGTAACAAAACTGGATTTACACCACCACTTTTTTTCTGGCATTTAAATTGTGTATATTGTAGAAAGTTTTATTTTTTCTTCTCCCTTTTTCCCTTTTCTAAATTTTTCTTAATTATTACATTTATTTAAGTTCTTAATATTAGGATCCTTATTTTTATAACTGCATTTTTGCACTCTTTGTCTGTGATGCTGCTGTGACAAAAAAAATTCCCCCATGGGGGATCAATAAAGGAATATTCTATTCTATTCTATATATATGTGAAACTATGATCTTTTTTGTACAAATCTGATCTTGCTTCCAAACTTTTGGCCTGTAGTGTATGTATATTATGTCTGTGGTTGCCAGCATAATGTCCACCATGGCCCACAATGCATGCAACATCACGTGCCTTTTGGAATCCTATAGTTATTATTATAATATTTATTATTTTAGAATACAGCCTTTGCTGTAACATAACACATTTTACAACAAAGCATACTGGCTGTTAAACATATCCAGGGTTTCTAGGAAATTAAAGGGAAAACAATTGATTAATGATTACATACAATAATAAATGGAATAATTCGAGCCCTATAATTCTCAGCCATGCATTTCAGCCATGCAATCTTGTCATAGAGTTTATGTTAAAAATTATTTGTTTTGCAACTATTTTGTTACACAATTGGTTGTGTGGCACTGACTTTCTCACTATTAAATGAAAGATGGTACAAATGTTACTTATTGTTACTTGACAGTCATTGTAACTATGAGTAATGTGAGCACGCACTTGACAAGGTGCTAGTGTCAGGCTGGTGCTCCAAGCATGTAAGAAGGTGAATTATGCGTAACAGCGCTGGTTAGGATGCCAATGCCCAGTGGCGGCTGGTGGGTGCTGCGGGCGGCGCCCCGCCTGCAAAAAGATGTGTCTGCCGTCTCCCTGAAAATTATTCTCAAAGTAAGGAAATAGCGCTATTATATTAATCATTCCATTAAATGTGTATTTTAGTCCATTAGCGATCTCTCCACCCAGCACTGGGGCAGACTTGGAACGTCTGTTGTTTCACGCATGCTCAGATCACAGTTGTGTATTAGCGTTAGGGGCGCTACGGGCCAGCGCCCAAGCTTTCTGCTCCCTCACACATGCTCGGATCACAGTTCTGCATTAAAAAGTTAGCTTATCCTAGCCACATAAAAAAAATCCTTAAGGGGCGCCAGGGACGAGCGCCCTAGCGTCCCTAATTTGTATGACGTAAGCACATTCATAACCAGATTGGCCACAAACGGATGCATAGTTACAACGTGTGTCTGACGTAGCTAGCTGCTCTACTCGGAGCCGTTCCGCCCCTCACTCTGCACTTGGCTGCTAATGACAGAGGACGTGGGAATGACTACCGCAAACCCCCTACCGAGTGATTTACCAGAGAACGCTGCACTGTCCATCAAGTAGGTCCCGTTTGGGAGGAGAACTCTGCAGGACTAACTAAAGCCTAAAGAGCTCGGTCTGGATCGACCAGACATCGCCGCTCAGCAAGTGACCACCGAGAAGAGCAGACAATATACACAGACATTTTCAAGAGCGTGGTATAGGTGCAAAGCATGGCTAACTGGAAGTCCAAAGAGTAAGGCTCTTTTCTGTTTCCCATGTAAATTAATGGTGACAAAAAGAAATCACAAAGCTGGCAAAATATAATTTCAGCTATTGAAACAGTCAATCAGCAAAATCTGATTGTAGAAAAGTAGAGTATATAAAGATTAAAACCTAATATAAACCATACATGTATTATAGTGAGACACTACATAAAAGCCAGACTAAAAAGAAAGCTAACAGACAATGTTCATGCCACAATGTTAGAAATCAATAATTTTTAAGGCAGGATGAAAACATCCTGGAAAAGTCCTGGAAAATAATTTCTATAAAAGAGTGGGAACCCTGTATTTGTTTCAATTTAGTTCAACTGAAATATCAAATGTAATAAAACTGTTCTGTATTTAAAGCAAATGTTTGTATTATTTTCCTTGGCTGATCACTTTGATATGCAGCCTGATTTGTTATAAATGTAGGTCTGCTCTTCACTATTTTTCTGCAGTTGTCTTTGTGTGCTCCTTTGCTGTAGCCTAACATGTTGAGATGCAGGTGGATGTACACTAAGAGTATGCTACTGTCAGTTTCTATATCATAGGATTACATTGAATGTAGGTAGGCTGCGTGTCGGCTATAATGCCCTATTAATAAGTTGAAATACAGTATCCCCACCCCATTTGTCTTTGTAGGTCAACATCGTATGTTTCCTTAATTATTTTCTTAATTAAAGCACCGGAATGCTTCATTTACCTTTTGAAAACGAAAAAAAAGTCTCCAGGGGGAGGATACCCCCGGACCCCCCTACAGGGCTCTGTTTTCCAAACCTTCAGCCCCACCTATTATTTTTCTCACCAGCCACTGCTGCCACCAATGCCTGATAAATTTCTGTGTTGCGGATATCTGGAAATGGTATACCACAGTTCGCAGTATTTCGCCCCACACTAAGAGCATGCTTTTAGCTGAGTGTTACTTATAGTTGACTTTAGATAAGCTAAAAAGCTATGTTATGTGCTTTGTGAGTGTAAAAAAGAATTGATAAAAATGCACTGTTGCACAACTCTTGCTAGTTTTCTTGATTCTTGAATAAATCATTGAATTGAATACTAATAAGACAAGTTTTAAATTTGGGTTATTTTCATTGTTATATTAATTGGTTGATAAAAAATAAGCATTAAAATAATCTATAAAGTAGTCGATGAGTACTTGACTAATTAAAAAAAATAATCATTAGATTAATCAATTAAAAGAAAATTGCTAGGTGCAGCCTTAGTCTGGTCATATCTCTACATTTGGTCTTCTTAAAGTCTTTTTTTTTTTTTGGTTTGATTGTTTGTTTGTTTGTTTGTTTTTTATCAACGTTTTGGGATGACATTTGTAAATTGGCGCTTTAAAAATAAAGGTTGATTGAAATAAAGATTGATTTAATCACTTTAAAAAATCTACTCATATAATCTATATTGCCCCTTGCTTTGAGCTTTGTCTCCACAAAAAATGTCCGCGACCCTGAATTCTGGACGGATTTTGTAGATTCATTTCTATCCTGCATAACAATGTAAATTTGTCACGTCTTTGAATCTCACCTCTTGAAGCGGATCCGGGATGGCCGCAGGAGCAATGGGTCTTTTCACACCGCGCTGTTGCTCCTTGTCTTTCTCCTTTTCTCGTTCCTTATCTTTCTCTTTCCCGTTGTCCTGTATTTTCTCGGCTTGAGTCATATCTACTGTAAAATTTAAACAAAAGGTATCAATACATACTCTAGCCCTTGCAAATCGCAGCAACATAAAGCGTGGTCCTTTCTGTGGTTTACAAACTGACTAAACGTTGTAGTCTTCCTCTTCTTCTTCTTCTTCTTCTTCGTCTTCTTTTTCTTCGTGTATTTATCTATTAGTGGGTTGCAACCACGAGTTGAAAAGAGCATACCGCCACCTACTGTACTGGAGAATGTCACCATTTTAGATTGACAGAAGAAAATTAGGTTTAATAAATATAAAAATACAATCAAAATTAACAAATATCCACTATCATTTAAAAAGAGAATCCTATGAAATAACCTTATTTCTCTTAAATACTCTTTTTGTATTTCCTTGACCCTTACCGTTGTTGCTGCTTTACCTTTAAGACCCCTCTTTCCATATTTTCTATGATAGAGCAACACATTCCGAACGCTGTCTATGATTTTACACTCAGCACATTTACTTGTTTACCTTTGAGCTACCAAAACTAATGTTTCATTTAACCCTGAGTGAGCATGTCTTAATCTAGTTAGCACCATCCCATCTCTGTTTTCCTTATTATAACTTGTGCGCTGACTAATTTCTGTCCCATCAGTTTTTCATCATTTTATATTTATCAAAGCATTACTGATTTGAATACCATTTTTTCAATACTTGTATTTATTGTTGATGGATAAATTCCCCTACCTACCCTGTCATCTTCATTTTTTGAGCTATGGATTTGTAAACAATTCTAATATTTGTTTCATAAAGGTTGGCCTGCCAATCTCCCTTTCTCACTCTTACTTTCTTAGTATATGAGTTTTATTGTGAAAAGGGATTTTATCTTGCTTTTATTAATCTGATTTAACGTTTGTTGCCCATCCAAATCCACCTCCTAAAAATGGATTATATCACGAGCATTACTGAATCAGACTTTTTTAATTGTGGACTAAGTACTAAACTTCATCACTAGTATCAAAGTACAGATCCTCCTGGTCAAATATTACTCCAACACAAGTGAAAGTTGCTCAGTCAAATTATTACTTGGGTTAAAGTACTGGAGTACTTGCTTTTAAGTATTGAAGTATTTAGTCTTCTTGAATCCTAAAATGTTGTATTTCTTTTACTACAACACTATAATACAAAATATTAGCAAGGGTCTGGACCGATGGTCAATGCTCCCACTGTTCCTGCTGGGCTGGATAGAAAGTGTACGGATAAACCTTCTTTCTAAACTCCTTTACCCTTTTCAAATGATGCTGGTTGATATTTCTAACGCTGTGTTTGAACAATTAGATAGACTTATTTCAGCATTTAAATGTCAAAGAAGGAGACCAAGAATTAAACTAAAAACGTCACATTTACCTGAATTATCTGCCTCAAACTTCCAAATCTAAGACACTACTTTTGGGCTGCACAGCTAAGATCCCTCATAATATGAATTCAAGATGTCACAGACACACACTTGCCCAATATAGAAAAAAGCCTATGTGATAGGCCCCTAGAGACCCTACCCGTTATTGATATTTCAATTTGAAAAAACTGTAATAAATGAATGGAGCAAAGTCACACTTCAGATAGGGAGGTCCATGAAGACGTCATTTGGATTAACCAAAACAATTTCAGCATTAACTAATATAGGGCTAATAAAGGATTTTATGCCCTGCCATATTAACTCAGGTTTTTAAAAAAAGGTCAGAAAATGGACCTTCCAAGACATATAAGCTACACAAAGATGAAAGTTTCAAATCTTTAGATAACCTTAAAAAGGAATTCCCGCTTCCAAATGTAGGTGATATAAGAGTGATCATTAAGCTTAAAAAGTCTAAACAATGTTAAGATAAGATAAGATAAAAATTCCTTTATTAGTCCCACAGGGACTAAAAATGTAGGTGTTAAAAAAGATATATAAGAATGAGAATAACTTTATTGATCTTTGAAGGGAAATTCAATTGACTGTTGTCTCATTTGTCATGTCTAAAAAGTAATCTACATCTACTACATCTATTTAATAAAAGAGTTCAGTGTCCACTCCACAGGTGTTCACTGGCTGCAGAGGGGGTTTGGATCTACAGAAGTCTATGACCATCTCCTTTGTCTTTGAAGTGTTGAGGAGAAGGCGGTTTTTGTGAGCCCAGTCACTGAAGGCTCTTATCAGATCTCTGTATTCAGCTTCTTGTTCATTTCTGATACTTGCCATAGTAGCGGTGTCATCCAGTATTTCTGGATGTGTTAGGACTCAGTGCTGTATTTGAAGTCTGATGTATACAGTGTGAACAGGAATGGTGCCAGGACTGTCCCTTGTGGAGCCCCTGAACTGCTCATTAATGTCCCAGAAACACAATTTCCCAGCCTGACAAACTGTGATAGACAAGGTGTGTACAGACTCTGCTCACATTTTCATGCTTCCCGCATAATCACTCGGGAAGAACTTCTTCAAATTATTAAACTGATCTGTTGTGTTGCGGGTTTATCGCTTAATTGCTCAACGTCACTTTGGAGAGACGTTGAATAACTTCTCAACTATAACATCTTCTGAGGATGACTCAAAGACACGCCTCACATCTATTTGCTGCCCTCAGCTCTGCGTTTAGCTCCATGTTCGGCCATTCTGTTTATTTCTCCTTACTTCTCCGGTAACTTACAGAAGTGAGCAGGAAAAGCCCGACTCTGATTGGTTGTTGTGACGCACATTTGTGCCATGTTTGATCAAGTAAATATGCTCACAGCTGATCACGTGATCGAATTGAAATTTATTGCGATCATCGATCACGATCATATAATCGCCCAGTCCTACTCTCAGCCCCACTGCTCCTTTTTGTAGTTTGTGATTTGATGTAGGCCTTGCTACATGCTCAGTGTTTGTGCTGTTGTATTCCCTCAGATGCCCCTCTCTATTGTGTCTAATTCGTTGTTTGTCTTTGTATCTATTGTTTTGCTTTCTTAGATAAGAAAAAAAATGCCAAGGCAAATGAAGAACAGTATGCATCCAGTGACTCCCAGATTTCCACAACCTCCACATCTTCCTCTTTGTCATCCTCCCACTCTTCAACCTCAGAGGAGGAGAGAAAGAAGAAAAAGAAGAAGAAGGAAAGGGAAAAAGACGGGGAAGAAATGGAAGAAACAGAAACGGCCAAAAAGGAAGAAGGCAAAGTCCAGTAAAGACAAAGGAAGACGCAGAGGTAACTGGGCTGTGCAATCATGACCTTTTTGGTGACCACAACACACACACACCTGCGCTCTTTCCTAATAACTTGTACTTTTGCTTTATAGTATCAACTTATTTTTAAATATTAGATCTTTCAGTCTTTTGTTAGTTTAAAGGGTACAACCGTATTATGTATTTTGGTGTCAAAATGCCTGTTGTATCAAGAAAAACTACAGAAATGACAGCAGAGATCTACAGCTACAATCGTAGGTCTGCTATATCAAATTTCATAAAACGATTTTTCTCTTTGTATTTTTCATTTCAGCAACGAATCCTCAGCAGGTGGTTGAGGGTTACAAGAAGGTGCTGGGTCACTTCCAGAAGGGCAAAAATCTATCTGAGACCTACAACGCTGTGGACATCGACAGAAACACCATTACAACCAGCGGCTTCATTCCAGAGCTCGCCATATCCGTACCAGATAAATATGCTGACGTTCTGCAGGGCTATTCTAGATCGTAGAAGCTGAATGTATTTGTGCAGGAATGTTCAAAGGTCCTCAGTGAGGACCCCGAATTGATGGCCAAGGTAGATAAGCTTCAGGATGAAGAGAAACTACTCCCGATCTCAAAGAGAACATAATCTCCCTTATTTTTTTATTTTTGGATCACAGTTTTAAGGGCAAGGTCACACCACACTTTTATTCTACCTAGCACTCCATTTACCTCTTTAAATACATTGGCAGAATCTACCGTTATAGGTGGAATAAAAGTGTGGTGTAACCATACCTGAAATAGTTTACCTCCAGTCCAGATATTTAAATTGTTTTAAAGAGTGTGTTCAATATTCAATATCTGTTTAGTTTTTGACACATTCCGAAGCCAATAATTTGACGACTGGTGGAGACTCAAGTATCTTCTACTGACTGATGACCTAGTCATCAAATTAATGGCTCAGGAATGAGCTTCATTGGTGTGTAATTGATTGAAGATTAGTCGTGTGTGTGTGTGTGTGTGTGAACTGGTCTCTCTTTTATTAATTTTTTTATTTATTTTTACATTGAAAGCGTTTTATCTTGACACTTTTATTTGTTTAAATGACAACGTGAGCTATTTAGGTTAAATGTTTTTTGAATTTATATTGGAATAAAATGTTAAATGCTGTTCTCTATAACAATACGTCTGTCACATTTATTCTGGTACAAGATTGTTTAAATCTTTCAGTAATCATTGTGCTGAACGTGAAATAATGTAGAATACTTGGTCTGTAAGGCAGCCTGTTGGAGTAGTTGGACAGGGCACACCATAACATATGCAAATGGTTTATATATTTCTTAATCCTTAGCACTGTCTTACAAATCATTTGCTAAACATGAGAATTCTAGTCATGTGTTGTGTCAGCACCTATGAAGGCCGGAAAGTTTGCAACAGGTAAGTAGAAAGTCCACATTAACAAATGCTTTATAAAACATTACTAATACATCTATAAATCATTGGTATATGTTATCAAGTGCCCCAATATAAAGTGAAGGCAATTCATTATTTACGAATGTCTGTTAAATATGAACAAACGTGGTGGCGACATTAACAAATGCTTGTAAATAATGAATAGTCTTCACTTAACATTAGGACTCTTGATAACATCTACTAATGGTTTATAGATATTTAAGGAATGTTTTGTAAAGCATATATCAAACATGGACAAACATTGAGGTCACCTTAAATGGCAGTTGTAAATAATGAATAGTCTTCACTTTACATTAGGGCTCTTGATAACATCAACTACTGATTTATAGATATTTAAGGAATGTTTTGCAAAGCATATATTAAACATGAACAAACCTTTAGGTCACCTTAACAGACCTTTGTAAATGAATTCCTAAACATTAATTTATGATAGCTAAAATCAAGAATAAATAATTATTAGATGATTTATAAATGTTCTACAAACAGCTTGTATATGATTACTTCTTTATCTAAAGATTGCATATATATGTTATATACATTTAGTTATAAATGTTTTAATAATCATTTACACATGGCTTACTCATTAATAGTTAACTAATTACTAATAGTGTATAAATGATTTTTAGTGTTGGTTATACATTATTTAGTAAACATTTACAAATGTCAATGTTTAAAGATTCTAAAATGTTCTACAATGTTATTATACATTTTATAATCATTTACCAAGGCATATAGATAGCTTGTAAATGATTAGTAACTTATCTACTAGAATCTACTTATCTAATAGAATATAAATAATGTATAATTTTAGTTACAAATGATTTATTAATCATTTACAAACGTATATAAATGGTTTATTCATGATAAGTTTACTACTTACTAATGCCGTAATAATAACATATAAATAATGTTTAAACAGTTTGTAAATGTTTAGTTATACACTGACAAATGTCAATAAACAGTTTGTTCATGTTTACTAATCATCTTTGTAAATAAATGCTTTATAAAGGGTCGTTATTGTAAAGTGCTACCGAAGAGTGTCCAACCCCTCTCAAGGACTTGAGTTCCAGAGCCAACGCTATGTGTAGCGTTGAGACCGACTATATCTGGTTGGTAGCGCTCAACCTCCTCCATAAGCTCCAGTTCCCTTCCCTCTAGAGAAGGGGGTGTTCAGTGATAAAGCACTTCTGGATAGAATTCTATAAAACATTAGAAAACATTTTATGATGCTGCCTTCGCAATTTACAACATAATTTTTTGGAAATGTTGATTTTCAGTGCAGAGGGCCTGATTAATACCTGTTTGGCATTCTGATTTGTACCAGCACAAAAAGCTATCACAATGTGCTGGTTGCTTCCTGAAGCCCCTACAATACAAGAATGGATTGATATTGTAATGATATACGTTATATGAAAAGATGACCTTTTGTGTACGTCTACAGAAAGACCTTTTTGTTCAACTCTGGTCTAAGTGGGTTACATATATAAGGTCTTTGCAAGCAGATTTTGTGGAGGTGACCAATTAAGGATTTTGTGACATTGTTTTTCCTTTTTTTATTGCAAATGTTGCTGCAACATAAGTTGCTTTTTTATTCCATTACTCCAACCACTCCGGAGTACATACTCTTCCTCCCACCTTGTTTATAGTTCTATCCAAATCAAGGACTGCAGAGATAATTTAATTTCTGCGGCATGTTTAACCACATTCCCTATATTTATTTAACACAATGTGATGTGATCTGCTGTCCAATTCCCCAAAATAAAGAATTGAAAATAAATAAATAAATAAATAAATAAATGTCTCTCTTGATTGCAATATTATTCACTCTAACTAAAGAAACTACTTCATCAATACCTCTAACCTCATGTATTCAAAGCTTTTTTTTTTTGGCTATACCCACAATTTCCTGATGTTAACAAACAAGACATGTCAGAGAAAAATGCATGTTTCTGCAGTATTTGGATTTAACTTAAGCCAGAAAAATGTTATTATGAGAAGGATTACAAAATGGGTCAGGAGATTCAGAAAGTTTGTACAGTAAGTAAATAGTTAATTAAAGAAATAAACATATTACTTTGAAAGAAACCTTAAGAGAGTTGTTCACTGTTGTGACAATGTTTTGGTTTTATTTTTGTAAAACATACTGATGATAATTAGCATAGAGCCTCCAGGAAACAAGAGGGTCAGCTAATCTCTAAAATCTGTAGTCCTGTTAACCTTTTATCAGACAGAGGTCCTTGAATGAGATACTTTGACTTTTGCTCCAGAAAATTCAGGTAAAATTAATATATTTTTCTAAACCAGTTCTACAGTTTGTTTGTTTTTTTTAAATGTTATTCAGTTGTTGTTTGGTACAGGGTGAAGTGCACTGATAAATAAACATATATATGGATATATCAGCGGCTGGGTAGCTCAGTGGGTAGAGTATCCGGTTCGTTGTAACTGTGAGGTTGGGGTTCGAATCCCGCATTACACACATCTGTAAGGAGCAAGTTACATCAACCAGTGTGGGCCTTTAGGCAAGATCCTTAGCGCTATGGCTCACTAACATGACTGTGTTGCCATTGAAAGCCAAACCAGCTCAGACGTCACCCCCGTAAACAAGGTTTGTGTCAACTGCTGAGGAAGCAGGGCATTGTTATGAGAAATAGGCTACTAAACGAAACAGAGAAGGTAATGGACATGACATAAGAATAAGGCTCTGTTGGAATGCTACTACTCCAGTAACCCAGTTATATGAACAGGCTGCAGGATATATGGTTGCTTCGATACCCATAGTCAATGCTAACACTGAAACAGCTCGTAGCTCAGTGTTCCAACATCCGCCCCCTCCCTATGGAACTCACTCCCACTGGACCTTAGAAACTGCACCAACCTTACCAGATTCAAAACCCAGCTCAAAACTCACCTTTTCCGCACTGCTTTTCATCTTCCTTAGCGCCCCCCCCCCCCCCCCCCCGTTGATTGTTGATTTTACCTGATTTTACTTGATTTTAATTGATATTGATGTATTTTATTGTATATTGATGTATGTTTTTATTCATGTACAGCGTCTTTGAGTCTGTGAAAAGCGCTTTACAAATAAAATGTATTATTATTATTATTATTATTATTATTATTATTATTATTATCTGCAAACAGCAGCTGCTATCGTAACTAGAGACTGAGGAGATACAACATGTTAGTGCTACAGCAAGGGGGAGCCAGGATGCTAGGTCAGATGGGGGAGTTAACATTGACTCCTCCCCTGAGATTTGGTACTGTGCCCCAGAGTTGAACAAAAAGGCAACCTGACCTGAGAGATAAGATCATGGCTAAGATGAGCACCTGTCAACCCAGACACCGACTAGGGGGCGGTGAAGTACCTCCAGAGATCCTAGCCAATATGAATGCAGTGATAACAATGATTTCCACCACGAACATCAGTGAGACCAATGAGCTGATGTACAGTACAGCAACAGTGATCCTTGAGATGCTTGGACATAAAGTGAATGCCAAGGAGAACAAAGAGCAGTGCCCACCATGGAAGAGAAGGTTGGATTGAGGTGACACAGAGAGAGGTCAGCTAAGAATTACACCCCCAGAGTGTATAAATATATTTATATAATTAGAATTTATTGATCTAATTAATCGCATTTTAATCTCATATCTACTTTAGGTCCCCAAATAAAGAATTTGAATTCTAGGACATTCCAAAATTGTAGTACATGACTAATCAAATGAATACACTACAAAGAGAAGACTTGAAATCCGCATTTTTATTTGTGACTGAATAAAACCAGTGTATGAAAGAGCGAAAGAGAGAGTTGAGGTGAGGTGTGTGTGCGTGAGTGAGAGGTGTATTAGGCCTTGAGCTAGGACTCTAAATATGGGGTCATCGGTATCAACTGGGGGGAATAATTCTCATTGTGATTTTTGGGTAGGTATACACCACTAGTACTAGAAAAAATGTGATAGCATTGCATCTGTGGTAGCTTTCTGTGTGTTATCACTCAATTTATGACCACATACCAAAACAGAGTTTTCAAAATCCGAATTAATCATTCTACTTCAAACTGATGGTTCTCTCTTATTAATTCACCCTATCTCTGTGAAAAAATGTCAGAATAAAGCCCAGGTTATATATTGTTCAGTAGAGTTGTTGGAATCAGCATCTCTAGATGTTTTTTTCTCTTATAAGCAGTGACAACCTAGTGACAATATATGTCTTCCGTTTTCATGAAAGATGTAACACAAAGGTTTAATTTGTACACAACCTAAACATGTTAATACATAAAACATGGTAAGTAATGCATAGGCTAGATATTTCTACTTTATTCTTGCTGTGATTTAAGTTGTCACACTCACACCTGGCCTGAGTCAGTCTAAATGGATGGAGCAGGGTGTGCACAACACACACATGCTGTGCATTAAGTTAATTGAGGCACACATTATAAATAGGCCAGTCAGTGGTGGTGGAGTAGTCCTGTACAACACAATTCAGAGAAAAGCAGAGTGTTTTCATGTCAAGGAGCTGAATCACTTTCCTTTATGATGGAGGGTCCTAAGCAGACAGAATTGATTAAACAGTGCATCATACACAATAAAACGTCCAAGGATGATGGTGAACATTTAGTTAGTCCCCAAGACTATAAATCCTGGGAAACATTACTTGAAGCAGCCAAAGTGAGAAACCATGCCCCTATTTTAGACAGAGAAAAGGATGTGCCTACAATGTATTATCACAGAAAATGCCGAAGCCTCTTCACCATGAAGAGGGAATTGGAGTCATTGAAAAAGAAAGCCAAGGAAAGCATTACTGGTGATGAAGATGTTGAGTACGGCTGTGTATCAAAAAGGCCTAGAAGGAGATCTTCATCAGCATCAAGGGTGTATGATCATATCTGCATTTTTTGTAAGAAAGAGAAGTTTTTAAAGGGCTCCAAGTCGCGTGAAAAGCTTACACAAGCTGTACAACTCAGAGCTGAGGGTGGAAAATGGAGACAGAAGGTGAATCTGGACAGTTGGTGGTACACTGGATGGACGGCCAGCCAGCAGCTGATGCGGTCCTGGATCTACTGGCCTGTAACTGTCCAAAGAAATATTCACTCCCAAAATGTGTCTGTATTGCAAATGGTCTCAAGTGTACTGACATGTGTAGACTGGCAGACTGTGAGAACCAAGCATCCACCTCAGACAGTGTGGAAAGTTCAGATGAAGAAGACATGGAAGAAGTTGATGAAAATGATTTTGATTATTAGGTTGTGAACATATAGAAGTCAAAAGTATGATCTGTATAATTGAGAATTGGAGAGATTCAGGCCTACACTATTCCTGAATGGCGAACGTAGAGATATACACCAAAACCACCTTTCTTGGTTTAACTCTGTCCCAGAACAAAGCAAAGAACAAGCCAGGAACTGACATGTAGAGAAGGTAGCGAGGATTCCAGGCAAAAATAAACATACAAAAAAAAAAACACCCTCCCCTATTGTTGCTACCTTGTCGTGGTGGGGAGGCTTGTGTGCCTCAGTGACCCTGAAGGCTACACCGGCCAGGGTTATACCCCTGGTAGGTACAACCAAGCCGGGCAGTTTTCAGGTTAGAGGCCAGTCCAAAAGCAGCATTGCCATCACCCTCTTTCAATGTGCTTTCACTGTGATAATAGTTCAGGGGAAAAGGAGTATTTTGGGCAAATTTTAATGAGTTTTGAGCTCATTTGCGTATTGTTGTCTGGCAAATTTAACCCACTTTTCCAACTAGGATTTCATAAGACTTATATTATTGTTAGTCTAGACACCTTATAGAAATGATGTATGGTGAAAAGAAACCCTTTCAATAGGTTTTTTGGGGGGTTAAGTTGTATGTTTTCATATATTGACCCATGTAATTTTCGCCTAGTGTAATAAAATAAAATGCATGATAGCACCCATTTAGCTACCACTGCTGCAATGCTATCACATATTTTCTTACTCTTTACATGTATACAATGTCAAAAATCACTGAGCATTATTCCCCACAGTTGATACCGACCAACCCCCCTGGCTCATGGCCTATATGGGAGGAAGGGGGAGATGAGAGAGGTGAGGCGTGTGTGTGTGTGTGTGTGTGTGTGTGTGTGTGTGTGTGTGTGTGAGTGTGAGTGAGTGAAGAGAAAAAGAGCGGTGTATGGTAGAGTGGGAAAGTTGAGTGAATGAAAGGGGGAGAGAGAGAGAGAAGTGTGTGTGTGTGTGTGTGTGTGTGTGTGTGTGTGTGTGTGTGTGTGTGTGTGTGTGTGAGTGCGTGGGTAAGAAAGCGAGAGAGAGAGACATACCTGTAGGGTTCAACCTCCAGCTTCTGTAGTTTGTCACATTCGAGGTTGGACAGTGATGCCAGGTTGAGTCTCTGTTGGGCTAAAGAGGTATTCACAGCCTCCTGGTTCTGCCGGAACCTTGAGACCATTGAGAGTGCTGAATTCCATCTTTCAACTAGAAAATGCAATTTCTGAAGAAATTGCAAGTGGGATTGCTCAGTTTGAAATTGCTATCACTTAACTGCAATTGTGAATGGCTGAATTTTGAAAGTCTATGAAAGATAAGAAAGTTTGAATTTTAAGGTAGCTTTGAATTTATTTGAATGATTTGTATGAATTCATTGAATAGTGCATAAATTGTTTTAAAAAAAACAAGAAAGCTCTGAATCAGCTTGAATGAGTTGGAATTTGCTTGAAAAATACAATGATGTATGAATTGTAAAAAATGATTTAAAACAGGAAAAATTTAAATGATGCAGCTTTTCCGCCAGCTGTGTGTCTCCAGGTGCTCTAATTGGTTGCCATGGTGACAGTAGATGCATCACGACAGCAGGAGAAAGGAGGCTTGAGGCTGAGAACGTAATGCCCAAACAACGCCCTAAATCTCAGCCTCTGTAACTCCTATCTTCATGATAATGAGCTTGTGAGAACCACAAGTCCCGGCTGAACACGATGATACAACTTTTGTGTTTGTGGAGTTTGTGCATGAATATTAAAAATTGAATCTACTATGGAAAAAATAAAAAAAAATAAAAAAACCTGAATGCATCCCATAATGTCCTCAATGAACTGAATTTATTTAGCCTTCGATGGTTTCTGTAGCTCAAAGTTTGTGGGGAGAGATAGATGAGAGAGTTTGTCGAGTGAAGGGCTATAAATGTAACCCCCAGTGCTCTGTGTACTGAGCCTGGCTTCATGTGTCTCATAAGGCCGTTAGAAGCAGCTTTTCTGCCAGCTGTGTGTCTCCAGGTGCTCTAATTGGTTGCCATGGTGATGGTTGCTGCATTACTACAGCAGGAGAAAGGGGGCTTGAAGCTGAGAGAGCAATGTCCAAACAATGCCCTAATGCTCTTGCTCTGTAACTGCTGACGTGCCACAATCCTGTTGTAAAGACAAAGTTTTAAGGATTAATTTTCAGCCTGTCTCACTCTAGCGATGAGGTCACCCACTCTAGCTGCCATCATTCCATGCAATACACACTAATGTTAAAACCTGAAGAGGTCAGAAAATCCTGTGACTGTTTGAACTGTCACAGTGAGAAAAGTATGAATGCCATGAAGATGGTGAATGAATGAGTGAATGTCTGAAGGTGTGTGAATATTTTAAAGTTTGAATTAAAGTTTCTACATGGAAGTGTAGAGGAGTTGAAGGCTTTTGAAGTTGTGTGAAGAAATGTGAGAAAAGGGGCTGTTTTGAACATTCCGTAATGCATTTCTAATGGGAGAAATTGGTCGGAAAGCCGGGAATATCTCAGAAATTATGAATGTTAGGAAAAATCTAAATACACGCCTGAATCTCCTCAATGAAATGAATATTTTGGAGTTTGAATGGTTTGAATATGTTGAAGTATGTGGAAGTAGTTGAGGGCCAAAAAATGGTGGAATAACAATAACTAGAAAATGCAATTTCTGAAGAAATTGCGAGTGGGATTGCTTCTGTTGAAATTGCTATCGCTAAGCTACTATTGTGAATGGCTGAATTTTGAAAATATGTGAAAGATAAGAAGGTTTGAATCAATTGGATGAATTTGTTGAATAATGTGTAAAGAGTAAGAGGAAAAAATTCAATTGTGTGAAAATTGAAATAATAAAAAAACATATTTATGAGAAAGGCTTGGAGAATGGAAGAAGTTTGAACTTGTTGAAAAATTACTTGTATTTTGTTTGAAGAATTCATTAATGCATGAATAGTGAAAATTTGAATGAGTTTGAATGACTAAAGAATCGAATACAAGATGCTGTTGCAAATGGCTGATTTTTGAAGATATGTGAAAGATAAGAAGGATTGAATTATCAGGAAGGTAGAATCAGTTCTAATGAATTCATTGAAAAATGTATGAAGAAAAAGAATAAAATCGACAGTCTTGATTAGACATAAGAGAACCTGAGAAAAGAAACAATGGTTTTCCTATCAGGATTCGAACCTGTGTCAGCTGTAGGAGAACCCACTGCTTTACCGCTCAGCCACGCAATTGTTAAGTATTCACTGAATTGGCAACAATGGTTATAAACCAGCTACAGTCCCTCGGACACACCTAGGACACACACCATCTGGACCAACTGCCTTCCCAGGGCAAAGTCTTCCAAGCTCCAACTCTTGTGACAGACAAGGACTTGTGTTCTAGGAGGGAGGCAGTTGAAGTGGTTGAGACATTTGAACGAAACGGAGGAGGAACAGGAGAAATTTTAGTGGGGATTTGTTGCAGAGAGGAAGGTGGAGTAGCAGTGGGTACGTCAGCAGTGTGAAATTTGTTAAAGAACAGGTTGAGCTCATCAGCTCTTTCTAGATCACCCTGGCTGTCTTTTCTTTTTATTCCTGTGTCCAGAGATGGTATTGATTCCTCTCCACACTTCACAGATGTTGCTGTGTTGTAGATTCTTCTCTATCTTCTTTTTGTACTCCAACTTTGCCATCTTCAGTCTCCTCTTCAACTCCTGTTGCACTTGTTTGAGTCGTTCTTTGTCACCATCTCTAAAAGCTTTCTTTTTCTGGTTAAAGTTGGACAGAATCAAATCACTTTACTCCAAGCTTGTTTAAGCAGTCAAGTTAGGTATGGTGGGCTCAGACATTGAAACCAGCTAATAAGTGCTTACTAAAAGCTGTTTACGTTTGTTTCCATTGAAAAATTCAGACAATTTCAACATAAAAAACAGCAACTTTCTAGTCTCAATCTATTGATATTAATCTGATTTAATCTATAAAAAGACCTGCATGAAAATAGGTTTTCTATTTTTATCCATTTTCTTTTACAAGCTGTAGTTTTGTTGCATAAAGAGGCTGAAAAAACGGATTTGAAAACTGAAGTAAACACAAAAAAAAACCTTTATAAACAAAGAGGCCTTTGCATGGTGCCACATTACCAAACATAAAATAACCGGGCCAATCAGAGACCGTGTTTCCACTGTTACCGGGACAACAGGGAAAGGCAGCCCCTGATTGGTCCATGTGTAGGTGGTGACGTCTAACACATGCTGCAGGACTTTTCAAAGCCCCGTTCATTCAGAACGCCCTTAATTCTGCAGTTGACTCTGCAAAGTCGGCAGAAATCTTTTATATCCAACGTCTTCCGTGGATATAAACGATTTCTGCCGACTTTGCAGAATACACGCTCCCAATGGGCCGAAGTCCAGACTGTTGTGGGAAGGAACTGCAAGTGATTCACTCAACAGGATGGCCCAGCCAGGCTACAATTAATCTAGATGTTTTACAACCAATATTTAAACCCTATATAAACCTTTAATAAATAGTTCATAAATAATGAATGAAAATTATTAATCATAATTTCATTGCTTGTTAATGGTAAAGTAACTATTAACCTACATTAATAAACTATCTATTTACCATTTATAGTTTGTCTATATGCTTTTTTAAAATGATGATTAAACAATAACAAACTATCTATTTACCATTTATAAATTATTATCATTAAAAACGTCTGTGTTAAATTTCCTCATTTCTGTGTTTTTATTTTAGCATTAGATTAAATGTCACAGCTGGCAGAGCCCCTCAATGTGCTGTAAACCCCCTTATAAAAATAATACATGGTAAATATTGGGCTTAAGCAACAACAAAAAAAGCTATTGATTGCTGATATTGCCGTCAATAGTACCTTTTACAATACAATTTTTGAATATCAACCAGTGACTGTTTTGGTTTGATATATAGTTACGGGGAATAATAAAGATGTGTTATTATTTAAAAATCATGTGTTGCCCGGTATGACCTCATCATGACTGAGATTATAAAAGGCAGGAACCACCACAGCAGAGATCATTTCACCTCGAAACACACACCTGTTAACTTGTTAACTTGTGAGCCGGAGAGAGAAATACTAGCAACCCATTGAGAGAGAGAGAGATTTGAATCACAGAGAAGAAGGAAATCAATAGAGAGAGAGAGAGAGAAGGAGAGAGGTGGAGAAGGAGCTAGAGAGATCGTGAGATCGACGGATCTGAAGATTCAGAAACCCTGAAATCGATTGACTGAGAGATCCAGAGAGCAACAGATCCAGAGATCCAGAAATTATGAGATCCAGAGATCAAGAGAATTGTTTCATTTGTCTTATTTGAGCGAAATGGAAATTGAACCTGAGAGAATGGAAGAAATCCCCATCCCTCCCACGATCCCGGTGAACCTGGCAGAGGTAATACACCTCACTGTTTCCAGGATTTTTGAGGATCCTGATGAGTTTCTGGAGAGTAATGATCTGTTGGAGGACACAGATGCCACCTCCAGACGAACATGTGCTGCTAAAGATGTGGACATCTTCACCTCTGTGCGGTCTTCTGCAGAGTCAGACATCTCTGCAACCACATTTGACACCCTACCAGAGGAGAGCAGGAGTCTGTCCTTCATCGAGCATGAGCGAGAGAGCGAGCATGAGCAAGAGAGTGAGCATGAGCAAGAGAGCAAGCGAGTCCCTACTCCTGGAAAAGACTGAAGCGCTTCACAAAGCAAACAAAACAATCACCAAACTCAAACTCCGTATTCAAAAACTCCCCGATGAGCTCAAATCAAAATCCACTCTCCTCACAACCTGTATTGATGTGGCCCACCAGCAATCCCTCCACCTATTCTCCCTCCAAACAACCCTCCAGGACACGCTACCCTGGGAGCCTCAAAGCCCGACGACCCGACCACGTCCCGACCACCATCCACCACAGCACCCAACCAGGATTCAACATGGACTGAAGTGACCACTCACGGCAGGAAAATCACCAACACCACCCCCTGGAACCCGGCCGGGCCTACCTCAAGCTCCACGCCGAGCAATCCACTGACCCGGTCCGAGGTCCTTGCCGGCGTCAGGACAAATCCTTCCAATGATGCCTCTACAATCCGGTTGTCCCTCTCTAACCGCTTCGAGGCCCTTGAGAATCCTCCTAAGCCTGCCAACACTAGAATGAACCAGTCCCTTCTCTGCGGTGACGTGGTGGCATCCTCTACAGCGGCTGCCGGAGCTCCCATGGCTCCTACACGGCCACCCGGCTGAGCCCCCGGGCCTTCGTTCACGTCCTCCGGTCCCCTCGCAGCGTGCCCGCTCGAGGATCGGGCAGCCTCTGCTCTTCTGGTGACCAGCTCCCGGGCGTCACCGGGCGCTGGCGCTAAGAACACCTCCCTGCCGGTGTACAGAGGGATTCCCGTGTGGCCTGGCACTGGCGGAGGGGACCCTTCTCCGTCGGTCCCTGGTCGCGCGCGGTGTCCCGGAACCCGCCTTGACCACTGCTCTGAGAGCCGGCCTGCGTCCTCGGCCGCCCGCAAGAGGTTTCTCCGAGAGGCAGTCCGACGGAACTCCGCCGGGCCCGCATCAGCCGCCCCAGACCGAAATGGCAGACCATCCCGCAGCCGCTGGCATCCACCCTCGTACCCCGGCCACCTGCCCTGCTTCGGATTCAGGAGCCATGCACCCCGTGCCGCTGTTTCCCCCCACCACCTTGATCATCGGTGACAGCATCATATGAGGTATTCATTTTTTTAATGCAATCACTCGCGCTTTCCCCGGTGCGACTGTCGCCGACATCACAGCAAAACTCCCCGGTCTTCTCCAGTCACTTCCTGCCTCTATCCACCGTATCATTGTTCACGTTGGCACCAATGACACGGCTCACCAACAGTCTGAACTGACAAAAAATGACTTCAGAAAACTTCGTGATAGCCTTCGGTGCAGCGGCAAAACTGTTTGTATAAGTGGTCCGCTTCCCACACTGACACGTAGCATCGATCGTTTTAGGTGCCTCCTCAGCCTAAACTCCTGGCTTCGAGCCCTCTGCAGCACCCTCTCCACCCACTTCGTTGACAATTTTAACCTGTTCTGGAACCGACCCCCATTTTTCTCTAATGACAGACTTCACCCAAACAAACTGGGCCATCAGACACTTGCCGCTAATATCCAACACCACATACACACCAACTGACTTACATTGTTAACACACTTCCTGTCATCTTCTTCCACTACTGTTGTGGAAAATCCAGCATAAACAGTGCACAGGACACAGGATGAGATCTGAAGAACAGCCTGGACGTCTTTTATTGTACAGATGTAGAAATCAGTACAGATGACAAACAGAGTCTTGACCAAGACCGAAGGAAGCCTCCCTAGCTTTTCTTCTACTCTCTTTTATGCTGTTAGGTGTGTGTGTGTGTGTGTGTGTGTGTGTGTGTGTGTGTGTGTGTGTGTGTGTGTGTGTGTGTGTGTGTGTGTGAATTCTCCAGAAGGCCCCTCATGATGACATGTCTGCCCCAAGACACTTTGTTAAGGTTCGTCTTGACCCTTGCAGAGATTAAATGTTCCAACAAACAGATAGTTCAGACTCCTGCAAGACAGCCTTGCTTAAAATCTCGGGGTCGTGGGGCTGCAGGAGCAGGCCAACCTAGATTATTTGTAGCTTCTTACTAAAAGATAATTACTCTACATTTCTTAACCTAAATGTATGAAGAGATTCTCCTACACTACCCCATCTGGAAACAGCGCCCCCCTGAAACAGAGGCCCCCCTCCAGGGACTCTCGCCCTCACCACCCCCACCACTGGCTCCCCCAACAGGCCCCAACTGGTACTACACACCAACCCCACCGCCCCCACTACATCAAGCTCCCCCTCCTGGTCCAAACGGCTACTACACCCTCCAACCACAGACTCTCCTTGCAAACAATTGCAAACAATTCAAACAATTACAACTACTGGACCCTCCCGCTCAAATCCCATTCATCTAAAAAGAAGGACAAGAAATCAAATAAACCTCCGCTGCCTTCTCCCTGCCTCACTGCCCACCCCACAGCCCCCTCCCCTGAAGATGGCCCTTCAAAACACCCACTCACTCAATAACAAAGGACTCATCCTAGCTGACTTCATAACAGACAATAACCTGGACTTCCATTATCTAACTGAAACCTGGCACAACCATCTCGACCTCTTTCCACTCAACCAAGCCACCCCCCCCCCGGTTACTCCTACCTGCACCAACCCCGCCTCACTGGACGAGGCGGTGGCGTCACAGTCATCCACAAGACCACCCCCGTCCCCACCCCCGTCCCCACCCTGTCCGTCCACTCATTTGAAAATATTTCCATCAAACTCCCCGGCCCCACCCCTCTGGTCATTGTCACTATGTACCGCCCTCCAAAGCCCCACCCATCATTCCTCTCTGATTTCTCTGACTTTATCACCCACCTAAACACCATCTCATCCTCTGTCCTGCTGCTTGGAGACTTCAACTTTCACATTGACAACCCCACCTTCAAACAAGCATCCAATTTCCTGGATCTGCTCGACACCCTCAACCTCACCCAGCATGTACACTCCCCCACCCACTCCCATGGCCACACCAACACCCCAAATTTCCTTCAGAAACCTCAAATCCATCTCGCCTCAGGACCTCTCCGCTTCCCTATCTGCCACCCTCACTGCATCCCCTCCCTCACCATCTGCTAAACTTCCTGACCTACTCAACTACTACAATAACACTCTATCCTCCTGCCTGGACCAGCTCGCACCTCTCAAAACAAAAACAGTTTCATTCAGACACTCTGCTCCCTGGTTTACCTCAGAACTACACAAAATGACAACTGGAACGTCTATACCGTAAAACAGGCCTCACCGTCCATCTCCAAGCCTACACCGACCACCTACACCTGTACTGAACAGCCCTCAACTCTGCCCGTTCCTCCTTTCACTTGTAACGAGACGACTGCTTTCTGCTCTGTCCACCTTTAATTCACCCCTCAAAGGAATGCAGGCTTCCCTGGTTAGAAGAGGAAATGGGGGGTAACGTTTCACACTTAACTTATGGCCAGTTTACGACCCAGGAACCAAAGGGGAAGCTCTCCCCAAAAGGCTGATAATGAATCTTAACGCTTCAAGGAGACAAGTTGCTTATCAACCACATGACCCCCCAGGCCGAATAAACATGGAGCCTCTCACCTTGGCTGGGAAAGATCATAGTTGACACCTCAGCTTAAGGAATGACCCCAAAAGAGCACGAGAACTTTCTCCAAGACTGCCTTTCGGCGCCAAGTCCTGAAACAGATCCCTACCATAAATCCTTTGAATGACTGTGTTTTTCCATGGCTTTCTTTAAGGTGCAGAAGGAAGAGAATGACTGAAAATGGTTTAACTTCATGTTTAATGGACACTTCACCAGAATTTTCTATCTGTACACCACATCATCAATGAAATGGTCTTTTTCCCAGCTTTCTAGCATATCTACAAGCCAAACTGTTAACTTCACAAATTTATTCCAGGTTTTCCATGGACCAAGAGCTCCTCCTAGTGGTGTTGCCTGAATATAGTTTGGTCAGAACCAAATGTGTATTTAGGGAATTTAATTATGTGCATTTCTTCTTTTTGTTTTATACACTTCGTAGCTTAGTAAATGGTATTCCCAAGATAGGCTAGCAGTTTTAGAAGTAGTAACAGTAAACTCTTTTAGACTCAAGTTAAGAGTTTTTGAATGTATCAATACTATGTTTTTGTCTACCTCACCCAAATATATATGTTAATCATTTATGAAGCTTGATTGACAAGGTTATATTATTGTCAAGTATCATCACGTATGTGTTTCTTATGCTGGATGGTGTTTCTGTTCGAATAGATGATTTGGTTTTCAGTCCCTCTCTAACTTTCAAAAAGTCGTTAATCCTCTGTTATTATCAAGAAAACGTCTGATCAAAAGTTTACTGTTTTCAATGTCATGCTTTAATGCATCTGCTCATAAGAAACAATGAAGTGAAATGTGATCGTATGTGATGTTACAAACAGATTAATCATAGTGAGTGAGTAAATTAGATCTAGCTCTCTTTTAATATCAAGTTAAGGTAATTTGCTGCCAGTCGACGGGCTGCATTGGGGAACAACGATTGGATATGCCCCCCCCCCCCCCCTCTTTTGGTTCACGCCCCACGTGAACTGCTTAAAAGAGTTGAGCTTTTGCTGCCCTTGGTTCTTTTCTTTTAGTTCTTTTTCTTTTTGTCTTGTTCTTAGCTTTTTCTTTTTGTCTTTTGTCTTCGTCCATAATTTGCAATTTTCTCCGCGTTTTTATTATTTGCCTTAAGCTCAGACTTTTCCAGAAACTTGGATGAAACCATACCCAAGTTTCTTTAAAGCATCAGTAACAAGCTGCGTGCATAGAGAACCTCAGTCTAAGCCTTTTATTTTATTTTGTTCGCTAAAGTGACTCCTGAAGATAATATTGGCTGGCCAGCGAAATTATTTTCTTAAGTTATTGGCGCCAATTAATCTGCAACCAAGCTATTCCTGAACGCCGACCAGCATCATCTGTCGAGCTGCATTTGCCACCTGGTTCCAAGAGGCCAAGAGAATTGAAGTATCTAACGGCACTGACACGGTCCTGAAGCCTGAGACCATTCACGGCAGAGAACTCCCCGCCGAACCTTCAGCATCCGGTCCGGTAGCCACAGAACTTCAGCTGATCCATTCCAAGGGTGCCGCTGAGAACCGACATCCAAAGTAGGCAAACTCCTCGAAACTGTTGTGTCAACTGGGTGATGCCGTCAACAGTTCAGTAGCTTACTTTCCTCGTTATAGTTTAGTTCTCCAAATTCCTTTTTAAAATTTACCTCGTAACTCCGTCAACATAGGTTAAATTTTCCCTTATTCACTCACTATCATTAACCTCCAGTCTTAGGTTCAGTTCAAACCATTCCTTTGTTTATTCATTAGATGTTCTTTGATTTTCTCATTATTTGATCATCAATTATTGAAGTTTTGTTATCATCGTCATCCCTTCAACGAGTGCATAAATGTCATAATTTAATTTGATTAATTTTGGACATTTATTCTGAATTCAAATCGTTACATACTCCAACCTCATCCACTCCGGCTCCAGTAACCAAAAGGCTCTTTTCTCCACCGTCAAAAAACTGCTCCACCCCATAGACAGTACCTCCATCACCTTCACCCCGGAAAAGTGCAACACATTCCTCTCCTCTTTTCAATCAAAAATCAACACAATCTACAACTCCCTTCCCCCACCCTCCATTCCCCGCTCCTCCCCTCCTCCCCTCATCCCATCAGCAATCTCCTGCTTCTCACCTGTTTCCTCAACCGACGTGACCAATATCATCTGCTCCATGTCATCATCCACCTGCATCCTGGATCCCATCCCATCCTCCCTCATCAAGCACTGCCTCCCGGTCATCTCCCCCATCATCACACAGATCATCAACTCCTCCCTCAACTCCGCCACTGTTCCCCCGTCACTCAAACTGGCCGCTGTCACCCCCATCCTCAAAAAACCCGGACTCAACCCCGACGACATCAATAACTTCCGGCCCATCTCCAACCTCCCTTTCCTGTCAAAAATCCTCGAACGTGTCATTGCATCACAAATCAAAACCCACCTCAACAATAACAACCTTTACAAACAGTTTCAATCAGGATTCCTGAAACCTGAAACCCTCATACATGCATTCATTTCATCTCGTCTAGATTACTGTAACAGTCTCCTCCATGGCACTACCTCCACTCTCCTCAATAAACTTCAGCTTTTCCAGAACTCAGCCGCCCGCCTCCTCACCCACGCACGCTCCCACCAACACATCACCTCCGTCCTCCAAAACCTTCACTGGCTCCCCATCCCCCATCGCATTCAATACAAAATCCTCCTCCTCATCCACAAAGCACTCCACAACCTGCCCCCCCACCACCTACAGGATCTTCTCCACCCCTACATCCCCTCCCGCACCCTCCGCTCCGCCAATGCCAACCTCCTCACAGTTCCCCTGACTAAGCACCGAATCTGGGGGGACAGAGCCTTCTCAGTCGCCGCCTCCACCCTCTGGAACTCACTCCCACTCGAAGTCAGAAACTGCACTGACCTCACCAGATTCAAGACCCTTCTCAAAACCCACCTCTTCCGCACTGCCTTTCATCCTCCTTAGCCCCCCCCCCCATTGGATTTTACCTGATTTTACATGTTTTCATTGATATTGTTGTAAATTTTATTGCTTATTGATGTGTTTTATTGTTATTGCTTAACTCATGTACAGCGTCTTTGTGTTTTTGAAAAGCGCTTTACAAATAAAATGTATTATTATTATTATTATCATTATTATAAGCTCAGATGTAGAGGAGGTGAGCGAATACTACATTATCCACACACACTTTGATACACAGGATAGGAGAGAACTACAAGGTCATTTCTAAGGGTTAACACACTTTAACAAGAAAATTTTACATCTGGGCAAGATGATTAAACATTTTGCAGAGGAAGTGTTTTTAATTTTTAAGGTTTACTTCTGATTATCATCTGTTTGACAAAAGCTACATTTTTCCATCAGTTTAGGTCAAATTCATTATTTGTTTCTTTACTGTTTTCACTGTTGTACCCTTTCTAGATGGCGTTTTTTAAAAGGACTTCTTCTTTTAGCTCCAGTTTTACAGCTTTTGTTTATTTTCTTCTCTTCCAGATGTCTAATTTGAGTGACAAAGAAAATGAACCAGAGAGCAGCTCCACATGCACCTCCGTGTGGTCTTCTGCAGATACTGACCCAATGAACTGTGACGATCTTCTCCAGGAAGAAGACTTCTTCTGCAGTCGCAGTTCCTCACCTGCAGACGAGATGAAGTCAGACAGTTTGACTTGGGGCTCCCTCAGTTGGGACTGCAGCTCCACATGTACCAATTGTGATGGGTATTACTTCTGTGAGAGCAAAAACCAAACAGATGAATCTGTGAAGGTCCTCAAGATGGAGGTGAAGAGCTGTCTCCCAGGACCCGCAAATGATGAAGATGGGGATTCATCCCCCCCCAGAAGAAACAGAGGCAGAGGAAGAAACAGGAGCCTCCGATGTCCCTGCTCTTGCTGCCTCTAAGAAGTCTTTTACATTCAACTTCAGAGGTCATCTGAGAAGGAAGGTTTCAGACAAAAATGAGAAGGACACCCCAGCAGAGAGCAAGGGTGAGAAGAAAGAGAGGAGGACTTTCCTACATTGGATGAGAAGAAAGAGAATCCAGCCAGCCCCTCTCAAAAATATGAATGAGGTCCAGTCTGACAGCAGTGCAGCAGAGCACAAACAGAGCGGCACCTCCAGTGAAGAAGATGTTGTGACCATTTCTCTTCAGCTGGAGAAAAATGGAACCTTTTTGCCATGCCGAAGCAAAATTTCTCAAAATATCACAGTCACTGATACCAATCCACAAAAGTCAAGGTCAAAGACCTCTGTGGACTACATTGAGCCAGACGCTGAGGGTCCAGAAAAAAACAACACAAGCGCTGAGCCAAAACCAAAGAAGAGCAAGCGGCTCAGGAAATTCCTCAGCAATCCGTTCTCAAAGGTAAGGACACATTTATTTGTGAATTGTTTGGTGGTTCATGAAGGAAATATGCTGCAGTGGTCCAGACTTGATGTTTTTGGATATTTAGAGTTGATATTTCTGTACTAATTGTTTGTCATTTTTTTCACATAAAGAACGAGAGTAAGCTGAAGACAGAGGAGAAGGAGAAGAAGGAGGAGAAAGAGAAGGTTTCAGCTGACAGGGATGTTGGCTCCCCTCCATTCTGGGTTCGGCTGGTTTGCGGCAGTCAAACCAGAAGCTTACACCCTAAACACTCCAGTTCTCTACACCCTGACAGAACTGGAGAATGCTGGAGTGAGACTTAGCGGCACGCCTCTCCACCACAAACCCACAAACAGCAACATGCCCCTCCTCCTCCCCCACGACAAGGAGTACTGCAGCATCCTCTCCCTCCCTCAGCCTGATAAGAGCACAGGACTAACAGTGAGGAACACCTCGTTCTCAATAAGTTCTTGCTGATATGTTTTGGGTCCAGGCAAGGATAACTACAGTTATATCTCTTCCCAGGACAGTCTGCGGCCCGATGAGATAACGCCATCAATCCTAGTCATAATAAGTAATAGACATACTAATCTGCCTAGAAACAGAAGGTACCTAACTAAGAATTTATCAAACTTAGCCTCCATCCCCCGTCAGCCCATCATGAAAAACAATACAGATAATTTCTCCAGCACACTACATTCAGCTCTTTTAAATGTCAGATCTTTAGCTGGAAAATCATTCTTAATCAACGAACTTATCATCAAGCACAATCTCAACTTAATGTTTTTAACTGAAACCTGGTTAGAATAAGATAACAGTGCAACTGTTCTTATCGAGTAAGCCCCCCCTAACTTCAGCTTTATGAGTGAAACAAGGAAGCATAGAAAAGGAGGTGGAGTAGCTATCTTATTCAAGGACTCAATGCAATGTAAACAGATGTACTATGGGAATTTTCCTTCCTTTGAATATGTGGCCTTCCAGTTGAACTCTGCTACTAGAGCAATATTCCTCAGAGCTGAAAAAAGAGAGTGTCGGAAAGCCGAACGCAGATGGCGAAAGATGAGCCTTCAGGTTCACTATCAGATCTATAAAGAGAGACTTCGTATCTTTAACCTAGAACTGAGAAATGCTAGGCGATCCTTCTTCTCAGACATCATCACGAAAAACAAAAATAATGCATGCGCCCTATTTACCACAGTCGACAGGCTAACAAACCCTCCAGTATCAGTAGCCTCTGAATTTCTGTCCGCCAAGGCTTGTAATGAATTTGCCTCCTTCTTCAATAACAAAATCCAGAAAATTAGACAAACAGTCAGTAGCTCAATATCCGGTACAGGATATGTGTTGTCCATGCGTACTAACCCCAGTAGCATGACACAATTCAACCCAATCAACATTAAAACCCTGGAGGACATCATACTAAATCTGAACTCCTCCACCTGCTGCCTTGATATTCTGCCAACAGGTTTCTTTAAAACAGTTTCGAATTGCATGGCCTCAGATTTTTTACAGATTGTCAACATGTCACTTCTGTCAGGTGTCTTTCCACAGGCCCTGAAAACTGCTATCATAAAGCCTCTCCTAAAAAAAAGCAATCTAGACAACTCAGTGATGAACAATTATAGGCCTATATCGAACCTCCCGTTTTTAAGCAAAATCATTGAAAAAGCAGCCTTCCAACAGCTTCACAACTTCTTAGTCCTAAACTGTTTTGACGTTTTCCAGTCAGGGTTTCGACCGCATCACAGCACTGAGACTGCTCTTATCAAAGTCTTTAACAACATCCACTTAAACTCAGACAATGGCAAAATTTCAGTCCTAGTATTGCTCGATCTCAGTGCCGCTTTCGACACGGTTGACCACAGCACCCTACTCGATCGACTGGAAAACTGGGTGGGACTTTCTGGAACAGTACTAAACTGGTTTGCATCCTAATTAAAGGATAGAGACTACTTTGTGTCTCTAGGTAATTACACATCAGAGCGAACTCTAACTCAAATCATAGCAAACAACAAAATATCTTACCATAATTATGCAGACGACACACAGATTTACATAACCATATCGCCAGGCGACTACAATCCAATACAAACACTGAGTCAGTGCACTGAACAAATCAATGATTGTTTAGTTGAAGAAAATTCTGACACATCCAAAGATAAAACTGAAGTAATTGTATTTGGAGCAGAAGAAGAGCGATTAAAAGTCTGCGCTCAGCTTCAATTGATAAGGTTAAAAAGCACAAACCAAGCCAGAAACCTTGGTGTTGTCATGGACTCAGACCTGAATCTTAACAGCCACATAAAGACAATTACAAAATCAGCCTACTATCACCTGAAGAATATATCAAGGGTTAAAGGACTGATGACCCAGCAGGATTTGGAAAAGCTTGTCCATGCATTTATCTTCAGCAGACTCAACTACTGTAACAGTGTCTTCACAGGTCTCCCCAAAAAATCCATCAGACAGCTCCAACTGATTCAGAATGCTGCTGCTCGAGTCCTCACTAAGACCAAGAAAGTAGATCATATCACCCCAGTTCTCAGATCTTTACACTGGCTTCCCGTCTGTCAAAGAATTGATTTTAAGATACTATTGCTGGTTTATAAAGCACTGAATGGTTCAGGACCAAAATACATTTCTGATCTGCTGGTACGTTACGAACCATCCAGACCGCTCAGATCATCAGGAGCAGGGGCCTGTCCTATGAAGCAGGATTACTGCTTAGCGAGATAACTTCGAGGGTAAGTTCGAGATTTCCTGTTCTACGACACGGGTTCACTTCTTAGCGAGGCGAGTCTCCATAGCAATATATGCTGAACGGCTAACCTGCTCCGGGGCAGGTTAAGTTCCAGATTGAACTCAAAGAGTATAAAAACCCCGCCCACTGACCAATGCGCTCTCTCGAAAAACGGCTTGTCCGTTCTCGGAGGATCCTGTAGACCTCGGTGCTCGCATTGTCCGAGGAGCACTCTGGCTCGCGAGAGTTTACAGGGAGAGTTTTCTCCGGATGACCACCTTTATGAAAGGCTCATATGGCCGACGTATTACACAAAACATGTAAACACGATAGGAATGAACAAATGAATGATTCATCTTGGGAATGAATGGGCATGGGCTGCGCGATCACAGACAACATCTCGGTACTATTTAGTAGCAGCGCACGCCCCTTATAATAACCCCGTAAATACTGTTGTTCAGGACTGCTTACTTGTGCTTCCTACCCACTGTAACAACCGTTGTTCTTGCCCACATGCAACATTTTTGTTCTCATTCATGAAACGCTTAAATCAGGGACATTTTCGGGGACAGCTTTAGACGGGGACAGATCATCCAATTCGGGGACTGTCACTTTAGTTAAAAGCGCATGTTGAACAGTGCTATTTCAGGGTGATAATGGCATCAAAGATTACTTTTCTGCCAGCCTTCCCTCCGTGATTTTGCAGCGGCGACGGTGTTGCTTTTGAGGTTTGTGATAGCTTCAATTCTTCATACTTTCTCATGATCGTCTCCTGCTCCTCGTTTGTAAAGTCTGCGGTCCTTCACTCTCCAGCCTGCTCTGACGCTCCAGACTGATCCATGTTCGCGATTGGTCAGATGCGGCGGGCTCCGCCTTATATGTGTGCACGCGCTCATAGCAGAGCTGGATCCACTTATGAGGTTGATAACCAGCGTTGTAAAACCGCTTAGCGAGACCGCTGGCTACTGCGCTAAGTTGAGCGAGGTAGCTCCAAGGCTACCTCGCTAAGTTGAACTCGCTTCGTAGAACAGGCCCCAGGTCTGCTCTCTGTCCCCAGAGTCAGAACTAAACGTGGACAAGCAGCTTTTAGTTTTTATGCTCCTCATATCTGGAACAAACTCCCTGAAAACTGTAGGTCTGCTGAAACTCTCAGTTCTTTTAAATCACAGCTGAAAACACCTATGTTTGCCGTGGCCTATCATTAAATCAAACCTGAGGCCTCTAATCAACATCCTCATCATCTGCCTGTCTTGATCTTTTTTTCTCTCTCTCCAATCTAACCTTTGTTTTCTTTTATCTCCGACCTTATTTTAGCTTTGAATGTAACTTTTAATTTGTTAAATGTCTTTTACGCTGTTTTTACTTTTCAAATTGTGTTGAATGTTTTGCCTGCTTGTTTCGTGTAAAGCACCTTGAATTGCCCTGCTGCTGAAATGTGCTATACAAATAAACTTGACTTGACTTGACCTGACTTGACTTAAACATTAAAATCAGGACCAGCTTACAAGGCTGGCCTGAAAATGTTCTTTTTGTAAATATACAAACAAAGAGATAAATAAATTGTACTGTTCCTATCTGTGTGTAAGCTACGTGCGTGAACACAGACTCCACAGCAAGCCAAACTCGTTTTCTACGAGCCAGGAAGCGAGCGCCTTGCTTCTTTATTTTCCAGTATAGCAGGTGAAAATCGTGTAAAACTGAAATAAACAAAATACAGACGAAACTTAGGAGCCTGACATTACCGTATTACACAAGCAACAGTCAAGTTAGCCTATAACTAAAGTGACTAGCAAGTATCGCTTAGCTTATTAGCAAGGAAACGAACGTTAGCAAAGTAACGTGGTCACTAATACACATTCGAGTAAACGTTACCAACTATGCTCATAAAGCTTAACTTCATACAAGTACAAAATGCATATCATTATAACTTACAGACATTGCTGCCATGGGTGTGTGAGCGAAACAAGACTCGGGAAAGAAACATCCGACTGGAACTCATTACAAACAGCAACTAACGTGCATCTTACGTTCTGGTAAGTTCATCATGGACCGGAGGCTCATGGGATCGCTCAGATGTAAACAAAAACTCATGCCAAAATAAAGGCTCACCTTTACAGTACAAAATACTCATCTCTTTTCTTTTGCCATTAACAGAATGTTATCAAAGAATCATTTGTACCAAAAACAATTTGAATACATATTTCCTTTTCTTTTACTTTTAACCTGAGGACAGAACACTCCCCGTCTGGCATAACTAATGCCACTACTCAACTCAACTTTTCTTTATTCAACACACATTTACTTTAAACCCCTTTTTTTCAGTTTGTGCCTTTTTAGTCTCTTTCAAGAAGAAGGATGACGTCCGAGATGGGCCGCAGGTAAGTCTTTGAAGTGCCCTGAGATGCCGTCTGCACCTCGACTTTGCGGACTCGTCCATCGCTGCTCGGAGAGGCCGATGTGACCAAAGCCATTGGCCACTCGTTCCTTGGTGCTTGAGCCTGTTTCAGCAGCACAATGTCTCCAGGTTGTAGGTTGCGCTGAGCTCTGTGCCACTTGCGTCTTGAGTGGAGAGTACTCAAGTAC